CAAAAGAGGAGAGTAGATACAATTACTTTTCAATAATTTTTAAGATGTGAAAGTGGTAACTAATGGCATATGATAACCCCACAAACGGGGATTCCAATGTGGCTCCATTCTTAGAGTATCATGAACTGAATTGAAAAGTATGTCATCCACATTATATAATTGGACTTGGCATGTACATAAACTCATTATCAGCACGCCGTCTGACTGGTTCATTTGAAGCGATTATATCACTATCTGGTACTTTGATAAATTTTTGCCGTAGAACATTGTTTTTGTTCGATCACGAAGTCAAAGCTAGTACAGAAATCTTCATCCCTTAAGAGCTCGTCGCAATTAAAATAGTAAGTTGTATTAATCTCTTTTACTCGGTCTGGCTTAATAAAAAGATGACGAAGATAATGTGGCAACCCTTGCTGATCGGGGTTGGGCCTCTTTCGAAGCCATGCAATAGATCTATTCTGACGGTAATGTAAATCAATGATATGTAAAATGTTGAGAGATATTTATTAACACAATGCAACGGAATATAATCGTTGTTCCTCATTCGTAGAGCTAGATAAGTAATACCCCAGTCTCAATTCGATTGCTTAATTTGGTTCTGCTAACTAAAGATATAAAAGGATAATCCCATTTGAGGTTTTTCAAAACACACTGCCAGTGAAGGCAAAAATTGCGTTGGTGTGCGAGAGCGAACGGAGCAACTGGAAAATCATGCAAAACCAAATATGAAGCGGAGCAGTAAGGTACACCTCGTTTATCTTATGGCATCACGCAGTTTGGGTAAGAGAATGTGCCTCTGTGAGTAATTCAGAAATAATATTCTGCTCTCAACTGATTGATTTAAAATCACCTGTAGTGTGCCTAGTTCATGAGTGGAATACGTTTCCTTTCTTGGTGGCATATGTTTGGTCTTATAGATAAGATGTTTTTGGAAATCGTGACATTTGCAAAAGAATTATATTGTCTCATTTCCACAGAATGGCTCTAGCTCCAGGGCTGGCTCTCCTAAATACTAAGGGAGCGTGGCCCCTGGTCCATACGGCAGGACCGACATTTTTTGGCTTGGCTTCGCCGCAGCATTTTGGGAAGAAACTCTAATACAAATGTCTTGATGCTATCTAAGTAAGCTAAATATTCGACGCGGTTTCTCTTATGAGTCCCTTCCGTGATCTACCCAACATTCAAAAATTGATTTTTGGGTTTATCTATTAGATCTTTTGACGTAATTTTCTGTAAGCATTTCACGAATAACTTTATATTGAGGTTATAAAATCCTTGGCTAATCGTTATGAGAAAAAATACAATCTGACAAGGAACGCCGTCGCCAAGAAAACGCCTGTACTACGAGTAAAGCTAGGCGCGCGAACCAAGAAGGAGATTGATGGATGGTATATAGATATGTGTATGGGAGCAGTGCGCCCAGACACGTGTGATATGATGTATATTATATCTAGTAGAGGGTACGCACCTTTATGCAAGATAGGTAAGAGATTGAGATTATATGAGGAGTCGACACCACGTGGCGCAGGGTGGTGAGAGTGGATGTGTCTGAAAGTTCAGATGACACGTGTTGTTGAGATGATAAAGTCGTGCATCGCTCTCGTTCTGTAGAACTGTGATGCGGTGTCCGCAGCGTATATTTAACTTTCATAGCTGGATGTCGAGAGGAGTTGAGAGAGGTCTTCGAGAGGGCATGGATATTGGTGGAGTGATGATTAAAATCTGCGATGTATTGAGGATCGGCTGGTTAGTGTTGTGTGATTCTGGACTCTCTCTATCTGTGAGAATATAGAGTTATACGCATTAGGGAGTGCGCATACGTGATTCCTTTCTATGTCGCTGGTCTGCCGTATCTATGAAGTGCGCGAAAAGTTTAGGAGGCCCGAGGGAGGGGGGAAATGGAAAAAACAATGCCTCTTGCGAGCGAAGCGAGCAAAAATTTGGCCACCACAAACCCTTGCAAATAGCTTAATTCAACTAATTCGTTAAGATGTTTTACTTTTTAATTTATATTTGTTTACTTTTAATAAATTCCCATTTAAAAACGGATATTCATTGCTTTGTGAGGCTCCCTAGACCTCGAGGCCCTAGGGCAAGTTGCCTTTGTCCCCCTCTCGGCGACCCTGCTGTCATCTCCTTTTCCCAGCGCCAGCTCACTTTTGAATAGCAGCCCATCATCTTCCATATCCGAAGACATTTTGCTCTTTGAAATATTATTATTGAATTCTTTGCTTCGCACTACAGTGGGAGTAGGTTGAACAGTTCCACGAGCCTTGCCTTCAGCTGGTTTCTGTCTCTAAGTCTTGCTTTCAGCTGATTTGTAATACTGACAAGGAACGGAACAGCTGAACATCAACTTTTTGTGCCATCTTTACTGCTTTCTAATACCAGTCCGCGAATATTTCTCTGCATTCGCTCGTTTCATGCAAAGGTCTTCTATGACCCTGTCAACTATGTGACAGGCTTGAAAAATGTCTTGGTCGACCCAACAAGCTCTTACAAGCTCTTACCAGAGGTCGTAGAGGCTCTATCCCGTTCAAAATCTTGTGCCTTTATTTTGGTTTTTGAGTCCCAGAACCATTCTTCTTCAAAGCCAGTGCGTGACGCATCATAAAACACGCTGTAGAGTTGGGGCTTGAAGATAGACTCTATTACTGCAACATGATGACGTTCGACCCAACAAGTACGTGAAAAATTGACTAAATAATTTATCTGTATTCCTGCGAGGTCCATTACATCTCCGTAGTGTGTCATTTACTGTATGACCAACCATTTTAGCGTAATAATCAAAATATTCAAGCAATTTTCCAAGAAAAAGGGCACTTTTCCCCTTTTGAGAAAAAGGGCAGGGGTCTGGACCCCCAGGACCCCCCCCGTAGTTGCGCGCCTGGTAAGGCTGGGGGAGTGTTTGTGCTCAGGACAGATAGTAGATTTTTCCCAATACCATAATCAAGTACTTGAGAGGGGGGAAGTATAAAATAAAATAATTGCATGGATCTGTTCCAATTATACAGCTGGGTTTTTGGCAATCAAAGGATCTAAGTTTAAGCAAAATGTTGACAAAATTCTCCATGCAAGCGGGTATTACATGGCCTTGTCATTACTAAATGTTTGGATTTACGAATTCATAGCAATTATTAATAGGCTGGTTGTAAAACCTTAACTGTCCGCTTAGTCTCATTACTCCATAGTTGCAGAACCATTGAGAATGCAAAATGCAAAATTTTGTGTGCAATTCGTGTCACGTCACATTTGATGCAAGGAACGTTGCGTTGCATTTCGTAGAAGACGCTTCAAGTTGCATTCCAAAGTCGCCTCACATTTTAGAAAGGCGTTTTGCGCTCATGTCATGCAAGACGCGTTGCCAGATGTCTCGAATAAGGCGCGTCGCACGTGTCGCGATGCGTTGAATTTGAAACAAGAAACAAGACGCGCTTAATCAAGCGTCTATTCTCTCTTCACTTCATAGGCCAGACAGAAACGAGACCAAAGTAAGATGGTTAATCGCTATGACAATCAATGGAGGACATAAACATGAGTATTAACGTGACATGAACCCTACCAGCAAAGATGGTCAAAATAACCTCTGAACTGATTATTCGTCACGGAAGCCATTCAAAAAAGCAGAACTATGAAAACGACTTCCAGTTTTTGCGAAGATTAACCCACATATATTGTCAAGAAAAAAATATCGATGAAATTGTAAGTATGATTTTGTAGAATTCGAACTTTAGCAGTAGCTCAACTTTAGGCCAGAATTCGGTTTGGGCTTCGCTAGAATGTATCTGAAAAATGATAGGTTAGGAACTCAGTGATAGCCTGAAATATTGTCTCTTTTGAAATGTTCATTACAAGAATATTATTCCGGTATATGAGAGCGGTTCAGATAGCATACTTTATAAAACGTACAACCCATAATGTTATCACCTGTGTTCTGTGAAGTAGACCTATTGTTAAAATCATAAGGGATGAAATGTTGGCAGGGGGCTGTAGTTTTACCAAAAATAAATCTACCATATCTAGGCAACAGGTATAGTTTACAGGTTAAACCTAATGTTTGTAGAATAGCTAAACAATGTATGTTATCTGGGTAATAAACAAATTGTGGTTTGTAAAAATTGTAGAGACCATGTCAATATGTACAACACCTGTCAAATTTTCGAAATAGATAAGCAAACCCTCAAGGAACTATTTTCATTTTTTTCAGACAGTTTATGTGTAGAAAGGCCGGAAAATTTCCAAGACTCGTACTGCAAACCTTGCAGTTGGGAAACAAATAATGGCTCCCTTGAATAAATTGTCAACTGAAGGCGGTATCAAACATGAAGATACCTTCACCAATAGCAACCACCAAATTATGTCAAAATATCAAATTTTAAGCTAAATAAAACATGATTCTTTATAACATAATTTTCTAAGAAAGGTTCAATTGAACAAGAGTCCACAATTTACTTTGTGTTGAATAAGTGGTAAATTGCTTGCATTTTACCACATCTCTCTCCTTAACTTTGACTCTTGTGCTTTTCTCATCCAATTGGTGCCCACCAAGAAGGTTGCTGTCATATTATTGTTATCTTCATTTTGGCCTACCTAGCTGTGGTCTTCTGGCTATTTGGAAGTCTCTTTTCCTATTTCTTTGTATCTATTCATGGCCTTCTCTTTGCCTTTTAAGTTTTTCTATCTTCTCTAGTATGCACCTTTATGTTTTATATATCCACCTTCTCTACTCCGCATGTCATAATATGACATTGTCCATTATTTCTTCTTGAGGCAGTGGGAATCAGGCTTTACAACTGGCTACTGATGGAAAGTCTTCAATATCAGTATGGGAAATCTTCATTTGACCAATTTTAGGTCCACTAATAGTATTACACCTCAAAAATCATTTGACCCCAGGTCTTGGTATACCATTTCCTTATATCACGACTCACTGCTTCAGATTACAGTGTACTTTAGTATATTGGTACTGCAATCCTATGAAGCTTGTTGTGGTTGTGGAAATATGTATATATGTAGCTGTGATCCTACAGCTAAAGATTTTTGGTACTTTAGAATGAATACCTTAAGATTTCACAAATAAATGCACTCATAGTGATTACTATGTCACATAGATTGTACATATTATTTGCTTAGTCAGTTACGTGCTTCAAAGTAATGCTTGATCTATTAATCCCAATGTTTCCTTTTTTCAACAGGTAAATCTTGAAGTATGCAAAAACCTCAGTGTTTTATATCTATATGATAACAATATCAAGCTGATCAAGAACCTTTCATCAACCTCAAATCTAACGCATCTTTATCTCCAGAAGAACCAATTAACCAGAATCAGTGGCCTAAATGGGCTCACGAGACTTTCAAAATTGTATGTGGCATTAATGTTTCTAAATCTCACTTCAATTAATTATTTTCATATAATCCAAATAGAGTACCAATAGGGTAGTGACATTGACAATTGCATGTAAATTTTTTATTCTACGATCATTGACATATGTTGATCTTCCATGCAAGTATGGTGTTGAGAATCACAATTAAAAGTAAAGTTTGCCAATGAAGTCATACATAAAGACACTCTGTTTCTATTATGCCCACTGTAAGATGGCTTTTGTCATCCAACTAAAAGATTTTACTGATCTTGAAAAACTAGTTTTATGTTGTATAGGAAACAAAATGAAGTTTTGGATTTATGCTGAATATATATATATTTATTTTCCACTAATTTCTCGGAAGGTTGTATACAGCCAACCAATTTTTTAGAAATTTGAAATGGATGATATACTCCTGTGTTTTTGTGCTATTCCTTTACTTTCTGTGATCATCTATTTGCAGGTACCTTGGAAGCAATTCAATATCAGTTGTTGAAGGCTTAGAAAAGGTTGAAAGCTTATCAGAACTTCATGTAGAGAACCAACATTTGCCCCCTGGGGAATCATTGCTGTTTGATCCAAGGACAATTGAATCATTGTCTGTAAGTCTCGTGATACTTTGTTCTAATCAGCTTATTTTCTCACCTCTGTGTGGTATACCCATTCTGTAGTAATTCACAGATTCACTCAATTATTTCATTTTTATTGAGTTGCTTTTTTGTTGCTGTGTGGTAAGAAGAAAAAATGCCTAAGAGCATTTCATAGAGCAAAGCACAACATTGCAAAGAAGGATAGATAATTTTGATGAACCTGTGAAAATTTTTTATTATTCAGCAAATGCTCTTATAATCACTGAAAAATTAAGTTGGGTGGCCAAACAAATATAATATTATGTTGAGTTTGTTTTTTGTGTGCTGTGAGATCAAGTTATTGGATCTCAACATAAATTTTTTTAAACACAGACTATTTTCCCTGTATTGAAATTATATGTCACTTTTCTGCTACTGAAAATTTTCCTTCAGTGGCATATAAGCAATTTTGAAAACATTTATTAGAAGCTTGATGTTATCAGAAGCCTTTTGAAATGTGGCTTCACTTGACCAAATAATAAGTTTATTATTTTCCTAGAAATCATTGACAGTACTAAATGTATCCGGAAACAACCTCACTGAAGTATCTGAACTTTCACCCCTTGGCAGAATAACCCAGTTCTTTGCATCTCATAACAACCTAACAGACCTTTATGACCTTTCTTGTGCTGTTCGGTCCTGGCCTACTCTGTCGAAACTGGAACTTACTGGAAATCCATTTTGTCACAAGAAAAAATACCGAGACAAAATCATCCTTATGTCTCGACGACTGGGTATGTTTTGAAACTTTTTATCTTTTTTGCCTGCGTACTTCTATCGTTGTTAGTATCACGACATTCATGGATGAAAGGTGTCGCCACAACCATCTATGGATAAAGCATACGTAATTGAATATCTGGCCAATTTATACGCCATAGACAAATGTTAAAGTTGCTTAAAGACTCATTGCTAACAATGGGCCTTTGCGAGCGTGGCGACGATCCAAACAATGGCAGTAACCTTTTACGGATTAACCAAAATTGATTTCAGACTGTCTAAAAATGCATTATGGGATGCTTGCGTAGCGCAATGGCTCATTGTTAGCAATGAATCTTTAAGCCATGTTTCAATTAACAACTTGTCAATCAAGTAAAATGATACCTCTCAGACGCTTATTGATTGGTCAGTAGTTGATTGACAGGTGGATTAAGCCACTTTGGTATTTGGCAATTGCAGTTAAGTGGACCCCCGTTTCAATAAAGCATATAATTAAGAAAACGGTGAAGATTATGTCATTTAAAAGATGAATCGTGAGGTAATGTGATCAATTTATCGACAGTTTATGTTCAAAGAAGTAGTATAACGCCTTGGGATACCGGCCCTGACTGCAACGTTTCTCGCATAAATACATTACAAATTCTTCAAAGTAATTCTGAATAGAACAATTAGCCAAATTTATTCATCGCATCGGTGGTAGTTAGAATAGCCGCTGTTGATAAATGGATAAGCGACTTTCGATTTATGAGATTAAGCTAATGTAACTTTGAAAGTAAGTAGATATTTTGATAAATAGGTTTGTCAATTAACAGTGTTTAGCATAAGCTGGTGTACGATATATTTTCTCCTTAGTAATGCTTGATGGAAAAGAGGTCAATGAGGCAACCAGATTGTTTTTACAAAGCTGGCAAGCGAATAAAGATATGAAAAGAATAAAACGGAAAGAAAGCAGGCATGACTCTGAGACTGATGGAGTGGCCGACACAGAGCATGGCCTTCCACGTTTGACAATGCAAGCCTCCTTGGAAAGCAAGGGTCTTACAACTGAAGGGTCATTTGTTGTCCGCCATCCAGGTCCGTATTCGAAGCAAAACAAGCAATTTGCAAGCTTATTAGCAAAGGCTTCGGAGCGCAAGGGTATACCATTAGGCACAGATACAGTGACAGCAAGATAGACTTAGCATAAAAGGTATGCAGTTTTTGTCAAATCGTATGTTTGCGTCGTGCCGAAAATGTTAAATTGTCATTCTTAATCTTTTTAAAATGATATTTCCTTTTCTATATAGGAATGTTAAGCAAAGTGCGCGACAGGACGGAACGAGACATGACATGACATGACATGACATAACATGACATGACATGACATGACATGACATGACATGACATGACATGATGACATGACATGACATGACATTACATGACATGACATGACATGACATGACATGACATGACATGACATGACATGACATTGAAATTTACATTGAAATTTACATTGAAATTTACATTGAAATTTACATTCTATTTCACTTTTTATGGCGTTTTCTTTTATCCATATACCATACTTGTGTTGCTCAGATGAAGTGATTTATAGCACTGTTGCTTCTCGCCTCTGTTGGCAGACAAACTGGATCTAGCTCTTTGACCCTCACTCAATTCGTTGAGTATCATCAAAAAGTAATGAAAAGATACTTCGTCTAACCCAAAGACACATTTGCCGTTTTTTGATATCATATAGCACTCCACTACCGGAAGTGACAGGGAGTACTTTGTCAGTTTTTTGTAGCCTGTCATCAACTGGCTTATGAGTCAAAGACTAATACAATGTAAAAAAGCATATTATGCTCTACTGAATGCAATGTAGGAATTTCTAAGTATCACAGGTTGTCAATTAGCCAAATATCAACAGATATGTTATGTTTATTTCAAGGGACAACGGTAACTGGTACTTCCAAATTCAAGCAGAAGAACTTCACGAAAATCTAGAGGAATTGAATTGCCTTTTCCCATGCAAATCCGGACGCATAAACTATTAGCCATCGCTTATCGAAACCAGTTTGCTAATAAAAAAACTCGGTAGGTTTATTAATGGAACATAGTTTACGGTATTGCACCGTTTGTAATCTTAAAAGAGCAAACAGAATTGAATTTAGTGTGGTTTTTATCATTCAAATCAATCAGTGAAACTGTCCTATGAACATTGGAGATATCTAAGAAGACAGTGTCAAAATTAGGACAAACGGCCTAAGTGTAATGATTTTTTAGAAACCTAGAAAAATAACAAGCGTTCTGAAAGCACTTTAAGACCTGCTTGTATCTAAATTTCTAAGGTGGTTTTGTAGCAGTTAAATGTAGTCATCTAGCAAGTGTACATAATTATATCAAATACATCAACTACAGAATAAAAGCGTTCCCCACATTGCAGGAGTTATGTGATGAAATCAGTCCATAGTAATATAGAGGCACTGATTTCAAACTGTTTCTTCTCATTTTTCCTACGGTTCATACCCTATATAAGAAAATTCCCGAAAATGGTCACCTCTGTATAACTGACGAATTTTTCGAAAAAGTTTCATAAATTGTGAACACTTCGCTGTTGCTATGTTGTGGCGCGTACTTACGACGCAAGATGTATTATCAGTCAGGAAGGAGAAAGCTTACACGTCAAATCGTCTCTTATAGTAAATTCTTCTCTAATACATTCTTTTTGCCGCAATCCTTCAAAAAGCTACGTTCTACGAAAGAATATCTCTCCCACCGTTCCGTGAAAATAAATTTTTGCGAAATATTAAACTTTTTCGTAGCTCATCGTTTAATGTTTCTCCCAAATATTAAACGCAAACCAATTCCATCGAAATATGCAAAAAGTATATCCCAAAAGGTCTTTTCTCTTGAGGTTTTTACCAAGCTACATTAGATGTCTCCCTCTATTCTGAATTCATGGAACTTATCTCTAAAAGAAACATTTTCAAAGAAACAGTTGAAATTTGTCTACCATCTTACAAATCTTTCGTCCTTTGATCTTTCGGTGAGGCTCGGCATTTAAATGTTCATATTTTTGTTCATGCACATGTAAACAGCGTCAAGCAAGAGAATTTCAGTTTATGGATCAAGTGACGGGACAGGAAAAGCTTTTATGTTGTAAGACCAAGTCGATATTCGATTTAGGTTGTGACGCGTAGCCTAGCCAAAGACTCTTCTCTACGCAAATTTGCAAGACAACACACCTCAACTTTGCACCCCGAGTTTGCACAGTGACTTTGCACAGTGAATTTGCACCGTAAGTTTGTACCGTGAGTTTGCACCGCGAGTTTGCACCGTGAGTTTGCATCGTGAGTTTGCACTGTGAGTTTGCACCGTAAGTTTGCACCGCGAGTTTGCACCGTGAGTTTGTATCATGAGTTTGCAGTGTGAGTTTGCACAGTGAATTTGCATCGTGAGTTTGTACCGCAAGTTTGCACCGCGAGTTTGCACCATAAGTTTGCACCGCAAGTTTTCACCTCGAGTTTGCACCGTGGGTTTGAACTTCTAGAGCTATTGGGTAGTATAGCATTAAGGTATACCTTTTTTCATAATCTGAAGATTATTATTTTAAATGTTCGCTTGTCAATAGATGTACATAGTAAATGTGAAATGTTGTTGTAATCACCTAAACATTTATTCATGAAAACGCTATGGCTGAAATCGACTGAATTAGTAGAAAAAGAGAAAATAAATCGTTGTATCCTTGTTTTCTGTGTTATTTGCCTTCTCTGTAGCCGTTGGGCTTTAGATTTTTTGAGATAGTTGAGGCCCCGTTCACACTGCTACGTTTTCATATGAAAACGGAGCAAAACTTATCCGTTTTGGCCTTCCGTTCACATTGCTCCAATGTGAAAACGGAGGCTTTTGAAAACGCTAACGAAAACGCATAAATCTGAAAACGGTGCGTTTTGAAAACGGTCCGTTTTCAATGTGAACACCAAAAACGGAGACATTTGAAAACGCTAACGACAGCAGCAACATTCAATGCCGAAGGCGCCAAGAATCAAAATACAGTGTTTTTTTAAAATGGCTGACATTAGAGCGATATCGACTGCTATTCAAATGCTGTTTGCTTTGGTTTCTGTTCGTGGTTTCTGTGTGGGTAATCTTTTTCTGTACCACCCATTTCGTGCTGCTTTCTCAAATATTCCATCATCCTTCCAGCAATATCGGAGTATTTGGCTTGAACACTTTCCCAGTCGATACCTTCCAAGAGCTTTTGAGCCCTGTAGTCGGCCGTTATGCTTAGCAGCAAAGAAGATTCGTCATCTGTCCATGTAAATACATCCTCGTTTCGTTTAGGTGGCATGTTTAAGCTTAAAAGCAATTTCTTGATTAAATTTCTTATCGACTCCTTGATGCAAAATCGAGAATGGCGTGGCTTCGTGTGTGCGTTTCGGTTTGGCGCCAGTTTTGTGGCAAAACGACTCGTGTTGAAAGGGACGCCGCGACTGCGTTTTCGCTAGAGCAATGAGAACGCCTACCGTTTTCATAGCGTTTTCATTTTAAAACGGAGCAGTGTGAACGGACCGCGTTTTTATTCACAAAAACGGATAGAAATGAAAACGGAACAGTGTGAACGTAGCCTAAGTCTGAGCTCGTTTTGTTACCAGTTGCCGTAACTTCCCTGTTATCGAGTTCGATTAGATGTCGCCAATAGCATTTTCGAACGCATTAATCGAATTCAAGTTAGCGCTGTGTTTCGACGTTACAAAGCATTTGCTGCCGAATTTTAGGACTGTTTAGACATTACATGCGAAAGATCGAGTGAAAGACGGAGATAGTTTTTAAAATGGGTCAGGCAATGTCGTGTTTTTTCATCAGGAAAACTAGTTCGTTTGATCCCTGCTGGGATGAAACATACATGAACAGTAAAGGTAGGTTTGTTATCACTCATTGGTTTTTAAAACTTCTATTGGTTATTTATATGTATTTTTAACTAGTCTGCACTTTAGCGACCCACATTTGTATTTCCTGACCGGAAATTGAATTGATTTGCTACTACCTAGCAAGGATGACGCGATCAAAAGAAAGATATGAACAAAATAATTTTGTTTTCGTTCACAACCTGTTTCGAATTTGACTTGCTTCAAGCCTTCGTTCTGAAGGTTCACAGAAGTCGTTTTGACATGGAGCCTGGCCCTTGGAAGAACTCCTTTCATTTCTGCTCCTTCACAGAAGAGGTCGTTTTGACATGCAGCCCTGGCCCTTGGAAAAACTCCTTTCATTTCTGCTCCTTCACAGAAGAGGTCGTTTTGACATGCAGCCCTGGCCCTTGGAAAAACTCCTTTCATTTCTGCTCCTTCACAGAAGAGGTCGTTTTGACATGCAGCCCTGGCCCTTGGAAAAACTCCTTTCATTTCTGCTCCTTCACAGAAGAGGTCGTTTTGACATGCAGCCCTGGCCCTTGGAAAAACTCCTTTCATTTCTGCTCCTTCACAGAAGAGGTCGTTTTGACATGCAGCCCTGGCCCTTGGAAAAACTCCTTTCATTTCTGCTCCTTCACAGAAGAGGTCGTTTTGACATGCAGCCCTGGCCCTTGGAAAAACTCCTTTCATTTCTGCTCCTTCACAGAAGAGGTCGCTTTGACATGCAGCTCTGGCCTTTGAAAAAACTCTTTTCATTTCTGCTCCTTCGCAGAAATCGCCCACAACTAGTAGTCACAAAGTCTACGTTCAAAGTCTTTGCAACACTTATTTCTTGCACTCTGAGCATTATACCGAAACTCGGTCCTGCTCAGTATCGATGTAGAAGTAGAAGTAGAAAGAAAACACACCCAATAAAGTGACCCTGAGTCATGATAAAGACCCACCTTGGATATCAAATGAAGTGGAAAACACAATTAAGCGTAAGTATAGAGTTTATAAGAAGTTAATGCAAAGAGGTAGAAGGATAGAAAACTGGGATAACGTAAAAGCAGTTCGTAAATCAACTTCAAAATTAATTGCTAATCCTGAAGAAAATTACTACCGAAAATTAGGAAGTAAACCCTCCGGCCTTTATACTAGCACTTAAACATTATGGGCCTCACTAAACAGGCTAACTGGTAATAACAAACTGCCCACTATTCCTCCTTTACTTGAAAATGGGCTTTTTGTGGTGAGCTCTGAAACAAAAGCGACTGTGTTGAATGACTACTTTGTCGCACAGTGTTGTACAGCAGGAACATCAAGTAGACTACCCAGTTTAGTAGCAAGTTCTGCCCAAACTTTGCAGCACTTTGACATCAATAGGGTAAAAGCATTAAACCACATTCGAGCTCAAGTTTCCAGTAAATCCCATGGGTGTGATGACATTTCTGTTGCTATGATTAAGTTATGCGATGATGCAGTCGTTGACCCGCCTGATTTTCGAAAAGGGCTTAGAGACTGGAATCCATCCTTCTTCATGGAAGAAAGCAAATGTTGGTCCAATTCATAAAAAGGGAAGTGGCCACTGCAAGAACAACTATCGTCCAATTTCTTCGATGAAGAAGGATATTTGAGAAACAACTTTTTGTTGTAATCTACTATAATTTGTGTGAAACCAGTTATTAACGTCCAACCAATCGGGTTTTCCACCTGGTGACTCCACCATAAATCAATTGCTAAGCAAAACACATAAGATCTATTGCGCGTTTGATGATATACCAAGTAAAGAAACACGTGCAGTATTCCTTGACTTATCGATGACATTCGATAAAGTATGGCATGAAGGACTTATCCACAAACTTAGATGCAATTGAGTATCTGGTGATATGCTCGCACATATTAAGGATTTTTTAACAAATCGGAAACAAAGAGTTGTCGCAGGAGTACCTCAAGGGTCTTTGCTTGGTCCTCTTTTCTTTTTATGGTTTATATAATAATATCTGTGACAATCTAAATTGTGAGGTCAAACTCTTTGCAGATGATACTTCATTGTTCTCAATGATTGAAAACGAGCTTGTTGGCGCTGATGAATTGAATAGAGATCTTGAACAAATACGGCTTTGGGCTGTAGGACGCACCACCCAAAGATTGGAGGATAGGATAAAACAACACGTTCCATCTAATATTAGAAACAAAACACATCCCCAAAGAGAACAGCCACCTCGGTCTTGCAAATCCAAAATTACTAATAAAACCTGCGATTCTGCTATCGGGCAGCATTTGCTAGAAAACCCAGATTGTGCAAAAAACTATAATGGCGACATGTTTCGGATTATTGGTAAAGCCCGATCGTCGTTCCACCTAGCAGTTTTAGAATCTATCTACATAAGCACGAAAAAAACCGCTACTGTGTAGGCAAAAGGAGTTCGTTTTCACCTTAGGACTCCATTGGTAACATTCTAATAGGCAAGCGGCACTGATTGGTCAACCTTTACAGTCATGTGCTCGTGTTTCTGATTGGCCTATTTCGATCCACAACTGGGTATATATATTTCTTAGCGTAGAGTTTTTGATCTATGTTCTGACGTTTTAAACTCTGAAGAGTGTCAGACGAAAAGCTTTAGTTTACTAAATGTTTGCTTTTTTCAAAGCCATTTACAAGTTTTGTACCACCAAAAGATTGTTTAAAATAAAAAGTGTAAAAGTGTAATGTAGGAGAAAAGTAAATAGTCTTAGAGTAGAGTCTTTTCGAATATTTGCTACATAGCTCCAAGGCACATGATTTCAGTCTCTATAGTCTTTTCATACTTCTTGGGATGAAAAATCACGTATAATGGGAAGTTATAGGATATGTTTCGACTTCTGTTATCGCAATCAACTGCTAACTTGGCGAACCTCTCGTTGCAGCAATCAAAGAAATGAATGATACACCCTCATTTGATGATGTCCACGAATCTTTTAAGTTTGTTCGGTACGAGGATGGCCTAATTTTACAAGAAAACAAACCCGAGGTAGATGAACAGGCTGGAGCATCTCCTGGTGAATCAGATAGACAGATGAAAAATGCTTCATTGTGTGTTATTGGCAAAGCAATTACTCTTTTTCCTTATGATGAAAATCAGAGCTCCATTCCCTCGAGGAAATTTCAATCTTCAAAGCCTCCACTCTAGGTGGCAGAAGGCGAGAGATAGCCCTTGCATGACTATAGAAGATTTGGTGCTTTTTCTTGAGACTGTCCTGGTTTTCACTCCTGCAAAAATTCCGCACTTGCAAATCTCCTTTTTTCTGTTATTTTACTTTATAATTGCTATTATTACATCACTTATTGGCAAGCTACTTAATCACCTGATTCATTTAGTAGTATTTTCTATTTCTATGATAAGTCAATGAAATGCCAAGAAATCCCATTCGTGTTGAACTGATGTTTTTCAAGTTGCTTCATCTTCTTGAGGATTAATAGTTACGATGCAAAGGATAGTCAGTATCAGTAATGATAATACCCCAAGATAATACCCTTGTTGCCCCTCCAGTCAACACATGTTTCTCAAAAATTGAACCTTGATTAGAAAAGTGAGCAACTAAGACTGTAAGATCTCTTTTACCTCATTGTTTTGCTCACTACCTGTTGGATAAAAATTTGTACATTTCCCAGACCGCTTTGGTTATTAGTACTCAACGAGTTTGAATCGCCTGTTTTGCTCCGCTCACATTCTAAGGAGGGGGCTATTGTAGTGAACTTACAAACTCACAAAACAATAGCAGAGAACACCTTTTGTTTTCAACTTGTGTAATAATTCTTTAGCCCTATTTCAACCAAATTCTATTTTGTGTGATACACTGCTTATTTTTTATTATTAATTCTTTTGGTTAAGAAAATATAGTATGTATGTTTAAAATAAACTATTGCAACATACCACAAAATGGCCTCTGGCCATTAGGCCTGTGCAGCACCAAAAATATCTGACCGAGACATTTCACCTATTCTCTAAAATCAAGAAGGACAAAAAATAGTCGTAGACATCCAAGAAGTTTGTCTTAACAGTAATTCACAAGTCAGTCCCTAGTAAAACTTTTTTATAGTTAGTCCTATCAATATTTTCAAGCAAATATTTCACTGGTTCTCCTTTCAACATAGATAATTTCTGCTTTGGCAATTATTGATAATGTTTAGGAAAAAGAGAATATTTTAGTGAAAAGTCATCTCTAAACCTTTTGATGTTACTTGTTATAGCCATTTTGATATTTGTAAGCTAAAGATATTTCGCAGGAGGGCCCTCATTTTGTTGCGGATTGTACGATACCTTCAAATGATCAAAAAAATTTTTTTAGATATTTGTCCGATTCTCGTCGTAAAATTGACTTAAGATTTCTCTAAGGTATTTTGTGGAAAAATTTTTCTGAAATTTGATCGAGAGGACTAGATCTGGCTTCTCAACTATCTTTTATAGAACATTACAAAAAGTTGGATCAACGTCGCTGCCGCTTCAAATTTACGCATGTTGATATTGAATTGGATAGAATTGAATTGAATCGACACACTCTGACCTGAAATTACATCACTCGCTTTTCAAATTTTGCCAAACCCTCTTAAATGTAACACAGTGCACATATTCAATAAAAAAGATTCAAACCGTGAAAAATTTGAGAACAGAATATGAGCAGGTGGTTCCTCGAATTACAGCTAGAACTCTCTCAAAGAATGATAACTGCAAAACCCTTTAAGTTAACATGTATCAAGAGACAAACTATTTTGATGAAGCCAATCGATATGGATCGGTGTCACGAGGCAATCAACGTATATCGAAATGAGAAGAAAATGAGAAGTTCAATTATCAGGTCTTGATGACGCTCAAAATCTTGTTTTCGTGAAAGCACAAAGACTGTAGGTGATTTTACTTTAGAAAGATCCATTTATTTAATGCATATATCATCAAAGGGGAGGTAGCTATCTATATTGAAGATTTTATCTGCCGCGGTGATGAAATATTTTTATCAAAAGACTAATCAGAATTTACTATCGAAGAGGCGTATCTAAATCTCCTACCACCTGTCTTCGACCATGTCACGATTCCCGTGACGAAAACATATTGGATACCCCGATGATATGCTATCGAGCGAGTTGAGCTCTGTTACGAAAAGCAAAGCTAGGCGCTAACATTTTAGCCTCGTTTGAGGTCGTCCAGCTAGATGGAGCAAAAGTTGTACTGCTAACTAAATGACGGCCCAAACGAAGCATAAGTGGAAGAAGAGGAACCACTAATGCAATAGATGTGGTGCTCCCAAGACTGACTTGTGATACAAAATGTTGTTTTGTGTTTTATTGCATTTGCTTTTCCGTAGTGTCATAAAACCTGAAGGGGATCACCATCTTGTTTCTCAATAATTCGGTAAATTTTCTCAGAGGAGGGGGGGATGCCACTTTTGGTACACTGGTATATAGTGTGCCATTTTTGGGGTACCATTTTTCAAGAACAAAAGTAAATTTTTGGGGTATGGATTTTGGTACGGTTATGAATTTTGGGGTTGATTTTAGCATGACCTTAAATTTTTTTGTATCATTTTTTAAGACAGATAAAATGTTTTCATTCACTTGATTGAGTAGTTGGACTTTTGCAAATTTAAATTAAAATTGAGAGCATGCATTTCACATCATATCTCAATTCTGGGGTAGGTTTTTTAGGATAATTTATAACTTTTAGGGAGTATTTTCATATTTCAAAATGGCACAACCCTCCTCAGTCTATTGAAGTTACCCCCTCCCTCTCAGGTAAACTTTAAAAAAATTTTCAGTCACGATTCTACAAATTTGATGAAATGTTAAGCCATCGGCGCAGATTTTCTCGAATCCTCTCATTTTGCAAGACTATTGCCTTATCCAAATATCTTTGTCTTTTTAGCCAATGATATGTCTTTCCACGATTATAAGGAACGAATCATAACGATTACTTTTTCGTCGCATGTCTTTTGGGATGTCTTTGCCCGTTGAGTCAATAATCAGTATGATTATGCGAGACATGTTACCGTTATTCTGTTAGTATCCTTGCCAGCACTTTTGTGAAGAAAAAGCCAAGAATTCAATTTGAAGCCGTCATGTCAAAGATAACATTTTGGGAGACAAAGACGATTCTGCAGAGGTTCTGAGGACAAGAGAAGAAGCGTCATTACGCAGACTTTACATTTTCTCTAATTTGGAGAGTCAGCACGCAAGCTACATTAGACAAGCTCGTGGTTAAAAGAAAGAGCAAAGATAGCGTGTGTGCTCTTCGTTTCAGTTCTTGCAGCTCTGTTGAAGTTAATTTTCTAATTCTGTACTTCAGCCCCAAACGCAGAAACAGATCAAAGAAACGTCATCAGTGCTTGTTGGAAAGAGGGAGATGACCATGTCGTCAACATATATCCCAACAGACTGTATTTGCAAGGGAAAAGGCCAATCGTTGATCTTGGAGGAAGATCCGAAGAATTATAACACTGTCAGTGGGTTAGCCAACAAGGAAGTAAGCAAAGCCGTGACTTGATTTGATAGACAATAATGACGTGAAAGAGCTGATACCCATGAATATCTATAAACACGCTGCATTTTTAAGATGTACTTACTTTTACAAAAACATGGAATGTTTGAATGCTGGAATGCTGGAATGCTGGAATGCTGGAATGTTGGAATGCTGGAATATTGGAATGTTGGAATGTGAATAGAAGAAATTTAGCCTTAGCCCTACAACACTTTCCTATACGATAATTTCTAGTATCGATTAATTCAAATTAAATACCAATGTACTTGTCAGCATGTAGTTATCAAGGTTTTTAGAAAACACATTCCAACATTCGAGCTTGCCAACATTCAAACATTTCACATTCCACGTTTTCAAGATTGTTAGAACACTATGAAAAAGTTGATGAACACACCCCTTATTAGCAAGAGCCTGTAACGCTGCTGGAAACAATGACAGGCATTGTCACCCAGTGTTGCCATTGGATACCTATTAACTGCCATGTGGGCCTGAATTTCAAACTGTTACCATCTGCTTTAAAAGTAAGGACGCTAACCACGTGACCAACTTGCTTTAACGTGATCTGGTTTTCCCAATCTGACAGACACAACGAGATACTGTTACGGCCAAGACATCACTTTTAACTTTTACTTCTATAATGTCAGTTGCGAGTCATTTTATCTGATTATCTTGCTATCACAAATTAGTTGCTAAATTGTTATGATATTGTATCATCTACTGAACTGAATCATGATGCAAAACTTTCCGCTTTGCAGATTACCAACATTAACGCTTGGTTTAATTGCAGTTGTGTTGAATACTATCATGGTTGTCGTTGTCTTCAAAAGAAAGTCTTTCAACCGCTCGATGAACATCGTCCTTGCATATTTCGGACTTATAAACCTTGCAGCGCCCGTTGCACTATTGTCACGAGATGCGACAAAAATCTTTTTCTCTTACGAGAATGAGCTGAAATTTTTGGAGCCGTTTTTAATTTCTTTTCTAATCTCTTTGACAATGCTGCAGCAAGTGGCAAACGTGGAAATGGCGTATAACAGATACAATGCTGTTGTTCATCCGCTGGAATTCAGGACAGGAAATAGATCAAAAACGGTGAGAAGAATTATCATTGAATGCCTATTTTCTGTCATTATCGGCTTTGGGACAGGCTTTCCGAGTGCATTTTACCGCTTACCTAGACTAGCTTCAATAACAATTGCCGTGAGCCGTTTGGTGGCCCTGATTGTCCTAAGTATCCTCTATTACAAAATTATTAGCAAGTTGAGGCTGAATTCAAGGTTTGCTGCGGCCAATCGTGAAAAAATTGGAATAAGACAGAGCGTCACACCGGTGGGAACAGGAAGAGATCGCGATAAAAAAAGGCTATTGAAAATATTTCTTGCAATCCCAGTTTACAACTTCATACTGAACTTGCCGCTTATTATTTACAAATTTATATATGACCTTGGAGACCCCTGCGAGACTGTCAATGGGAAAGTTCTCGTATTTCTGATGTCTCTTGTTTTAAGTAGTCTAATATTCGACCCGATTGTGTACTTCATTGCTACAAGGAGAACACGAGTATCTTCTTTAAATTAGTTAAATGCTGATATAAAGTTGAATGTGAAGACTAACGTACTTCTAAGAGACGGGTGTATCACTCTTTCCAAACAGCGTACGAGATCTTTTTGAAACAAAAGGATTTTCAGAGATTTTTCTGGGGTTTTTCTTGAAAACAAACGATTTTGCAAGAGGCCTACGCGATCTTCGTGGAGATATGCCACGAAATGTTGAGCAGAGAGAATAACATGTGTAGATATGACAAATGCTCAACTTCAGAATTACTTGCTATGAGAAGTCATAAACGTAAGCAAAAATGAAGTCCAATCCACGAAGTACTTGGTGGATGAATCGCTGGAAGGTTTTTTCAGCATAAAGCTGCATGTACACTGCAACGAAAAAGAAAAGCGAACCGAAGCGAACAGGGGCGAGCTGAAGCGAGCGAAGCACTCCAACTACAGAACAATGAATTGCAGGGACCTACAAATCCCAAGAAATAACCTTTAATACGTCAAGAAAGGCTTTCACTATTCGGCTGTGAAAGCCTAGAACGATATTCCCATCAATATCAGAGAGCTCTCTACAGTTGGTAAATTCAAGAAGCCATTGAAAAGTTATTATACGAGCTGAACACTACATAAAACACGACTCCCTGAAAGAGCAGCTGCTATATGATAGATTACTGTGCATAATTTAGCTTTAACTGTATATAAATTATATAAATGCAACTAGGGTATTTATTTTCTTATTTGGTATTTATTTGTAAGCTGAAGGGATTTTTGTGTATAAAGAATTTTAAAATGAAAATGAAACAAGATGCAGCGTGCGGAAAATCGCGAATCAAACAGTTTTGCAGAGTGAATATTGATGACGCAGTTGCTGATTTAAAGCAAAGTTTGAAACAAACACGATTTTGGGTTCACGAAATGAAAAGAGGCACGACTCGATTTTGGTGATTTTATAAAATTTAAATAAAAAATTTGCTTGTCGAGGCCATGACGAGGCATGACGAGTCTGTTGCAGATTCAGAACGAGTTCATCTACGTTTGATTCGTTGTTGCAGTCGGAAATAAATTTATATTGGTGGGGGGATGCCCATTGTTTTTCTTTGTCTTTGTTTATAATTGCCACGAATGTTCCTACAACATGATGTATTTTGCGATGTTTAAACATTATATTGACTTCGACTGCGCTTGTGCATATGATGCAAAATTTTAAAATGCCAACCGACCTTTCGGCAAATGCTGGTTCGTCTCCCCAACAAGGACTAACTGCTTTCTGAAGGTCGAATGATGCCGAGTTGTAACCAATGGTCAAATTCAGTCTTGCCAATAGAAAGACGATCAGAGCCAAGACGAGTTGGAGGAGCAAAGACGGTAGCTGTGAACTTTGATGTTGTGATGAAATATACAGATAAATATACTTACAGTGAAGACCAGGGTGGGTAGTCAAGAAATTATCCCGCCTAGGCCGGGTACCGTGCTCATAGCCTATGCGAAAATGTTTATCCCTTTTACTGAGACCTAACTTGACTCAGTGGAGATCCCGGTTGAAATGTCAGCGCTCCTTTTCTAACAAAATTCCTTAATACATTCGAGTTTGTTGGCTTTATCATATTGTTGAATATAGTTTCGTAAATAAGTATGATCAATGGACCAAGGACTGGGTTTGTTCCACACTTAGAAAGTAGTGAAGTTGTGTCTAAGCAATCTTTTGTGGTACATCAAAACTATGGACACACGCTTTTTTGTAAGAAACTGTTTATAAGAAACTATTAATTGTCGGATATATAAAATATGACAACACATGTTTATACAGACAAATTTTGATCTGCAGGAGTTTTCTCGTGATGATCTGGGTTTATATTCTTCCAAAAAAATTCAACTTCAAAGCAATAAGGTAACTTTAGGTCCCGAAAATTAGAAACCAATTCAAAAACATTTAATTCTAAAACATCAAAGTTTGGATGACAAATTAAGAAACGTTTAGTGCCTAGTGCTGATCCAAGTCTCTTTTAAAAGCGTTTAGGGTTGTTGCTACATTCAACGCTTATAGAATTACACTCCATTCCCAAAAATATTCGAACGGTTGAGCAAAATCATCCGCCTTAGCCTTACTTGTGTGTGAAAAATTTTTATCGAAATTTGACCAGATAATGAAACTATAGCGCAAGAAAATGAGGAAAATGAAAAACGAGCAAAATGAAAATTCCGTTCGAATGTTTTTAGGCATGTAGGGTTGGAGCAAATAGAGTAATAGACTTTAGTAGTTCTTACAGTTTAAATAAAGATTCAAATTTCATTCGTTCATACAGGGAATTCTTCGCATATCCTACAGCTTTAAAAACTTTTGTTAGTCTTAAAAAGTTAATTTGTGTGTTTGTTATCTATTTTATTTTAGTTTAAAGTTACGTTTTTCTTTTTTGTAACTTAGTGCATAGTAACTGATGATATTGTAGCATACAAGCGAGGCTAACGCGAGGCAACACTGAGTGTGACTTTAGATCGCAAGATGGAGTACTTGCCTTTCCTCAATAGCGACGAAATTGATGATTTTCAAACAGACAAAAGGCGAACAAGTGATCTAAAAAATGAAAAGGCTTGTCATGACAAATATACACCTCTTCATGTGAAAAGCGAGGTAATGTATAAATACATTTTGCAATTGGAAAACAGCTATGAGCAACATTTAGCTTGGCCTACACAATCGTCCACGAAAATTGCGACACTGCTTTTCCTTCCCACCTCACATGAATGTAAACATCTGTCTGGCTTATTTTACCAAAAAAAGCATATCGAAATGATTTCGTCAACCCTTTCTAGATTTGACTTAATCTTCAGACAGACTAATTTCTTGCTCCACCTGCCCATGCCATTGGCAATGGTCTCAAACCTAGCCAGTTATGGATTGTTGTTACCTATAGCCTGTAGGAAATTTTTTTGTGACATTACAGGTGCACTCTTGCACATTCAAAAGATGGGCGTGGTTTGGGTTGTGGCTCAATTTAAAGGGCCTCTCCAGCCAAAAAAAAAAAATTTTTATTGACTAAAAAGTTAGCATCTAGTGCATGTATTATGGCAAAGTTGTTGTTTTTGCAAAATTCCAATTAGTTTAGAAGTTATAAGGCTTTAAAGTTGCACCTTTCCGAGAAAAAAACGACAAAAGCCGAATCAGTTTGGTGACATTCTGACGTCACAATGTGCGGCTCTCGTTCGCCATGAATTTCGTATATATCTTCCACCAAATGGTGAAGGAGTCATGGTCACGCATTGATAACAGCATCTAAATCTAGAGCAGGAGCTTTTTAGGATCGAAAAATATTAAATGTTTACAATCATTCTAAGTTTGCGGGTCAGAATGTGTCCATGCTGTGTCACAACTTAGTTTTGATCACCTGTGTAGGCCCATCAAGCTACGGCTTCCTGTTCCAGCTCTTCCCTCGCGTATAATTAATCAAAATTGACACTTCAGTTGTTCTCCAGAAACGATGAACAACTAAAGGCTTCAGAATTGATATCTGAAATGCTCAAACTAAAAGCGAGTGGAACAGAACTGAGAGTACCATCACTTGCAGTGTTCAATTTTCGAATCGCCGTGTTCGATTCGGTTTGAGGCAAGACTAACAAAATACACTGTGGCATCAAAATTGCGTCACAGTGTCACCTAACCGAAAAATTTTTGTTGGTTAATTCAATTCAATTATCGTAATGCAAGAGCTTATATCTTACAAACTGTAAAAAATATCGAAAAACAAATAACTAATTCTTGATCAGCAGGCTCAACTCCTTTAGATTAGCCAATAAAATGCAAGTGCAAAATTTGGCTGGAGAGGCCCTTTAAAAACTTTTTTCAAACATGGCAAAATGACTTTTCTTAATTTGTTCATAACTGAGATTGGAAAGTGTCTCGATTCTAAATTTAGTGATCCTCTTGAGATAAGTACCATCAAGAAGTTTCAGTTGCCCTGGTGCAAAACTGAAAAGTAATGCCTCTTGCAAACAATGTGAGCAGAAATGTTTTGTAACAGGGCTCTTGAGATTAGCCCAAAATACACTTCAGAATATATTTTGCACTCATTTACTTGCAAATATTTAAAATGTTTTTGGCTTTTTAAACATCATTTCTAAAATTTATGTACTTGCCAAACAATCAGGAATTTGAAAAAGCCGCTGATCGTAGTGGTAGGTAAGCATAGTTCAACTCATAATCATTGAATTTTCCTGAAATGCAAAAATTGATGGAAATAGGATAAGTGCCAGAAAAATTTCCACCCACAAAAATCACTGGGAAATTTGCTGCACACTCAAGTGTACAGATTTATCACCAATGTACTCTTGCAATCCTGGATAATAACCTGTGCACTCCTGAGATCTCGTTGAAAAATGCCATGAAATCCAGCCTTGGTCTCAACAGTGGTGTAACTGAGCAATGCTAAGAATCAGGTTAGTGACATATGAATACCTGGTTGGGTCCAATTCAGTTTTGAAATTAAGCCTTCTAGAATGGCTAAAAAATGTATCTCCAAGACTAAAATTTAGCAAAATATCATACGGCTCAAAATAGAAAATTTGATGTTTCACAGACAATTTGATGACAATTTGAAAATTCTCATCTTTTGAAAGTGGCTTCAGCCCCCCTCCCAGTGGCATGGTGCCTGCTTTTGCTTTGCTTTTAGCAAAATTATGTGCAAGAGTCCCCCCTTGTTATTTTGATAGCACTACACCATTAACGGAGAACCGACACGCAAAAATAACTTTCGCTTATTCTATGCAAAATTTGTCGCTTACTTCAAATCTGGAAAAAGTTTTCTTCTTAGATTGGCCGTTTTTCTGATATTTGCACTTTTATCCATCAATTACGTCATAGCCAGGACTCGGGAATTTACTGAGGCGGAGACAGGATTATCGCCAGGAGTTATTAAAATTCTCGGCTGAAGTCACAAGTGACATGTTAACAATGCCCTTGTAAAGGCTTTCACCGCAACGGTGAAAGTACAAATGAAGTTTCGTGTTTTATTGAAAATATTTGCAATGAAAAGACAAAAAATTGTCAGGCATTTCATTTATAAGTATAAAGAAGCTAGAAAATCCTAGCTACATGTCTGCTAAGACGCTAATATCCACATAAAATTTACTTTTATGACATGATATCTTCAAAGCAGCATGCTTTGAAACATTGAAAAAGCCTCTAAGCTTATGAAAAAAGGAGTCAACTTTGTTTGAAAACTGATACTGTTTTTGAAAGTTTTTATTTATATAATTACAAATAAAATCACAACGGGTGGAGGGGGTTAAAGCAATAGCCAAACGACAAACGAAATCTAGTGGAGATGCCGGTAAAGGCGATCCTGCCAGGCCTCGCTAAAGTGCTCGCAAGCAAATCGTGCCGGTCAAATTACATCTGCAGGCACATCTGAAAAAGTGGTCCTTTTACAAAGTTTCCAATTGTTTAAAAAATAAGAGAAACAGCTCAGCTAAAACTTCCACCATGTTAATGTTATTAAATGCTTCTTTTCATTTGAATGAATCGTTAAGATACTCGGAAAAGGTTGCCTAAGGCCATCACACTAGGGATATGAAGCCCAAAAGCACATACCGTGGTATTAGTAAATGCAGTCGAACCATGAGGATAATGAAATGCGACAAGGTAAAGAGAGGGTGAAATGAATCCGAATTATGGACACAAAGACACTGTAAATTTTGAAAGCCATGCAGTTAGTGACAAAATTTGTGAAAAGGCCTTGAGATGATTTATCACATAATGTGTACAGTAAGAGCAACAAGGAAACTTTGAAGATCATAAGACCTTTAGTCGATTTACAATCAGGTTCACTCAAAGTAAAGGAAAGCCATTCTTCCCATGTTGCAGTTGCACCCCTTATAGGATATTCATTTGTCAAAGACTTCAAACAAATTGTGTGGATTATCTCAAATGTATCTGGCAATGAACTTCGGTTTAAATTCAGAGAATTTTTAGACGTCTACAAAAGTAGGCTTTACCGCTTTGTGAAAGTGATCTATGTAGCAAAGAGAGAATAATAGATTCTCCTTACAGCAAGAACAAGATATTCAAGTATCTTGTTGTGATTATTTATGCCGTTTGCATTGATGCGGCTGAATCAATCATTGAGTGAAGGCTTTCGTGTAAAAATATTCAGGACAAACTACCAATCTGGGTAGGGCGCGTCCAGATGGAAATTGCAATTGCTGTTAATGGCCCAAATATTAAAAAGCTGAAAGTATCATTAATTATAGAACCAAACAATATCAAGCAACAAAACCAACTGCCATTTCGTTCATTGCTCGAATAAAATTAAGACTCAAACTCTTCAAACGTTTTGAAACGAATGAAAAAATTATGGCCAGATTTTCCATTTTTGTCGAAAGCTAAAGTTTGCTAGTTTGTTGAAAAAACCATTGTCATTCGAAAGTAATTTTCTGTTAAAGTAGTTCTTTGAAAATTTACTGGTCTTAGAACAAAAAGGTGACTCACGAAAAAGAAATGAAACAGAATGTCGTATTGCTGGCATTGTTTCCAGAGGAAACAAAATACTGGTTTTTCCAAATAGAATTCTAGAAGAATAAGTTTGCCTACAGAAGCTATTTTTCTACATTTTTGTACGATGCGTCATTAAACCTTACTTTATTTCTCTTATTTCTTTATATCCTGCGCAATACATATGAAAAAAGTCTTGCAGGCACCTTTTGTAAAACAGTTTGGGCTTGCAGGCACAAAAAAATTTTAGGGAGGTCTGGATCCTGCAACCTGCTTTGGGTGCAGAAATATGAAATATGAAAAAATAATTTCACTGAACTTGATTATTGTATTTTAACAGAGGTTGAGATACTAGGGAATAACCTAGTCTTGCAAAAAGACCATCCTCCACCAAAGTCAAAATTGTTTGGAAAAGAAGATAATGCACCAATTAATATTCCTATGTCAGCTAAACAGCATTTTCTTCGACTAAGAAATCAAGTTCTTTGACTAAGAGCTAAGAGCATATTTTGTAAATCCAGATTTTTCAGCAGCCTTAAAGGTAACTTGTCCTTTCCCAAAACCTTTCACGCCAAGTAAAAATGGCTTATAATTTGCACAAGTACGACTTTTAACCCACTTTTAGTATTTAATATAACGATGCAGTTAACGCATTTGACACATTGCAAAAGATCAAAGAATGTTACATTGATAATGAATAACTTGCAGTTCCGTTTAGGACATCATAGGCATTTCAGCGAGTCAAGCCTATACAAAACAGTCTGGACAAAAACACCTCACTCTGAAATAAAATTCTAGTTTTACGATTCCTGATCTCATTTAAAATGTGCCAATAGCAATGTTTTTAATAGAAAATCCATATCAGTTTGTACTTTCAGTCTGTTGAAGCAGCAGCGCTGGTTGGTGGCACAAACTCAGACAGCTGAAATTTTCCATTTGTTTCGAAATCAGTGTAATACATCTCCGATTCAGTGTCCCAATGAAAAAGTCAATTATATGTCAAAAATGCAAAATTAGCTCCTTTCAAACGCACAAAATAAGCATTTGTCTGCAGCGTTTTCTTTAAGGTTTCTATAGAGAAACACAATACTTGCTGAGAACATGTTACTTGTGACGTCAAAGATGATTGCCCATTTGTGACGATTTCGTCTCGAATCTCAAGTTGTCGGAACAATTGTCGTTTCTCAACTTAAAACGCCTGTATTTCAAAATGGTAACTGTGATTTAAAAAATTTTTTCGATCCTGGGATTTGCTTCCCACAAACTACCGTTTTAGCCAAACTTATTTTTGGGTGTCAGTTCTCCTTTAACATGTGTTTTATCTCTCCCAGCTAGTGGTGGCCAGTACCACATAGACTGTTAATCCAGTTTTGCTGGCTTTCATAATTGTGCAAAGAACAGAGCCAAAACCTTGGAACTGAAATATTTTTAATGTGTTAGTTATAACACCTAGCACTAAAATTTGCAGTGACATCTTCCTTTGTTAACTAAAATGAACCACCTGGTTGATGTGGCCCATGCTGTAAAATCAATTTCTTGAAAGATCATTATCAAATTTTTAGAAATATGACCACAATCAGTTGGATAAGATCTTGAAGGATCAAACTTGCATGATTTTACTTGAGTTATAACCCAACTCGCACTTTTGTTGTTCTTTTCAGTTCATCCTTTGTTGTTCATCCAAAACCCATTTTTTCAAGAAACTTGTTAGAGGCTCCTTTGGGGCCCAAATGTTTTGGGGCCCATAGTTTTGTGTTTAAAGGTGCACACCATGCGTTTTGTCACTGGGTCTGAAATATATTTTGCGAAGAATTTTAGGTTGTCACCAGACTTCAAAGTTTGGGTATGAGCAGAGAATTTCTCCACAAATCCTTTCCATGCATTAGATTAATCTGGACAGTTGCAGCATGGATTTTTAGTTGTAGCACTAAAATTTAATTTAATAGTGGCATTGCTATTTTTTTACATTTGCTATCAAGCTTGTAGTTTTCTGGTAATGCTGACTCTTACTTGAAAGTACAGAAGGAACTCTTTGACTAGATCTCAGATGTGGCAGAGGCTCTTCAGCAATGGGTACAATTCGCTTCAGAAAAATAAAGTACAGTTTGTTGGAATATACTCAAAATAAGGTTGCTACACCACCACCCCCCCTCCCCCCCTAAAATTTTTGTGTTCTGTAAATTTTGCTTAGATTTGGTAGAAAGCTTTTTGGTAGTCAGTAGTATTAAAATGATACCAGCAAAGTTGCTTTATTTATTTATCTTCCTTTATCTTTAAGTTAGAAACTCACTGTCAACCAACAAAGAAGCCTCTTTATTTTACAGGGTCTTCGCTTGCTTATCAAAATTGCACTTGCTCAATTTCACGATTTTCTGTCTCAGAAAATAAAGACAAAAGGGCATAAAATCCCACCATTATCTAACACCCTGCCCCAATCCTTGCCCCTTTGATCCATCCTTTTTGAGAAACATGAACAAGAAACATATCAATAGCTGTTTTGGTCAAACTATTTGAACTTAATTCACCAACCGTGTGCCCTTCTGAAAAATACAAAAAGTCTAGACCAGGTGTGACAAATTTCTTGATTGATTTGACTTTGAATGAGTTCTGTGGTATTTTCTAGTCAATATGCTAGCAAGATTCAAGTGTTAATCTTGCATGTCTTGTTCTCTTGCAGTGGTTTAAAAATAAACAATTTTCCAACCAAGATGAAGAGTTGACAATGACAAAATTTGGAGCACACATTGCTTTCCTAAATGAAGATTACCAAAAGTCTATGAATTTGTATAGGAGGTGCAAGGAAATTTTACCATCAAATGCAAATTTACTGCTCCGAGAGGTATGTGAATCTGAGCTGCGATGCCTCTTGAAACTGGAAAGGTACAAAGAAGCACATGAGAGCATAAACATGTTGGTGAGTTTTGTGACATATATTTTCAAAAAGAATTTTTCAAGACTTTAGTGAATAAAAGTTATGCTTATCCTTTAAATGCATATATTGCTGTTGCAGTTGGAAGAAAAAGGAAATCCTCAAGATTCTTCACTATATTCAATGCTGGCTGATGTCTCTATTGCAGTTGGGCAATTTGATGGTAAAAAAATTTTTATAGCCTATTGATGACTGAGTATTTGAAAGCTAATAGTCCAGAGGGTCAAGGGGGAGCATTTCCACCTGACAAGGGACTTTACCACACCAACGTTATCTAGACCAGTTTTTGGTGTATAATTCAAATCTGGATATTAATCGGGCAGGAGAGGGGGCTTTTCCGAGATACAGGGGGTTTTGTCCAAAACTGGGATGCAACCTGTGAATGAGCTGTTAATAACCTCCCGAAGAGGAACTTTACCAAATCAACTTTTACAAATGTTGATAGGACGGGAGAGGATGCTTTTCCGAGATTTTGGGGGTTTTGTCCAAAAACTGGGATGCAGCCTGTGAATGAGCTAACAATGGTCACCCGATGAGGAACTTTTCGAGACCAACTTTTTCTAGACCAGTTTTTTGTGCAGAATTAAAGCTGAATGCTGATCAGGCAGAAGTTGCTTTTCCGAGTTCCAGGGGGTTTTGTCTAAAACTGGGATGCAGCCTGTGAATGAGCTGTCAATGACCACCTGAGGAGAAATTTGACCAAACCAACTTTGTCCAGATCAGTTTTTGGTGTAGAATCCAAAAATCAATGTTGATCAGGCAGAAAAGAGCACTTTTCTGAGATACAGGGGTGTTTGTCCAAAACCTGGGATAAAGCCACTGAATGTCCTATGAATAGATAAAGTTTATTTCTTATGCATGCTTAGCAAAAAAAATCATCTCAAGTGGACATAGACTAGTACTGCTGTCAGCACTGGGGCTCTTGACTTATGGAGAGGGATGAAATTAGGGTCATCTGGTTTGGAAAAAGGAATTATTGAATCAGTTTGGTCTGTGAATCACTTTTTTCAAAGGGTCTATAATGTCCCTTTGAATGTGCCTACTGCCTTAATGCAGAAACTACAACTAAAGTATTTCATATCAGTAATATCAGCTAGGAAAAAATCATATTTTGCTGTGAAAAGCAATGCTGAAAGGATAAAGGTTTCAATTTCAAAGGTGCCAAGTTTGTTCTAAATTGTATAATGCCTTCATATCTCAATGATCTCTATGATATGACAAATGCTTATATAATGTTTGGTTTTAGAAGCCGCTGAAAGTTTACAGAAATGTATAAATCTGCATGCAGATTATGCTGTCTATTGGATAAAGGTTGCCAATCTGTATGAAAAACTATCAAGGTCAAAGAAGGGTTTTCCAAAGCATCATAGAGTTGATGAAGATGGCCAGTCAACTGCAAGGAGTGGCCAATCTTTGCAATTTTCTGAGTACTTTTTACATTCCTTCATCACAAAAAAGGATTTTCAAGTCGAACTAGTTAATGGAAAATGCATGGCAGAAGGCTTCTTGCATATAGAAGAGAAAAAGTCAACAGGTGATCGGTTTAGGGATCTTGAAGAAACATGTGACAACTGCAAATTTTTAATATCGGAATATCAATATCGCAATGATATTGGAATAGACAATTTTTTGGATGGAATTCAAGACTGTCTCTGTGATAGGACACTGGACTGTCTTTGTTGCAAATTTATACAAAGTTGTTTTGTCATTGGCTTGAATGGTAGCAAAGTGTTCCAGTCTCTAGCAAGAACATTTTTAAAACAGTTTGTTTCTAGCACAGAGTATCAAGATATATTTAATGACTTGACAGAGGCCAGTGGTTTAGAAGAAAAAGCTGAGATAATCCATTTTGTATTTTGGAAAGTACTGATGAAAATCACTCAGTATTGTGCTTACGGCAAAGCATTGTGAGTTTAGATTCAGCTTGTTTTTTCAAGATATCTTTTTTTAAAAGCACAGAATGGGACCCATTAGTGGACAAATTTTAGCACCTTTTTTATACTACATATTTAGAATGATTTCAGTTACTTCAGTGGAATTTCAGTTACTTCAAGAGCTAGATTGGTGTTGCACTAAAGATGACCGCAGTGGAATCCATCCTTGGCTTAAGTAAAAATATGCAAATAAAGAAATAAATAAGTAACAAATGAGGCATGCAATAAAACTCATTTATACAAGTGGGCATGCTCCAAGATATCTCCACTCATTTCTGTTCATTGAAGCTTGTATCTGATAATTTTATTTTCTACATATGTAGAAAATTGGAAAAATTATGCACCATTCATGTCCTCATTTTCTGGAGCATCAGATAATAAAGTCCTAAATATGAATGGGATGCTGTTCTGCGCAACCTTGATATTGCTGGAAAGAAAAGGAAAGAGTCTGTTTACTAAGCACATTATATGTATGCCCAAAAATTAAATGGCTTGATACCAGTTTTTTCTTTAAATGATGTTTTGGAAATTGCCTCACTGCTTTGGAAAAATTGCCTCTCTTGATTAGTATTTTAATCAAATTTCTTATGCCATATTATCTATGGTTTCTGTTTTGTCAGCATACTGCAACAAAAGTCTGTACAGTATAGTAAAGGTTTCGTAAAAGATGCAGAATATAAAGAACTTATAAAAGTAAGTGTATTTAATATATTTTCATTACTTTTTCCATTGGCTACTCTTGATCTGCAGCTGGAAATAGATGATTTGCTGCCAACCATCCAGTGTCATCTATAAATATATTCGTCTGTGGATAATCAGCAAAATGGTCAAGTTTTTGTGTCAGGCTTGTTTAGCTGCAAATAATACAAATAACGTTCTTTGTGGTTGATGTATTAGATTCCTGCTTAACAAGAAAAATGTTTCTCTTGAAATTTATTATTGTGGTTTGCCCTTTATCCTGTGCATACCACCTTAAAAATAATTTGGAATGTGAAATGATAAGGTGATTGCACGAGCATTCACTGTTAATATGTAGCAGTTTTCCAATAGACACTTTGTAGATGCAAAATCAATCTGATTTAACTTATGCAGCTTTTTAATGTTTCCTTCCAAGATTCAGCAAGCATTGTTAGACCTCACTGGTTGCAAGCATCTGGCATCATGGTTGATTTAGGTATCTGCATTCCCTTATTTTCATTTTGAATGCTTTCCAGTTCTCAAATTAATTGTCTTTGATGTATTTATGAATTTCTAAACAAACTTTTTTTTCAAATTGTAATTTGTTTTTATTTTCCAATTTGTCTTTGCCATAGATCTTAGAGATCCCTTCTTCATCAGAGAGGCAACCACAAGAATCATAGAAACTTTGTTCAAAAGGATTTGTTAAACACCTGAGCAACTCTTTTTATGAACTTGGTGATTTTTAGTTATGTCAGTCATACATCATGTTGTTGACAGGTATGTTTAAAAAATATGTCTATATGCTTATTGATGCCCCAGAGTGAGTCCGTTGTTGGTTTCCAAAAGGAAGATGTGAATATCCAAGTTATCTCTAGGCTTTTTAATGTTAGTTACCGGCTTTTCAAATAACTAGTAAAATTCCTGCGCATGTGTGAGTCAAGGTTAATCTTAAGCAGTTACAAATATATTTAGTATTGCAAATTGTATCTCAAGAAAGTGCCTTTTGCATAGCAAGTATCTTTAAATCTTATGAAGATCTCTAAGAGAATTTTTTTGAAGTGTTTCAAACTTACCTGCAAAAAGCCAGAGGCTAGGACTTACTTTGCAATCAATTGATGTCTGCCATGGAATCAAAAATATTTGGAACAGGAAAACCTTCTATGCACCCAGTTTATGTCTGAAAATTCTCGTCATGCCTGACACTGACCAATATAAGTTATGTCTATAGATGTCTACCTAAGAATGTTCTTGTTGTCTCATCAAAGGATGACACAAGTATATATCACTCTACAAGTGATGCCTTTTTAGCAATTTGGTCTGTATTTACAACCAAAGATATACAGGAACAAAGCAATACGATGACGAGAATCCAATGTCACAAGATAAAATTTTCAAAATAAATTCAATTTAAAGAATATACTATGAATATATAATATATTATATTCTTTAAATTTAATTTATTTTGAAAATATTATCTTGTGACATTGGATTCTCGTCGTCGTATTGCTTTGTTCCTGTATATCTTTCATAACAACACTCATTGCAAGATTCACAGAATCCGGCGGACAGCCTATCCTGCGGTTCTTCCTTCTCACTTTTTACAACCAAACCCTGAGAGTTTATGACTTAAAACACCCCAATGGAAGAGAGAATCTGTCTCATAGTTGTAGATAATGTTGTTTAGCTAACTCTTTGCCCTAACTTTTTGCAGAAATTACCAGGAATTATTTATTCATGTATGTTGCAATAAGTATGTATTTAAAAATCAACTTCTTGTTCATGGACATTCAAGGCATATCAGTAAATTGATTGTTAATTATACGTTCAATCTTTGATTCTGGATCCTCCTGTATGATGGAAAAAAATTCTTACGAAATTCTTTCTTAGGGTGGATAAGGTGTATTAGGGCCCAACACAGATGTTACCATGTGAAATATCAATTATGACAATTCATTTGCTGTCTTTTACTGTTTTATGATCTGCTCAAGATCTTCTTAAAATACCGTGATGTGAAGGCACTAAATATTTTATAGGTTGTTGCATATGACCATTGCATAATCGATATTCAGTGTGCTAACACCGATTAAGGTCACTGTTACTTGATGTTCTTTGCCTGCCAGACAAAATTGTGGATTCCTTTTACAATCTATGTCAAAACCACCTCAGTAAATCTTAATGTTGTAGTTGACTTGGCGGAAATTTGTATGACTCAAGAGGGTTGTTGAATGTGATGATGATGATGATGATGATGGCGATGACCTCTTATCCCGAACGATTCAGTGTGCTGTTTTTCTTCAAGCTAACAGTAACATGCTTGGTTCTTTTCTTAACTTTAAAATAACAATTAGTTCATTTTGCTTGCAACTGTCAACGATTTCACTAAATAATGTTTAACATAATATGAATTATTCAAAAATAAAACAGCTGCATGTTAAAAATGAGCTCAAGAGAAATAGGTTGCTCATTGAGGAAGATGTCAAACCGGTAGAAAAGAATTAGAGATATTGAGAGTGTTAGCATATCAAATATTCTTCCAATCCTCATATTTGCCTAAATCTTACAGTCATAGTAATCAAGCGATCGAAGTACGAGCAACATCTGTAAAATTTACTATCAATTTTTGCTACATTGAGGAAACTTCTTGGTTTCTATTGAATCTAAAGAAAAACAGATGTTATTTTAACGAGCGACGCACTGAATTTGATATCATTTTCCAGCTCCCTTCTAGCTTTAGCTGCTTTTTACATCCGCATTAGATCTAGAGTGCGATTGCTCTTCTTTGGCATTTTCACGATGCGTATGTTATAAGTTTTTTGGTATCAGCATATCCGTCAGAAAAGAAACCGTTGCTTGTACTTCCCGTAAAAGACGATCCAAGAGCTTTTCTTCGTGTGGCTTTTCTCAGAATTTTCAAACAATTTTCTCGGAAATCCGCACTTTGAAATGCATACAGAAAGGGGTTAATGCACGAATTAAGGAATCCAAGAACAACCCCAATTTGATACAGATCGGAATTCCAAGCTACTTTATTGAAATATTGGAAAAGAAAATACATTGTATTGTTGGGTGTCCAACATATAAAGAAGGCCAACGATGCCGTGAAAATAACTTTTACGGTGCGTTTCTTTCTTTGAAGAATCTTTTTAGGTACCTCACCTTCTGAAAAATGACACCGTAAATTGCCTCCCAGCAAAGACATGCACTTGTATATCCTTATGAAATTGACGATAAATATCAGGGCAGGAATGACAAACTGTGCAAAAAATGTGAAGGGGTAGATTATTTTCCTGGTATTCCTGCTCAAGATGTAGACACAGTTCCCAACTTTGGCATCGGTGCTGTCGTATTTTATCCCAATAACGGTTGGCAGTTGGATCACGAAACCAATAAACCAAGCACCAAAGATAAAGAAGCGGGTCCTCTTTGTAAAACCGGATCGTGTATAAGCTGCCAGTGGGTCTTTCACGGCTTCGTATCGCTCGAAACTTATTGCCACTAGAAGATAAATAGAGACCCCGGCTAACCAAAAAGGTACGGTATGGCTCACCTTGCACAATACCGTCCCTGCAATGCCATCCGGATGCGGTATAATCGCTGTCAGAAGAAGATAAAATGGAATGGCAACCAGCGATAGAAGGATGTCAGCTATTGCAAGCGACATGATCAAAATGTTAAACGGCGCCCTTCGGAAGACAGGCCCGTTCTTCAAAACGACGAGACAAACTAACGAGTTGCCTACTAGGCCCAGAATTGCTATTAAACAGTAGCACACCAGCTCCCATATTTTGAAGGCAAGGCCAGACATGATTTCGGTTGAACGACAAAGTTTTGTTTTTTGCTGCAATTTTCAGTTTATTACGACTTCTTTCATTCTCTCGAAAAACAGACTGAAAACCACCGGAAGTCATGCGGAATGTTCTTTTCACGTCAATTATTTCTCGGAATTTCGGTTTGAAACACAGAACAATGGAATTTGAAACTTCAAAAAAAAAATAATATTAAAAAATGATGAGAGCTGCGGAGGTTCCAGTTACTTAGGAATCTCTTTATTTAGGGATCTGCATCAAAAGTTTTGTGATCCTAATCATAAAAATCAAAAATATATTTTTATGACATTGAAACTTAAAAACACGCAAAATTATCAATTTTTATAATAGATCCATTGAACTAAAATATTTTTCCTTTCTGCCATCTTATTCCTAATATAATTATCAGCATATAATTTGCCATTTGACACTATTAGTTTTTTAATGCTTCATATGCATCTGTTTCTGTAAGTAAGTATTACGCAATAATGTCTAATGAATTACGCTTGAAATTTGTATATAGTAGTTACTATATGAGATATTTTGGTAAAGATGATAAAGAAATGCAATTCTAGGAGATACCCACTTTTTATGAATGCCTAATTTTTTGCTGAGCCTCAATATTCTTGATTTTTTTTTATTTTGCAGTGCCGTCGGAACGAAATTCATATTGGGGGGGGGGGTGCCCATTGTATTCCTTCTCATTTAGTACACTGTTATAAAGGAAACATACTACAGTCTGACAATTATTGGGGGGCTCCAGCCCCCCCCCCAGCCCCCCGGTCCCGACGGGCCTGTTTTGAGCCTAAGATGATTCTTAAGTTATTCTTAAGCGACACAAGGCCGGATACGTCTATTTAAAAAGATAAGAGTGAAACTCACATTTGTTTTGCTTTCCAAAAACTCAAATAAGCCAAAAATTGAATTCTCGATAAAGGTTGAGCCCTGCGTTCTTAAATTGTTCTTAAATTTCAATTTTCTCTAGGCTTAATATTTTTATAGATAATAGTCTTATAAAAAATTGTGTACTAAGTGTCTTTTTAGCAGAGGCGTGGTGGGATTTTTTATGAGCCATTTTGATGCTGATCGTTTCTTGTTGTCATCACTTATAGTAGGTTGGAAATGAGTGTCGCGGAGGCAGCGAAGGGGGCCTCACTTCCCTAGCCGGTGGCCCAGTCCACAAATGCTGCATTTGTGGACTGGGGCACAGGCTACACTTCCCTCGTTTAATCTCCAAAATCTGATGTTACTAATGATAAAAGCCTAAAAGGAAGAAACATCTAAGGGGCCTACATGAAGCATTTTAAGGGGCCTGCAGGGAAATTTCCCGAGTTCCGGTGGGCCACCATGCCCCTGCTTTTTAGCGCAGTGAGTGATTTTTCTACCTCTGATGCTACTAAAAGCCCTATTTCTCATTCAAATATTTGCACCGACTTCGTAGGGACTCAGGGGCTCAAGCCCTCCTGGGAATTTTTAAGGGGGGCTCTGTCATCCCTGGCAGCTTTCGATGCAGTGGCGTAACGGAGCAGTGTGGGGCCCTTAGTGAAAGTCGTGTTTTGGGGCCCCCATACTTAACTAAGGTTGAGTCAAATTTTAGAGCCTACCATTCACTCTTTGACGTTTTCCCGAAAAACCCCGTATAGATGGAATAGAACAATATACGAGATTCTGCCGCCAAATATATTTTTATGCTCTTTAATGGTGGCACATGAAATGAAATAACAACTCCTCTCCTTTCGTAATATTTTGAATGTGAAACTTTATCAAAATATTAAAGAAATCTGTGCTGGTGTGAATAATAAATGTTTGTTATGCACAGTTAAACTAGCTACATTTATACTAGGTTTTTTTTCAACCAATCAAACGCGCTCGATTGTTGGATAGACCAGTTAGAAGGCCCCACTCAATAACCTGACTTATTTTAAGCTGGTTTAACTAGCAAAAGTGAATGGGCATTTGACTTTGATAGATACTGTCAAAATTTTAATGACTTGACTACTTTTCAGCAACAAATTCCTTTCTGTCCTTATGAGGTCCTTATGAATAATGAAGAATATTATACGACCTAGATAAAGAAACGTAATCAATGCAATTTCCGTAAAATTATGCGAAAGTTTGTTCAAGAATGCTTAAAAAATGTGATGAGTATGATTTTATTTGAAATGTTATCAGAAAAAAGAACTTTCAAGTTCTATATGTCAATTCTTTTATGCCTTCGAGCATTGACATTTGCGAATCGCTCAGTGAGTTCAATCTTATCAATTGACTTAGCTTCTGAATTTTCTATATACAGAATTGCCAAGTTATCGAGACTTTCTTGAGGTATCTTTGACCTTAAGTACGTTTTAATCAATATAAGTTTTGAAAATGATCACTCAGCTGTGACAACCGTAACTGGAATTGTTACAAACAGAGTTAGTAATTTGTACACTGAAAGAATGAACTCACTCTGCTTTTCAGCATCAAATTTACAATTTCCAGAACTGACTCTTTGTCTGCAATATCGTTCTTGGACTCTATTGCAAATAACCGCAATTCGGTTTCCAAATTTTTCGTAAAATCTCTGGATATGCTGCAATTACAGCTTTAAATCGTGCAATTACAGCGGAAAATCTGATCAGACAACTCATAATTGCCAGTGATTTGGGGTAAAGAAACATGAAAAGGTTTGTTACCAAACTTTGCCCATTAAATCGCAATTAAAGCTGCATAAGAGCTGTATCGACTGTTTTGTAAAAAACATTGACCTTAAACTATTTTTCTGGTTCACATTATTTCAAGATAGTTCATCAAAGAAACACTTGACTTTGTGGTTTCTCTTCTGGGTAATTTCAAGCGATGAGCACCAAGAACTGGCAAGTGCAGAAGCTGTCATCCTCACTGACTCCCAAGAGTTCCGAAGTAACTCTATATCTAAAATTGGCAGTTTAGAAGCCCAGACGCAACTGAAAGATCCAACTTGGGCAACTGAAATTTGTTTGATGTATAATTTATAGCACGCAGAATTCTTTCCCACATGACTATAAACAGAACAAATTCTAAAATATCCATCTATTCTTTGAGGCTTTTTGTACCATCTCTTTCCTTTTTTTCTGACGTGAGAATTAAGCGAGTTAAAACTTTAATTATGTGAGGATATTATGTAGGGAAGCCTTATTGACATGCATATGCATTATCTTACATCATTATTGTGTTTGCTCACAAATCATATCCCGTCCTGCGCCCACTTTAATGTTGCTGTAAATGCTATTAAGAAACATTTTCTTTTATCCAAAAACCCCGCTTTTCGAAATTTTTTTAACAAACATAGCAAATAGCAAATATTTTTTAGAAAATCTTTGCTTTGCAAAATGTTAGGGAATGGCCCCCCGGCCTCACCTTTATCGGAGGCCCTGGACACAGAATAGAAATAAGGCCCTTATTTCTATTGTGTGCCCTGGATTTCGACTAGACTATAGCGAAATCGAACATATTTTCAGCGTATAATTGAAATAACAGCAGATCAAAACGATGCTTTTCTATAAGTCGAGATTTCATGTTGATTAACTTTTCTTTTAGTGAGTTTCTTAAAACGATGAGTGTTTATTGAAATAGGATTTTTGTGACATATGATCAATGATTGTGAATACAGCAAGTTTGGCGCCAAATATGAGCAGCAGCAACAACAATAGTTAGAGAAAGCATGGCGGTTTGAATTTCAGATTGAGATGATGGGAGTTCTTTTGGCTCTTGCTTTATCATAGAATTATGAACAAGGTAAGTTAATGATAATATTTGATAGATCTCGGCATTCTTCTGTCATTTCAAGTCAGATTTATTCTGGAAGGCTTGCTAATGGCAAAGATTTCTAATTTCTGCATGAAAATTGTGTTCTGATGTTGACGGCTTATATTTTCTTAAAGCTCAAAAGTCTTTTTCAACAAACACAGACGTACGGACAAAAATACAATTACTAAAAATTTAAAAAATTAGAACATTAAATAGGGTCAAAACCATTGTAAACCAATTATTATTGTCTTTATTTATAAATTGCATACACAGGTCATCAGATATAAGGGTTTTCTACACGATTCGTAAATTTTGTTAACGCACTAGCGCCCAGGGTGCATTCCATGTCAACTGTACGCCGAAGGTCCACCGGGACATTTGTTTAGGTACACCGAAAATATAAAAGCAGTTAGTAAAACTGTAAACATTGTTGCGCCTGTAAACCAATTATTATTGTCTTTATTTATAAATTGCATACACAGGTCATCAGATATAAGGGTTTTCTACACGATTCGTAAATTTTGTTAACGCACTAGCGCCCAGGGTGCATTCCATGTCAACTGTACGCCGAAGGTCCACCGGGACATTTGTTTAGGTACACCGAAAATATAAAAGCAGTTAGTAAAACTGTAAACATTGTTGCGCCTGTAAACCAATTATTATTGTCTTTATTTATAAATTGCATACACAGGTCATCAGATATAAGGGTTTTCTACACGATTCGTAAATTTTGTTAACGCACTAGCGCCCAGGGTGCATTCCATGTCAACTGTACGCCGAAGGTCCACCGGGACATTTGTTTAGGTACACCGAAAATATAAAAGCAGTTAGTAAAACTGTAAACATTGTTGCGCCTGTAAACCAATTATTATTGTCTTTATTTATAAATTGCATACACAGGTCATCAGATATAAGGGTTTTCTACACGATTCGTAAATTTTGTTAACGCACTAGCGCCCAGGGTGCATTCCATGTCAACTGTACGCCGAAGGTCCACCGGGACATTTGTTTAGGTACACCAAAAATATAAAAGCAGTTAGTAAAACTGTAAACATTGTTGTGCCAGACATAGAAAACTGAATATTAGAGAAAACTGAATATTAGAGAAAACTGTGGTGTATGAGTCTCTATTTTACGTTAAACTATGTACTTCATGTTTAGCATGCCGACTAGCGAAAATTTTAAGCATGCCAAAAAAATTTTATTGGTTTGCATGCCGAATGCCGAAAACAAACCTGGCTGTACGCCAAAGATCTTTGGGCCTAAGTACATGGAATGCACCATGAACAAGCATCATTGGTAACATTTCCCCCAGTATAGGGCACCCCAGTATAGGCTAAAGCTCCAGTATACGGTCAAGCCCCAGTATAGGGGTTTTCAATCATAATTAAGTTCTAAAGTGCTGCCAAAGCCGTTTTGGTGATTGTTCTCGGCCAGTAGACATTCAGCCATACATGGAAGACATTCGTGTAGCTCACCGCTAGCAATAACAAAATACAGCTAGCTCCATTCCTTCAACTTATTTACATCAAAACGAAATGATTCAACAAGTTCCATTGAATTTAATTCAACCAGTCTCAACTAGTGTAATGAAAACGAACACGTGTAAACATAAATGTTGCGATGTTTATGACAAGCATTGATTTGGGATTTTTTTTATGAAATAGAAGTTGAAAGTTGCAATCAATCTCTGTATTAAGTACACCCATCTGAAAATCAAATCCACATGTGACATTATGTTATTTGGCTGTTCAAAATCCTCTTTCCTGATAACTCCACCTCCGTTGTGGGAGACACGCGGGGGCCTGCACCCTCAGGTCAAACATAGAGGATTCTCAGAGTAACGTGGACCTTTGTAGGCTTGAGCGGCACTTTAGAACTTAATTTTGATAGACAATCCCTATAGTGGGTCTTAACCGTATACTGAGGCTTGACCGTATACTGGGGCGCTCTATACTGGGGGAAACGTTACCAGTATGGTTGCCCTGGACTAGCACATCTCTTAGCCTCTATATGTAGGTTCTATTTTATAACATAAGCTCAGAATCAAGTTGGAAATTGGGGGAGGGGGGCTGGTGTCATTGCAAATTAAAGGCTGGCAATTAGCAATTCTTCTAAGAAGGATTTATTTTGATTTTGAAATTGATTTTGAATTGATTAAGTAGGACTTAGTGGAGTGGTATTTTTGGTTATTTGTTTTACCTAGTATCCAAAGGTAGTTAGGACACTGGGAAGCTGTGCTTATTGAACAGTCATCTGGGGTGCTTTCCAGTGGTGAAGCCAAAGGTGGTGCCGGGCCTGACAGGATGTTCAAAAAGATTGTTCAAAATACGATTTTTTATTTTCAAGAAAAAATACTTTAAAGGTGAAGGTTTTCTATAGTTATAACCATCCGTTATTCTGTTATAAGTAGTATTCCAAATCTCAGTCCCGCTGTTAACTTTTTGAGAGCAGAGATAAGATACCACAGTGCTACATATTAGTCGTGCCCATAATTTAGGTACCTTGTGATTTGGTCGTGCCCAACAAAAGAACCATCAATTGGACAGCCTGTGTTTGGTCGTGCTCAACAATAGAGAAAAATAATGCACATCATGCCCTCAGAAATGGGCACAACCCAGTTACTGAAAACGCATTCTGATTTGTTATGCAACACCTGAGGTCCAATGTTTATAATGACAAGGTCATGCCTGTTTCTAAAGGCAAGACAAGCTGCACCCTATATCAGTGCAGGAGAGTCTCGTTGGAAAGTGCAGTCTGAATCGTTCCAGAGTGATCTCAAACTAAGTTTCAATTTGTGTATTTAGAAATGTCTTTAATTTGTGCACAGGAAATTATTTCCAGTTGGGATACAGTTTCAAATCTTTTACGGAACTCTTTAACTTCAAGAAATGTTGCTGAGCAGAAGTTGATGGTGAGGGAACCTAGGCCAATGCCTCCACTTCAACTGAAGACTGGGGTCAGGATGTTCCAAGGAGAGTGGTAGTCGAAGAAGGACTGGCTTTGTGGCAGCAAAGAGAAAAATAGTATCTTTTACTGGCCTTGTCTACTTTTCAGGCCTGGGGTTTCCCAATCTTGGACAGAAACAGGATACTCTAACATGCAGAACATCCTATCTGATGGCAAGAAGCATGAGAAATCAAGGTCTCATTTGGGGGCCTACAAAAAACACAACGTCACAGAGAGCATCTATGTTCTGTTTTTTAAGCCAGAAGAGAAGAAGTTGAGCTTTACAATAAAGAGGTAAGACAGAACAGGGGCATGTTGAGTATTATCTCAGAGGCTGTCTTGTATTTAGCCAAACAGGAGTTGTCATTCAGGAGCCATGGTGAATCCACCAAAATCTTAAACAAGGGGAATTATCGTGAGCTTCTAGATTGTTTTGGTAATTTTGATTCCGTTTGTCAGTGGTGCCTGCATGACAGATAAACAGAATTTGAAAGAGGTAATGCTGGAGTTTTTACTGGAGTTTCTGTAGATATCCAGAATGATCTGATTGAATCTATTGATGTGATTATTCAGGACCAAATCGCCCAGGAAGTAGAAGAATGCAAGTTTATAAGTATTCAGTCCTACGAAACAACTGATTTTTCTACTAAGGAGCAAGTGAGTGCAACTATACGCCTTGAAAAAAGGAGATATCGTAAAAAGATGATATTTAAAATTTTATAATGTCAGTTCTAACAGAACTGCACCTGCTATTACTGCAATCATCAAAGATATATTCAAGAATTACAAATCTTCAATTCAAAAGAAACTCATTATGCAGACATATGATGGAGCTTCTGTTATGTCTGGGCACATTGCAGGGGTTCGAACTTTAGTTAGGGAAGAGTACCCTTATGCATGTTTCTTTCACTGTGCTGCCCATAGTCTTAATCTTGTTTTATGCCAGTCTGCTTCAGCCATTCTTGCTGTCAAGGTATTTTTTGCAAATGTCAGTGCATTCAGTAATTTCACCAGTCTAAGTTCAAAAGGAGAAGATCTTTTTCATTCACATGGAGTTGAACTTCCACAGCCAGGGGACACAAGGTGGTATCATCAATCTCGTACTGTTTCTGTTCTTGCCAAGGAACATTACTCTTTATTTTGAGGAACTTGCTGCTGTTTATACCATATTTTGAAAAGAATGTTGTCCATGTTCACTTGAAATTTATCAAGGCAGCATCAGCGAGTAAGTCATATTTTCATTTTTTAAGCTGACAAATTGGTTAATGTTTACAGTTCCTCTTAAAAGATAATCTGCAAGCATGTTTTTTGTGTAGTATGCATCTCCCTAACTTTTGTTTTTGTATTTTTACTGTTGTCTGTATACAGGGACTTTTTACCTCTGCAAAGGCGCATTTTCTCCAGCGTAGCGACTTTTAGATTTCTGTAGGAGGGAAAAGGCACCGCACTTTGTTGGGCACCACCAGGTTTCGGAGCCCATCTTCGCCACTGGTGCTTCCTTAGCAAAACTTGCATATGCTTGCAGCGACGCTAGACCTCTTGTGCTCACACCTGGCACCTCTAGTGAGCCAAAATATCAAGGAATTCATATATTATATACTATAGTAATTTATATATGGGCATTGTTGCTCGCAGCTCAAATGCTTCCGCTCGCAGGTTGTAGCTGATAATGTGCCATTGGTCACAGTGATATGTCGGCAAAATCATACATGTTTTCCAACTTGTAGCATTACAATCTGTATTTCTAACAATATTCTATAAAACTTGAATGGGAAGTAAGCCCACACAGCTGTATAGGCACCAATATACAAATGTGAGGCTAAGCATATTTATTTTGCCATTCACATTTTGGTATTACATAGTACCAGGGTAAGAATGTAAATTGAAACCAAGTCATTTCTTAATGATTTTAACTTAAACTTGTAGATTTCATCCAAATCTGCCATCATGGGTAGTTTCTAATGTTAATAGCATTCTTGTATCTTGCCAAAAGGAGTACTAGTTGTAGGGGGGGAGTTGAAGGCAGAAATTTCGGCTGAAGGTTCTGCACGATCAGATTAAACTGTTACCAAAAAAGTGTCTTTCTGCCGTTAAATATAAATTGCAAGTATCTATCAACTGCTTTTTGTGCAATATCTCAATAAATCTATAAATTTATATATTCTTATTTTTCTTTTTGTTTCTTTTCTTTAGACACTGATGTTAAGCTTCTTTTAGAAGGCATTCAGTATATTGCTAAAGATAGATCAATAGATAGATAATCACTTTCTCTAAATTTTTGTGCCATTTTTACAGGCTCAAGAAAAGAAAACATTGAAACAAACAAGTATTGGCAAATTCTTCACGAAGGTATTCAATGTGGATATGATGTCGGTTTTTATTTGTTTATAGTTTGTGTTTTATCTTTGTATGATACATCTAATAAGCAATTAATTTATGAGAACTCCAAAGTTCAAGTTAGAGATAACCGTTAGCTTCATAACTTAGTAAAAATTGAATCTATCAAAGATAGGAAGTACTTGGCTGAAGTTTACATTGGAAGTTTTCTTTCTCATAAGCTGAGCAACATCGGCTAATTCTTTAAATAGTGCCTATTTGGCTCTCTATCGTGGCTTATCGCTTTGCTTTGTTCAAATTATCCCGGAACATGGCGGTCGTCAGGTAGTGTCCAAAACTTTTACCTTCCCAATTTCGCCATTATCGGGGTAAATATCGGTAAAATTGCTCTAAAGAAAGTGGGCTTTTTATCATAAATGCGAGAGGTGGGCGACGAATAGATCGCAAAAAGAAGATCTTCCGACAATCAAGGTTAATACCAATCTAGTGATGTAGATAGGAAAATTCATAAAAGAAGATTTTATAAGAGCTTTTATTTTTTCAAAATTTTGTACAAAACTTCACGCAAGTCACGTGTCATAAATCATACTACTCGAAGATTTTTCTTGTCTTTTTTCTTGAAAAGGGTATTTTTAAGTTCTATACCTTATTGAAAGAAATTGCCAATCTGATTCAGAACAAAAGAAGAGATCACCATATTCAGCTTTAAAATATTTTCTCTCCAGATGTAACATTGGATTTAAATAGACAACCATGTAAATTTCCGATCAGATCAGAAGTTTTCCGACAAAAAAGCAGCTTACCTTTACGTTAGCACTCTGAAACCGAGCTAATTTTCTGTGCCATCCGGAATGGTTTTGACCCTGTTACGAAAGAGAACGAATTTTGTACCGTCGCGGTTCCGTTTTTGAACAGGGCTGTGTGAACGCACGCATTAAAGAAATAATGCGTGTGGTTTGCCACGCGCATGGTGATTTCCTTATGGCGAAGACTGTAAATAGATACAAAGCACACTAAATTTGTTAAGGAAAGCATTGCAATTTCTTTTTCCTGATCTTTTGGATGTACCAGACTTGAAAATTACTTGAACTAGCTCCATAAAACTATAGAATCAAGTTGAATCCATTGTAGACACCAACAACAGATCAATGCTTTATCAGTTTGGAGATTTTAGCTACATGTTTTACACATTCCTTTTAGGGGAAAGAGCCTGCATCTCTTTGGAACACAGTCAGTAATGGTAAGAAATTGTGTGCCTAATCTATAGGTTTGCTAAATATACAATAAAAATTTTTTTGACTTTGATGTTTCATGTACGATATCAGTGCTGATGTTTAAAATGATGTTAAGCTTTTTATTTCATCATCTATTGACTAGACTGTCTCAAAGTCAATTTGTTAAATCTGCAGGCAAAATATACGTACTGTAAGAGAGATTATTAACTGTAAAGGAGCTCCTTCAAATTTAAGATTTGCATTTGCAGTAAGAAAATTTTACCTTTGCTGATTAAACATCAGATTCTCTTTGGATGCTAAACTATTTGGTATTTTTTTCTGGAAATGTGCCTTTTTCTTGGTTTTTTGGAGCAAAACGTTTTTGAGGAGTTTTTTCAACAAACTCTGTGTATTCTATTCATTGTATCATCTTCACAATTTTATTGCAACTATTTGATTTCCTTGTTTGTTTATCTTTCAGATGTCGAAGAGAAAAAGAATTTTTTAAATGGAAATAAAGTAAACATGCCTTTGCTATTAGCATACTAGAAATATTAGCTAGCAATGATGGATTGGCATATTTTACAATAGCTTCGACTTTTTTAGCCTTTTTGCCTTGACTGCCTTTGATTAAGAACCTCAGCTTTTCCCTGTATCCATTGGCAGAAAAGACCTCAAGACCAAATAACCACGTAACAAGTTGGCCTAAGCCTTGCTTTTAAATCCCAGGGGTGTAATCCATACTTGGCCTGGTAAGGGTATCAAAATTAAGGAAATGTAAAAAGAAGGAATATGCGAGAACATCTCGTTTGTTGAGTTTTCTTGAAATGAGAATGTTTCAGTTACATTTGCTAGTGGTATCTGGCATATTTTTAGCCTTATTTTACCATTGTTTGGCATACAGGAGATGATTTTAAAATATTTTTATAGGACAGAGTTAGGTTGCGAAAGGGTTTTCCACACACCCTTGCCACTTCCCTAATCAAGTGCCCCAGCAGGATTCTATAATATCAGTTATTAAATAAGGACAATGACTGAATATCAATCTCCTATGACTTGAAGTATCCTGCTACAGAATGGCTTTGAAAAAGATTATTTCGTTAATTTTTTAAGGTGAACCATGGCTCTGCTGTTTTAAAAACACCACAAAGAAGGAACAATGCTTCTGATTCCTCGATTCTTATTCCTAACAGTCCTGCTATTGTTCAAAGGAAACGAAGCTTATTAACCAAAAAACAAATCGGCGATGATGTACAGAAACGGTCAGAATCTGGAATTATTGATTTGGAATCGAACGAAGATATAATTAGAAAAGAACGCAAGCAAGTATTGTTAGATGAAGTGCCAACTTCACCAGTAAGCTGTTCAAAGACTTATATTTTCAGTTCCAAGAAAGCTTTTACAAATGTAAAGCAATTTGATAGGAAAACTAAAAAAGAGTTGATTGATATAGAGAGGGAAAATGGTTTTAAAAATGATCGCTGTTGTGGGTTTGATACCGCTGATGGAAAGGCAAAAGTTTCTATTGAAGGTATAGAGAAGGGAAACTTTGCTCGTGATAGCTGTGAAAAAAGAAAAAGCGTCAATTCAAGGCTTTCAGGATCCAAAATACACAAAAGTAGGAAAAATGAAACCAGTTTTGTTGATCACACGAACAGTTCCATGAGTAGGGCTTACTTTGCTTCTCAACCCTCTAAAGGAAAGTTTACTTTTGGCAAAGAAAGTAAAAAAAGATCATTTGAGCATGACAGTAGTGGCATCTCTCCTTTAAAGAAGAAGCTAGCATCCAAGATCAGTGCTTTGGAGAGTCAGGTATGTTTTGTTTTGAAAATCAGTGTCTGAAGTCAAATGGCAAACAGAGGCATATTTGCCTTGACTTGAAAATGTTTCTGTCAAATGTCCATGTTATGAAAAAATCACATTCTGATTCGTTTCGGTGATTTTTATTTTACACATGTTAAGAATATAACTTGAATTGCAATATGAAGCAAATGATAAGATAAAACTTTGTCCTGTATTCCATTATTTCCATATCCATTATTCATAAAAAAAATGTAATAACGTTAAGACTATTTTTTCTAAAAATTCTCCCTGAGAATTTCAAAATTGTATGTTTTTACACTGGATTGATGATTTAAGTTGTTCAAATGCTTCCAACCTTTTCCATCACTACAAACTGGAACTTGTTGTTTATTTTGAAGACGCTGGTTCCAAATGCAAGTGTTTGTCTCTATGAAATCCACCATAAATGTGTTTGGCTTCCTAGAGCTTCTTTTATAGATATAGTTTATGCCAATATTTGGCAACTGATAGCTTCTTTTCATGAGTTTAAATGCCTCTAGGTAAGTGTTTTCAAAAATCATTATCTTCTGCTATATATTAGATCATAAGTACTTTAGGTCTTCATAGCGTTTCATAAGTCGGTCACTGCAAACAAATTTCATCTTTGCTAGATTTTCCAGCGCTGTGCATGCAGTAAAAATCTGTTATTAGATTTCTTACCAAAACCTATTACATAATCCAAGAAAATATCCATATATTCTTCAATCTATGCAGGAGATATCACGAAAAATGCACGGAGAGCTATTGTGTGCGGAAATACCGATTGATACAGTGGGGGAATCTAGAGTTACTTCACAGGCCTCAGGGAAGAAAGAAGATGAGGAAGTCGTAAAATCTTCTGCTTGCAATGCTGTTAGATCTCGGAAGTCATTAAAACTTTCTAAGGATATTTCTAAAAAGATTCGATTTACAATGACTGAGTCGTCAAGCCAAGGAAGAATTGGGAGATCAGAATCGAAATCCAATAATGTGACATGTGATGGGTATCTAGATGAAGAGAACGACCAGGACGTTATTGCTTCTTATGGTTGCAGCAAAATGAACATCTCAAAGGAAGTTCCCAGTCATGAAAAAGAAAATAGAGGAGAGTGTCACCAGGAGGGCCTTGTTGATTTCGTTAGAAACCATGGTGTTGCCCATGATGGTATTGTTGATAACGATACCGCAAATTGTTCAAATGATAGCTTTGCTGAACTACTTGAAGATTTTGACATGTCGATAGGAAATTGGGAACTTTCATCGAATCAGCAGGTAGCATCTAATAAAGGTCTTGCAAATGATTCAAGCCATAATACGTGAGTGATGTCTCCTTTTAATACAATGTTTATTCGTTAAAAAATAACTAGCTTGCATCTCATGATTCTTTACCAGTATAATTGATGGTTGTTTTGTAGTGCTTTTTGTGCTCATCAAGTCATGATCTTCCTCATCATTGTCATCATGATGTTCGTAATCATTCAAGGGCGGGCCTCCCGTTGGGAGACCGATAGCTTTTTCTGTTTCTGGGGTCTCCCGCATATTAGACAGGACATATAGCTTGACAATCTGACATTCAAGCTAATGTTTACTTTCTCAACGGATTCTGGTAGTAGGGAGTTCAGGCTTTCAGAATCTGCCAGGTGACTTTTTGGAAAATGCCTGGATGTCACGTGACTGATGACGTCATTTAACGGTAAAAATCAGACAAAATCATCGTTAGCTCCTCACTGAAGGGTTATTTTTTAACGCAACTTACATATTTTGACTCATCTCATTGCAAGCTTTCAAATGATATATATTAACGCAAGATTTGCCGACATAAGTATTTTCCATATGACGTCATAACAAATTTTGCATGACGTCATCAAATATTTTATTGTCATAAAATGATACGTTAGCATAATTTTGTTTTAATATGACACTGGCTGTCAGCAAAAGCTTTTCTTCCATATGTTTTTCGATTAAAATGTTAGTATTTAGTTCATTTAAATTGAATTTGTGCTCACCGCAATAGCCAAAGTTCGAAACAGGTAGTAGTCACTATCTGACGAGTGAATCACTTCTTACTCCAAAGTCGCAAAGTCTTGCTCCCACTCTGAACCGGACAATTATTTCTCTGCATCTGCATTTGACTGTTGCTAAGTCGGAAAATATCTTCGCACTATTATAGGCTGTCCAAGATGTCTTCGCACTATAGGTCTTTAGCGTGAACCATTTAGACTTTAAACGGTCGAGTATGTCGTCCAAATTTCAACATCAGGCTTTTGAGACATGTCTTGTAGTAGTTGCACCTAAACAGTGTAGCCAAAATAACCTTGTCAAGTTGATACAATTTAATTCTTTTCTGATTGAATGATTATGGATCTGCTGGAACTGCTGCAGATGATTTTTTCAGATTTGATAAATATCTTTGTCCCTAAATAGCTTTTATATGTTGTTCCACTATATTCTGCTGTTTTGCGAATGTCTTTGCTTTTGCGATAACACTTTCGGAGAGACGCAAAATGATGACTTGTTTCTGGTTCCTCGTTAGCTTTTTTCACAGTAACCTTATAAATGTTGTGCTTATATGCAGTTGTCTCAGCCCACAATTCCATTAATCTGTGATAAAATACAGCAAATTTTGGAACCAGAAGTTTCAGCGATGCCTCAAATGTTGACGATTTGTTTGTTATTTATGCACATAAACCACTAATTTGTGGGTTTGCACTTCTGTGTTGCATATACAAGCACACATAAATCAGTATCTTTTGCAACAGCAACTACTTTTGCATCTTTTGAGTTACCATGCAAAATATTCTGGTTTCCGCCTTTTTGTGGTTACATCTTGGAGGGACTTCTACTTGCTTTTTGAAGTCTCCGATGCTTCTCCTCCTTGAGCTTCGATAAATTGAATTGTCAGGGGCCTGTGACCCTCAGCGCTTTGAAAGAATTCGGGAGCAAGTCTCATAAGATTCTCTTTTTTTCATCAATGTAAAAATACTCTTTTTACTTGGAGTATCTTTTGCTCTCCACTTTTTATATGCACTTGCCTTGATGACTCTCTTTTGCCGTTTGCTTGCTCGTGTGCTGATTCTAAATATTTAGCGTTGACTTTGTTTCCACTTTCATTGCTTTAGCCTCATAAGGAGGATTAGCACATCCATGAATGTTCTTGAAGCAAACACTGAACTCTTCCTTGGGTTTGATGCTACGAACTCAGGCCGTCTCATCAAATCTCCATCTGGCGTTTTCTGGTGGCGTTTTTACAAAATGTTCTCACGGACTGATGACACTAGCGCTAACATGGAAGAAATATCTCGAAGAAATGAGCTATTTTGCTCGAATTGTAGGTTGTTGCTGGCAACGAAAGTATAGTCAGAAACTTAAGCTGCATTCTGGGGCACAAAGATCCAAGAAAACAGCGAAAGCAGTCTCAATAATGAACGAAGACCACCAAGCTTTCGTGATTGGCAAGGCTGCCTCTATCGAAAAGGCATTTGCATATCCCATCAAAACCATAACTCTAGTCTTGCAACTCCTGAAGGTGTACTGTGACAAGGAGATAAAGCTGTTCTTCTTAATTTCATGTGCAAGGAGCCAAATCGATATATAAATCCACCATCAGAAAAATGCCAGATGGAGTATTTTATTTATGAGATGGCCTTATTTCGCAGCAGAAGATAGCCTTATTGAAAAAGTCATGCACCTTCAGCACATCGGTAGGACATCTTGGATAGCCTATATTGCCAAGAAATTTTTCCGATTTAGTGTAACATTCAAATGCGGATGCAGAGAAATCATTGTCCGGTTCAAAGTGGGAGCAAGACTTTGCAACTTCGGAGGAAGAAGTGACTCACTCGTCAGATAGTAACGACTTCTTTATTTAAACTTTGGCTATTGCGGTGGGCACAAATTCAATTTAAATGAACTAAATACTAATATTTTAATTGAAAAACATATGGAAGAAAAGGTTTTGCTGATAGCCAGCGTCATATTAAAACAAAATTATGCTAACGTATCATTTTATGACAATAAAATATTTGATGACGTCATGCAAAATTTGTTATGACGTCATAATGAAAATACTTATGTCGGCAAATCTTGCTTAAATATATACCATTTGAAAGCTTGCAATGAGATGAGTCAAAATATGTAAGTTGCATTGAAAAATAACCATTCAGTGAGGAGCTAACGATGATTTTGTCTGATTTTTTACCGTTAAATGACGTCATCAGTCACGTGACATCCAGGCATTTTCCAAAAAGTCACCTGGCAGATTATGAAAGCCTGAACTCCCTACTACCAGAATCCGTTGAGAAAGTAAACATTAGCTTGAATGTCAGATTGTCAGTCTATATGTCCTGTCTATATGACCTGTTGTCTTCTGAAAGGAAACCTTGATGACAGGAGTGAACATTTCCAGGAAAATTTGGCCACCCCGCGGATACCCTGGGTAACGATAGACGGTCTCCCGCAGATAAAAACCTGTCATCCCGCGTGCGCGGGAGACCGAATTTTCCAACCCTGCTATTGTGATCTCACGATCTTCTTCATCAATAATCTCTATTGTCATTTTTAGAGATTCTGTTGTTAAGTAGTGTATTGAACATGATTCATGCTATTCGTTCTAGTGAAGCTGCGACTGGAATAAACGATTCAATTTTAAACATGAGCCTTGGCAGTGACTTTGAATGTCCCCCTTCATCACCGCAAATAGATTCCTTGGAAAATGAGTTTACAGTGAATACTGTATTGGTTCTTGAAGTTTTAAGACAAGAGGCTTCGAGTAAAGGCAACTTATACAAACCTGAGAAACTTCTGCGTCTGTTTGACGAAGAAACATCGCAGGAAGCAATATGCATCTTACGAGAGGATTGGGAAGGAATGGAAGTTTGCCCTGGAGATTCGGTACACATTACAGGTAAAAAGAGCCCAAGCTTTCGGACTATAAATTTTGTGAAAAGAATTTTAGTACATTTCTTAGTGTTGTCAGATTGAATATTCGCGTCTTTTCACTTTCTCATTTGAAACATGGACAGTTCAACAATGATACTATTTGTGACAGAAGAAGATTCAGCTTCAAAAGAAGGCCTTTGGGATAGAGCAGTTTTTCCTTTGTGTTCTCTATAGTTATGCAACTTTTTGTCGTGCCCAAAGTTTCCATTCAAAGTATTCCTAGAACAATTTTATGCTTTATGAAACCCTCACGCAAACTACGCGAAGCATGTTTCTCAATTTTGCAGGAGAATAGTTTAATCAGACTTCATGTTTTCGAGTAAGCCTTGAAGTCGTAAGTACTTGTAAGTCTTACGAGTACTTACGACTTACGACGTACGACTTACGATACTTTCAGCTTATAGTTTTAATTACATTGCCCTTACTATTAGAGGATTCCTTAGCCCAGGCTAAGATAAAAACTCACCAAGTCAGGTTATACTGGAAACTTGCGAGATGTTTTATTATTGCTGGGGATTATAGCTGTTATTTCGAAATTTCATTTTTTGATTACGTGGAAAAATAACAGAGGATGTAAGGTTATGCCGAAAGCCACCGCCAATTTTACAAACGGAGTTTGGCTTATTTTCTTTTTGAAAATTGAATTCTTTAGCTCTAGGAGTATTTGAGTGCCAAGAAATTTTACGTGTCTTCTATTTTCCTTATACAGAAGAAGCGGATTTATTACATAGCAAATAAACATATTTTAGAACCATTAGCAACTATGAATTTTATTAACATAAAGTTCTTAATCTGACTTTTAAGGGTAAAAACAGAAAAATGCACAACATCTTCTAGGGGATGCTCTGTTTTTTACCCTCAAGGGTTGCAGCTAATAAATCAGTCCCCTTCCGTCATATTTTGTAAACAAAAATTTTTTCACTGCATAAAAAAATGGAAACATAGTACAAATTAAGGCTATTTGTCCATGACACTTTCCTGCATTATATTAAACATTTGAAAATTTCCAATTGTTAACAGGGATCTATTTCAATATTTGGAATAAAAGTACTGTTGTAACGCCGATACATGTTGCAAGCAGACATATCTCCTCCCCTTAAATAGTGTTGGAATGGAAAATGAACGTTTCGCTAAACATCTGCTACACTGTTTCCGTTTCCACCTTCATTTGTCGATATCCAACATGTTTTATGAAAAGAGGAGGACACCATTGAGTAGGAAAGATAATGAGAATGTTGCAAAACTTTTGGCTGGCATTGTAGAATAGCGTCTTTGAATGGCCCGTTGTACCGATGGCACGTTCAGCCACTTTGGTTTTCTCCGTTGTCTCCCTTTCTTTTGGTGAATTTCATTGATAAGTATCCTGGTTATGATGATGACACTTACTTTATTGTAGGCCACTCTTTGCAGCCAGGTGAAACGCTGGTTTTGGACAACAGTTCTCCAAATTACCTGGTCCTTTTTCCTGACACTCTTGTGTCAGGTACGACCATCTCAATGGGTATCACGTGCCCAAGGCGTGCTGTTTTATCAGAATTGTTTAAAACAGATGGTCCAAATGAAGTCATGTTCCTTGGAACTTTTCTCCATGAATTGTTTGACTTCTTTATTCAAGGAAAAGGTTAATATATTTTTCATTCTCATACCTACTGCCTCGTCATATATCACTTTCATACGTTTAAATGTAGCTTTAAAAACTACAAACATTTTAAGACATACTTAGGCTTTTTATCTGACACTCTTCAGAGTATAAAACGTCAGAATAATCATGATAAACGTAAATTCTAAAATAGATGGTAACTTTCCCCCTTCGGGATCCGCTTTTTATGTTGGTTCATTGCAACACCCAGTGGAGAAGGTGTTGATTCGAGAATGTTCTATTAGTCGAAGCTGCATCTTATTTCTATGAAGTATTTGTGTTTATTTCTGTGATTTTCTGTGATTGATCTAACTTTGGATTACCAAGTTAGATCTCAAGTGCTATGTTTCAAAATGCGATTGTGTAATTTCATTCTAAAGGTCTCAGGGAAAGTTTTTAGATCTAATTCATTGATTAGGGAAAGTTTAGGTTGATTACTCGTCTATTTTAGGTATATTTTCACGTGAATAATTGATTTTCCCGTTTATTTAGATTTCGGCCTTCCTGTGCTCGAGCGACGGTCATCACAACTGTTATCACAATACGATAACTTGAACACAATCTACAGTCTTGGAATCGATTATAGATCATTTATGGAAAAAGTCCGTGAACTTTGTTCAGCGATGTCGCGCTGGGCCCGAAAGTTCTTGAAAGCAGAGCCTTGCCCGTCTGATGATATCATTGATTTCAAGCGCGGTAGCGAGGCCGCGCCAGAATCCGATGCGAGGTTAAGCGTGTCCAATATTGTAGACATTGAAGAGAACATTCTTTGTCCATCGCTTGGTTTGAAAGGTGATCATGATAATAAGCATTTTTTTTACTATTAGTATGTAGACTGTTGCAGATCGTAAGTCTGAACAACTTGTATCAGAGTTACTGTTGTCAGTGCCTGTAGAGTGTTCTAAGGGGAGGTTTCCAGGTCCCATTCGAGTGGGAAAGTCAACTTTAATTGATTCACCAACGTGTTGTAATAGCAAAATTGATATTTTCAGAAAGGGGTGTCAAACCCTACATGCCTCTAATAGCTACGATCTTGCCTCTAAAGATTGGACATACAATGTCTCTCGTGTTGTAAAAGCTGGTTTACATAAAAGTATTGAAGGATTTGTACAAGTAAACTCTGGATTACAAACATCATCCTACAATAGACGTAGTCCTGGTCTAGCAGGTGTCCACAGGTTTATAACTGGCCCGTCTGATTGCTGTGGGGGTGGCTTAGTTTTTGAGGCCATGGACTACAGTTCAAAGGGTATTTCTTTGGAGTTACTGTCTTTGCTCCACACATGACTACACTTTCACTAAGAGTGAGGGAAATTTCATCGAGTCACACCATATCAAATGAAGGTGGGGTCGCATTGAGAGGAAGGACGAGGACACTGCTCGGTGTCCTAAAAGATACCTTCAGAAGCTAGATAGTACCTATAGATCATTGGTATTTCGCTTATAAGTAGCTTAGTTTCTGATACATGCAAGGATTTCTTCAATTTGCTCTCTTTCATTATCGGAATTCTCTGCGTTACTTTCTATTTCTCTTTTCAATAGGAAAGATTGATGCATCAGTCACCGTGAAAATTCATCGTGAAAAGAAAGGAAAAGAGTCAAGAAACAAATCTTCAAAATGCTTGGAAACTTACTTATTGCCTTTAGAATTGAAGACTGGAAAAATGTTTTCAAAACTGGGTAGGATTTCTTTGATGCAGAATATTCATAAATTTTTAGATTGAAGTATTTAATCTCTGTTCCTTTATTAAAATATAACTTTGTTTACTTCCAAATATAAACGGTATCGATAAATTATGTTTTGTTTGGATTTATTCTTTGGGCTAACTGTTATTTAAAATAAAGGGTTAAAAGAGAATGAAATGTTTATTTTCAAAAAGCCTATCAATGAGTTCGATTTTATAGGGTTTAATAAACAAATTCCGATATCTTGTTTAATGAAATTGGCACTTCCTTGATATTTCTTACAATCTTTATGGTATTGTAAGGGAACAGGGACAGTATGTTATGTTTTAATTTATTCAGTGGTCATCTTTTCGTATGCATCAACTTCGCTTAGACTAAAACATTCTATAGCACATACCTACAGCTTTGAACTGTATAAGACAGTGAAGAAAATAAATTAAAAACTCTTATATACGAACCTTAACTTTAAAGAGCCAAAAAGCTAAAATTTTTGAGACTCAGTTGTTTTGAATCAGTGGAAGCATCGTTGACTATACGTTTGCATTTGATTTTACACCCGTAAAAAGAAAAACCTTTGCGAGCCTTAGTTAAGAATAAAGTGCTAGCAAGTTTTGGCACTTAAGAGACTTATTGATGCTTTTTATCCTGATTGCCGTTTCTGTTTGGATGCATGTCGGTCCGTTCGAAAGGGCCAATCTAACCGTGTATTTTGACTATTCATAATCAACAGTGTTGGCCCTCTTGCCAATGGTTAGTACTCTGCTTAAGGATAACTATGGGTAGGGTTGTGAGGCAAGGGTGTTGGGTTAGGGGCTCAAGGGGGCTAAGTATTTTTAAAACGTCGAAAATCAGCCTTCTTTTTGCTGTTTTTGGCGATTTTTTTCCGCATAGTTCGGATAATTCGATCTTTTCATAGCACTATACCCTTTTTAAGAGGTACAGCTATTTACAAAAGTACATTCTGCCCCATTGTTATTTAATGAAGTAACTCCCCCGTCTTTGCTAGGGTCAATCGAACATCGTGCTCAGGTGATCTTGTACACGCTGATGATGTCAGAAAAATACGATAAAGACATTGACGCTGGGCTTCTGTATTACTTAAAGACGGGACATTTGCAAGGCGTCCCTGCCACGGTGAAGGAGAGGCGCTCGCTAATTATCAAAAGGAACGAATTAGCGAGGTATCTGTCGAAAGAAAACCAAAGAAGTGCCCTGTCAGTTCCAGGTATGTGATTGCCTGTATGTGATCTGATTCGCATGGTAGAAACTTGCGCCCAGTAAGAAAAGCGTAAGATTGACATTGGTGCTGGCGTAAGAAAAGCTAAAGATTGACTTTGTGTTTGTCTCCCTGTGCTTCTTATGATGACTCGTTCACACGTACAACACATTTCTCATCTAATCATTGTGAACGGCTATACTGATATGTGTAAGTTATAAGGGCATGTCAAAAGAACACCATCAAGCACTTAACACATGAAATCAACGTGTATCTGCAACGAAAAAAGGCAAGATCAGCAGATGAGAAGCTCATATTTATTTATACCTAGCTAAATTTAACGAAGCTTTTGGGTCATTCAAAAATTCTTTAAATGACACTGGAATGGGAAATCTTTAAGAAACGATAGAAGTATTGCCGTTTGTTTTCACAATTATGAAAATAATTGAAATCTAAATGCTTAAATTTCTAAAAGATTGACCCACTAGCATTACGTAAGCGAGGATTTCAGTTTTAATCAATAAGCAATTAAGTAGAATGCTTTTTGATATAGTAGTAATATCAAGTTAGGCAGAAAATTTTTTGTTTTTGGCAGGTTTACTGAAGAATGAACGAACTTGTAAGAGATGCCCTGCTGTAAATACTTGTATGGTGTTTCATAAATCGGTAGAACAAGGCACAAAGGAAACTAGTGGCGTTGGAAATCTCTTCGAAGAGGTAACAGGTAGGAGCTTCAGATATAACCTCAAACCTGTGGGATATGATTTTAAGTCTCAAAAGCTTGCATTCTCGGGACCTTTTTGTTGACAATCTCAAGCTGTAACTTTGACGTAGATGAATTTATATCTGAAAAATTTAAGATAGATGCTCATTGAATACTTTGTAGAATAATGGATTATCAACGTAGCCTTTTTCGTTATTTATATTTTAGAATGTTCAGTTATATGTTAGACTATTTTATGCTCTACGGTTACAAATTATTAGCCAAAAACTCAAAACATAGATCTATGACGTCATCCCTTCATGACCACGTTTTTCTGCTTTAATTCTCAATTCGCTAAGGCGTATTTTGCTACTTGCTTCAATTTTTTAAGATTAAAGATTAAAGAAGTTTAACAGAGGTAGGGAGATTTTTAGATTCTGATGGAATCTTTAGGAAATTTCATAGTTCTAGTCCTGCTCCATTTTAACGTGGTTTCATTATCAAAACACAGGACACCTTACAGAAAAGGAGCTTGAATATTTTGTGAAATGGTATCGTTTGCTGATGTTGGAAGGACAAGAAGAATTTGTTTCGAATGGTTATAAAGAAATGTGGGCAAAAACCAGCGAGAAAAAAGAAAAGAGCGGAAAATGTTTCAGTAAAATGAAAGTGAAGACAGAATCAAAAGAAGGTTGTTATTACTTATTGTGTCAATTTGTGTTTATGATACTGCTGCTGCCTCTGTAGCTACTGCAAAAACGAGTGGAATTGGAAATTTTTGTTATGCTAAATTGTTCCCCTATTTGGTTATTGTACAAATTCTCAACTAATATGTCTCATTGAGGCTTTCTACTTCAATACGCTTTGAACTTTTTGGCAACTCTATTTACCATCTAAGTACTAAGATATTACGGATATATTCATCAATATTCGTGGATGTGTTTTATATGTGCTAGTTTTTATAATTCTTATTTTATGATGATGATAAGTTTAAACAATATTAAGCATTTTGTCCTCTATTGACAGTGAAATCCTTTGCATAATGTGTCATTTAAATTTGGCCTAATATCAGCTTAATTTTGACCAGTATCAGCGCTTAATATTAACCTAATATTGACAAATATCAACGACTAAATTTCATCTTAATATTGACTTATATAGGCAACCAATATCAACAAATATTCTAAACGTTGTAAATATTTTCATCCTAGAGCTTTGATAAGTCAACGAACTCAAATAATTCAACAATTTGTTTTATAGATTAATGAAAGAATTATGCAAAACATCCCAAATTTAACGACTTAATCTTCACTTGTTTCTCCAATTAGATGAAACTCTGTGGACATATTCCTTCTGCAAATGCGAAAACAAAAATTTTGCTGTGCCTTTGAACAGCCTGAGCATCGGAGTTGGAGACCGAGTTGTGATCAGCGAAGAAAACTGCAAAACATTTGGACTATGCACAGGTAATTCCTAATTTTGTATTTCATTCTTTGATGTTTCACTAGGTCAGTATAAATGGCAATTTCTCTTCAGCATCATTCTTAGGCGACCAATCCAGATTTCAATCGCTACTTCACATGATAAGCTCCTTGTCAAACACCTTGGTCTCTGGACCCTTGTCTTGTCTTTTCGCTTTGTCTTTTCGTTTTGTTTTTCCGTTTTGTCTTTTCGTTTTGTCTTTTCGTTTTGTCTTTTCGCTTTGTCTTTTTGTTTTGTCTTTTCGTTTTGTCTTATCGTTTTGTCTTTTTGTTTTGTCTTTTCGTTTTGTCTTTTCGCTTTGTCTTTTCGTTTTGTCTTTTCGTTTTGTCTTTTCATTTTGTCTTTTCGTTTTGTCTTTTCGTTTTGTCTTTTCGTTTTGTCTTTTCGCTTTGTCTTTTCGTTTTGTCTTTTAATTTTGTCTTTTCGTTTTGTCTAATACTCTCGCATCCGCCGAAACTAGATTGACAGGTTGAAACTCATTAAGGCGTCTTCTACTTCAAGTGTCCCTTATTACTGTGACAACCATTGCTCTGAATTAGATGTCTTTCATGGCCTTCTTCTATATTGCATATGATGTTTGTCAACACTTTTACCTCAATCCACCTACAGCAAAAAAACTGATGAATATCGTTTTGTAGTCAATTTGATAAGTATGTAAGTAAAAGGCAATATTTTTCAACCTTTTTCGTCTACAGCAAACTTTTTTATAGCGAAAATTGCAATGTACTCCACAAACAGAGGAGTTTTAAAAAATGAAAGTCTGTTACCTATACCCACAAAATATAGTCATTCTCATTAAAGTGTCTTGAATAGAAACAAAATAATCACAAGTACTTTATAATAAAATAGAATATTTTTATTCACGCGTTGTGAGATTTGGGCCTGTTTTGATAAAAACAGAGTTGATATCCTGGCAGGAATGGAAGAAAGATAGACCTTTTTCAATTTCTTAGACCAATTAGGTGAAATTTGAGAATTTTACATGGCATACTAGTGTAATAATGCTTGATCTTTTAGGATACATTCACAGCGTAACAAACATGGAAGTTCACATTCAGTGTAGGGAGAGAATCAGGCCGAGGTAAGGAAAAGCATTCCTATCCCATCCTAACGTCACATGCCACACGCAATGCATTCTGGTAGTTGTAGTTACGAGCGCCGTTGTTAACCACTCTATTCAGTGTGCTTATGGTGTGCAGCAGGCGCAACTGTGGTTAAATCTAGAATGTTAAGTCATGCGAATCAGCGGTCTTTGATTTTTCAATTTGATTTGCATATCTCTGTCCGATTTGTTCTTAAAGGATATACACAGATACTAATGTGTCTTTAAGCTGTTTGTTAATCAACGTTTGACCAATCAATAAGCGTGAAATCGCTTAGGCGCTTACTGATTGGCTACTAGTTGACTGACACATGACTTAAGCCATTTTCATTTCATTTCATTTTTAAATATTTATACAGGTTTACAGATTTCAGTAACAAAAAAATAACTTTTTTACAAATCGACCTGTGCAAAAACAGAAAAGCCTAAATTAAAGAGAATTACAATGTACAATAAGTTAAAATCAAAAAGAGCATAACAGAACTAAATGTAGAAATAAAATGTACCTCTCATATAGATTTTTTAAAGGTAGCAAGGGACGGTGCCGATTTAGTTTCCTTATTCAGCTCATTCCATAATTTTGCTCCGCAATATGAAAATGCTTTTTGGCCTGGGAGCCTGGGCATGTTCTTAAAAGAGGTATCTGCAAGTTTGTTTCAGTAGAGCGAAGATTGCGAACACTGCCCTCTGAGCATTTGCTGAAAAGTTCTCCTAAATATTGAGAAGCAAGAGAGTTCAATGCTTTATAGGTCAGCGTTGCTGTTTCTTTTTTGACGGCTAGTCCGCTATACCTATTTTTGTTTTCAGGGGCAAGATTTATGACAGTATTTTTCGCATTGAAAAAGACGAAAGTTTATCTGGACAAAAAATTCCTCTTGGCAACTTGATGAAATTGCTTCTGTCTTCCACGGAAGCTGATGCGAAATTGCGGAAACTAATAATAGAATTTGTGGCCCCGAAATTCTCTTTGGTGAGAGAAAATGAGTTCCTAGAAATCACTGGGAAAATTAAATGCCCAGGAACAGCCATGTGAGTGATGGATAAATTTATAATCAGTTTAGTTTATTTCCACAACTTTTGGTTGCAGTTAGACTTGGTTTATCGGGAGAGGCTTTTTGACCGAATTTTAGCCATTGTTAAAGAATTATGCGAGTAGACTTTTATTTTTACGGAGCTGCATCAATTCCTATCTTGTAAACATCCATCTGGTATTTGCACAAGTTGGCGAATATGGCAGAATTACTTTGAAAAACTCATCAAGTTGCTTTGCGTTTTCAAATTGTTTATTTCCTGTCCCGAGTGTAACTATTTGTGCCCCCCTTTCCCCAAAAAGTATGTCGATAGTTTAGGAAAGTATTATACTTGGTCAGGCATGAATGTGAATCTGTTTGGAAATTACAGCTTCCTGAAACTGTGTCAACAGACCCTCCCACTGCAAAACTTTCGATGATAAAACTTGTGAAATGCCTGCTGTACTTGTGAATTGTGACCTTTACTTTACTGCAAGTTTTTTGCAATGAATTTAGCCTGCTTTTTCCTTGTCATCGAAAATGAGCTACTTCTTTCGACCCAGGATTTTGTATTCATAAGAAGTTTCCTAGGTTTCCGCATGTTTATCTAGTTGTTTTGCTATGAACTTATATTTTCTGAAATGATAAATCGACATTTTACATTGCTTTATCTTCTCGTAATGGTGGGAAATATAGCAACCAATTTTAGTAGCACAATATTCACAGAATTCACCCTTTGGGTCATGCTGCAGTAATTTTAATTTTCTGCAGGCTCACAAATCAGAACAGTGGACAAAAATACCTTGTTTCGGATACGAGTATAAAAGAGATAGCAAGAATTTACCATGGCCTGAATCCTGACCAAGCCAGAGCTGTGAGACAGTGCCTGTCAGCGGAGGATTATGTCATGATACTTGGAATGCCAGGAACGGGCAAGACAACAACCATAGCTTGTCTAGTTAACATACTAACTTTGCTCGGAAAGAGTGTTTTGATTGCAAGCTACACCCATTCAGCCGTCGACAATATTCTTCTGAAGCTAAAAAAGGTTTATATCTTCTTGAATCTTAACGCTTTGTTTATATCAGGGAACACTGATTTTCCTCTTTCTTACTCTCCGATGTCTCTTCTTTTTCTTTCGATTTCTGCTTTTAGCTCTCCCTTTTTTACTTTCCCTTTTGTCCAGGCTTTCATATATATTGACAAAGGCCGCAAAAAAGGCCACATATTCCTTTTATCCATTGTTCTTATACCTACTGGAAAATAATACCTTTCAAAGCAACTTAGTAAAATGATTTAGTAGAGTTTTTTGTGAATATAGGTCGCATGTAGTTCTGCATTTAATCGGTAAAACTAGCCGTATTTTTACTTGCATTTTCAATATGACGCTCTGTTTCACAATCTTTTAGCCCTGTATTCTTAGCTTTATCGTTGCAACTATTCATCCTATCTTTCGAGGATTAAGGGTATAGTCTGTTACAGTCGCCTTGCACTCTTTTCTCATATACCTTTTTCTTTAAAAAATGGCAAGAGATCCTTGTATTCATGATAGATATCTACCTTGATCTTCTTTAATTGTTAAACTTGTATTGGCAGATGAATTTGGATTTTATACGACTTGGAAACAAAAGAAGTATTCACGAAGAAATTAGGCCATTTCTCGCTGATGAAGCAGCCAAAAATATAAAGAGCATTGAAGGACTACATCATTTTTATAATCAAAAGGTACTTGACAAGAATAGTTATGTTTTATTTTTCTTTAGTATTCATAACAAGCACCGATACAATAGGAAGTAAACCGGGAGAAAATGTGAGCAAATTGATTTCAGGATTTTCAAGAACGTTGTACAGAACTGTTTTGCCTTAGCATCTGCTATTCTCATTCCAAATATATTGCCTTCTTACCGCAATATTATTATTGAGTAACTAACATTTAGCTTTTCTTTGACGGGTTATCGCATTAAGCATGAAAATCGGAGTAGCAGCTTAGAACTGTCCCGTTCTTTACACCAGAAGCGTGTACAGCTCTGCCTATACGGCATAGAGCTCTTTATGAAAGACCGGAAAACATTAATGTTCATTAGCTTTTCTTTGATATTGATGACAAGCATACTAAACCATGTTTTTAAAATATTTTACCATGTTTTAAAGACACCTATTATAGGGGTTTTGCCTCTTATACCTCCAAATTCTTTTCCAATCAAAATGAAGCTCATTCAAAAAGATTTTGTAGATCTAAGAAACTTTTCATAGGGTTTTTATTTTAAAATTACTATATCTTGTTTTTTCTACAATGCTTTTTGAGAATTCTGTTGTAACTCATATTTTTATCGGACGCATTAAAGAAACACATTTTCATACAAAATCAGAACACACATCAACATCGGATTTTTGGTGTTTTATTTCAGATTAAAGTACCTACATTTTTGCAGATTGAAGAGCTATTTCTTTTAAACCACTACAGACTTTTGAAGCAAACATTTAGTAAACTAAAGCTTTTCGTCTGACACTCTTCAGAGTTTAAAACGTCAGAACATAAATCAAAACTCTACGCTAGGAGATATATATACCCAGTTGTGGATCGAAATAGGCCAATCAGAAAACACGAGCACATGACTGTTGAGGTTGACCAATCAGTGCCGCTTGCCTATTGAGAATGTTACCAATGGAGTCCTAAGGTGAAAACGAACTCCTTTTGTCTACACAGTAGCGGTTTTTTCGTGCTTATGTAGATAGATTCCAAAATTTAAGCTCTGAAGAGTGTCAGACGAAAAACTTTAGTTTACTAAATGTTTGGTAAACATTTTCAAGTTTTGTACCACCCATTCTGATCTGTAACTTCTAACTGCTATCCTTAAATGTCAATAACAAGCCTTTAGTTCTCAAAAATAGCTCTGGTGTTTTCATTTGCGTAGCTTAATCATTGATTATTTTCTTTAAATTTTTGTTGTTATAGAACATTGTTGCCACAACATGCCTCGGAATCAATCACCCATTATTCTTGAAAAAGAGGTTTGATTATTGCATTGTCGACGAAGCTTCCCAGATAACACAGCCAGTCTGTTTTGGTGCAATAAGAAACTCAGATGTATTTGTCCTTGTTGGAGATCACTATCAGCTACCACCTTTAGTACAAAGCGTCGAAGCTAGGTATGCAGCCATTTACTACCAGATATTTCTCAATATATTGTTAGTTAATAAACGTTTTGTGGAAGACGTTTTTGTTATTGAAGGAAATTTTTTGTAGGTTGTCGTAGAGTCCAGTTTTTGTCCCAGCCTGCAGTCGCTGGTTCAAACCATTTTGTTGATCCTCTGGTGAAGTAGAACAGCTTTCGCCAATGGGTACAAAAGCATCTATAGGTTCTTCGAGACTTACTGGATGATTTGTCCCAAGATAAGGGACTGTTCCCACCAGAAGGGATTGGTCCCAACCCAACCCGCAGTTACACCGCAGTGTACCTGTGATGCATTGAGTTATAGATAGGCTCGTTTTTTAAAAAAGATGTAGGGTCCAGACCCTTCGTAGCGTGTCATGAATGAGAAGTACCAGTGACTGCTGGAGCCTTATATTTGTCATGGAAGCTTAAAAAATTAGTCTTTGATGATCAAAGTTGCAACGTTTATTTTCAAAAATAATTTTGATTTTTCAAACCTTAAATAAACTTATGCTCGTGTCGCATGCCGGATAGAAATGCGTATATAACCTGGTGGTCTTTATGGATTTAACTAAGGAATGTGGAGAACGGTGAATTGCTATACGCCTAAGTAATAACTCCTAACCTAAAAAAAGGTAACTGCAAATACAAGTAGCTTTCGCATTATTTTACTATTTTATACCTTTATAAGACTACGCTATGCGTATTCAGCTTTTCTAGGGAGACATTATTGGTAAGCAAGGATGGCTTGGGGGGGGGGAGTTTTTGGCGAGTATTGGACCGGCTTGTTTTTTGTACTGTAAATGGTTTTACAGATTTGTTGTTTTTCATTTATCTATGCTGTCAGACTAAGACAACCAACGGATCCTGTAATGCGCACTTTAGTAGGGATTAGTTGAGCAATTTTTTCCTCTTTTCCTGGTTCACGTTTACTTTTTTTGTTATAGACATTCAGGTATGGATGTGAGTTTATTCAGGCTGTTGTCTGAAAAGCATCCGTCAGCAATCGCCAGTCTGCGTTTCCAATACAGGATGCATAGAGACATCATGTCACTAGCAAACACTCTTGTGTATGGTCATCGGATGCAGTGTGGGAGCGACAAGATTGCCACTCACATATTGAGACTACAGATTGAGAACAGCATTTCCAGTGATTCAGGTAGAGATCTTCCAAAAGCACTAGCTGTCAAGTATCTGAAATAAAGGAACTGTTTTCCCTTAGCTTGTCATTATTCAGATACTACTTGGTTGGACAATTACGGGTGACGCAAACTTTACTCGAGGAACACCTTTAAAGTAGACGTAGTTAGGAAGACGTAACCATGATGCCCCCTTCCGGCCTATGATAGCAGTGCACTACAAATGTCTAGGCAAATCAATCTCGTCTTCTTCTCTCTGGCCTATAACCGTCATTCTTTGCTTATATTTTCCTTTGATCTTCTATGTTCTTCCTCTACAAAACCGCAGGGAAGTAGAAAGCGTTTATAGCTTTGAAGGCATGACGTTTGGAAGGGCACTTGTTATGGTCACTAGTCACTATAACTTTCAGGCAAAAAGCTATCTTAAAAGCGGCATTTTTTGTTAATACTTCTCTACAAGTCTTTCAAGAGAGTGTCTTTCTTTTGCAGACCAGTTGCTGCGTATAATTGATCCTAGCCGGCCCGTTGTTTTTATCAACACAGACTCGATTCCATGTTTGGAGAGTATGGCTGGAAAGCATATACAAAACGAGGGAGAGGCTAGCATTTTATCTCAAATCGTGTATGGACTAATGCGATGTGGAGTTGACCCTTCTAATATTGGAGTTATTTCACCATTTAGAAATCAGTTGAAAGTTATTAAGGAAAGCTTGACGACGTCGTTGGGACGAAATGTAATTCTGGATTTAGAGATCAATACTGTTGATAAATACCAGGTTTGTTGATCCCACTTTTTTCCCATTTTATGATAAACATCTTTTCACAATGTCATTTAGGGCCCGTTCACACTACTCGTTCAAATGAAAACGGAGTCAAACTAATCCGTTTTTGCCTTGCGTTCACACTACTCTGCTATGAAAACGGAGTCGTTTGAAAACGCTAATTAAAACGGATACTTTCGAATACGGTGCGTATTGAATACGCTCCGTTTTCAGTGTGAACCCCAAAAACGGAGACATTTGAATACGCTAACATCGGCAACAAATTACGTGCTTTGTAGTACACAAAATCTCAAAAATTTTGAAATTGAGAATTCACAATGGACTCGTAGCTGTTACAAAAAAGTTTTTCACGATTCACTTTTATTTAATTTCATTTATAATGACGCCAATTTGTTGAGGATTCGTTAACACCTAATGAGGCCACCAACAGCGTTTTTGTTGGAATAGTATGAACACCTATCGTTTTCACAGCGTATTCATATGAAAATGGATTAGTGTGAACCGATATCGTTTTCATCAGCGAAAACGGAGCGAAACGAATACGGAGTAGTGTGAACATAGCCTTAAGCTTATAGTCACATAAATAAGAACTACCTTTAAAAAACCGAACGGATCAGATTTTGTCTGGTGAACGTCCTCTTGTGGATTTTCCAAACATTTTTTTGTCCTCTCGTCCTAAGTGAGTTATACCATTTGGTTTTTCTTTTCGCCTGCTCTGAGACACATTTTACACTTCAACCCATCCCAAATTGACATTCTTTTGGATTCATTTCATACCATATTCATCGTTGTCCATGTAAGCAGAAGGCCAATAAAGCATGATATTGTGCAGCCTTCTTTTGAATCTAGTATCGTGCAAATCAAATAAACGAGGTCTATACGATTAGTTCTATACTGTTAGTTAGCTATATTTCGTTAGCTACGCTCAGTTCCGAGACGTGCCAATAAACAGAGTCTCAGTAGTGTGAGTTCTTTATTTTTTGCAGGGTCGTGACAAATCCTGTATTATTGTATCATTTGTGAGGTCAAATAGCCGAAAACAAGTTGGCGAACTGCTAAAGGACTGGAGACGAGTCAATGTTGCAGTGACGCGAGCAAAGCAAAAGCTTATTATGGTGGGATCAAGAGAAACCCTTACCCTTAGTCCAGTTCTTGGAAAAATGATTGAGTATGTAGACGCAAGAAGCTGGTTGGAGACAGCAGACAAAAATCTGGTTAACTGCCTCCAATTATAATAATTTAATATTAATTTATATTTACTACATTGAATGTTTCTGATCAAATTGATATCAATGCTGTGTCTAGTAAGTTATTGATACTGTAGATCTGGTAGACTTTAGGTAGGTCATGCTTGGCAACAAGTCCGTTCGGAGTGTAAGCAAGAGCTGTAGATGCCACTGGCTTGTGACGTCATGGTCGATAGGGCCTTGATCCGTCCCCGTAGTACATGTCGAAGGTCTGCGCATTACGCCAGCCACATTGATGCGTTAAGCATTGTCTGTAGATGAGGCAATGGGCCTGGGAAAGATGTCTATCATGAAATTGTTGACTACACCATATCAATTATTTGCTTTGCATTCTTCAGAGACGTTAAGCCCTCGAGAGGACATCTGCCTAACGTGAATCCAAATTTTTGCATTTTAGAGTTGGGAAATGAATAAATTTGTAATACTTGTACAAGTGTAGTATTTAAAGTTCGAAGAAAGAAAGATATGTAAAAGAATATAGCGGAATTATGTCTTCACTCAACTCCTTATTGTCAGATATTGGTTTTTATATAATCTTCATCTAGCTTTTTCTCTATGGCATGACAATTCAAAACACAATAATAACTATTATGGAACAACTGAAGAGAACGGTATGTCTAACTCGACTTTGGGATGTAGGGACTCTACCAAAGTTGTGTAAAGCGTCAAATCTCGTCGATTCTCAGTGGATATAGTTTTGAGAAGTAAACAAACTCAAATTCAAATTCATTGGGCTGACTTGTTTTTTGCGACCCTTTCTCAAAACAAGGGTACGAAAATCGGATGGTGTAATAGGCCAAGGTATGCTGCGAAGCATCCGCATTCCGTGCCCAACCTTCCACTTGAATTCAGCCCTTTTCTCAATAGCAGCACCCATGGAAAAGTGATTCCTGTCCGGCTCTGATTGGATTGTTGCATTTTAGTTTGTGTTACCGTTTTCAAAACCGTTCCCTGGCGATCAACGAGTTATATTGAGATCACATGCTGCATAGTTGCATACAACAACCCTGTAGCTTATAGGCCCTTATAAATTATCTATATTGTTATGGAATCTTACACTGTTCTCGGTTTTCCAAAAACGTCCGCCCTTCATGGACTCCTAATAGACTTTTGTCAACTTACGATTCACTCAAGGATACATGTCCCAGAAACCCTTAAAGATACGTCTGGTTTCATTTGACATTTTCTTGTGTCGGCATTGTTTCGAACCGGATTCGTCGGCAGCTGCGGTGAACTGAAATGTCGGTTCCTGAACGATTATCTTTAGTGCAATTCCTGACCATGGCAGGACAGCACAGAAGGTTTTGAAGATCTAATTGTTCAATGGAATGCCAATGGTCTCTAAATACACAAAACAAAGGACATTCGTTCTCCTTCGTTACGAAGACGGCGGGAGGTCTTGCACTAGCGCGTCCAGCAAACAAATACTACAGAATTGTCTTCAGATACGTCTCCCTTGTTGACACGCCGTTTATTGTGCGACGCATGTAATTTTGAAATTGAAAGTGACTGTGCCGTCTATGCAAGTTTTGGAAAGTAAGTCTATGTGTTGCTATTTTCCATACATTTAAATACCCTATTGATCATTTCTTTTCATTTCTACGTGAAACCAAAAACTTGACAACGTTTCTAAACGTTTGTTCCAATTTTCAGACTGCTTGGATGTCGTCAAGATCGATGGCGTTTTCGAATCAATCGAGGTGAGAAAGTGAAAAACTATTCATATGTTGGCATTGTTATCAAGGTCTCTGGCTTCAAATTGCTTAAACTTTTAACTCTTCAGAAGAAACAGGGTTAAACTTTAAACTCTTCAGAATAACTTCAAAAATAAGCATATGGGTATTTCAAATGATACGAAACGTCGTCGTTCCCATGAGAACGAAGACAGTAGCCTAAATCTTTTACTAAGCAAGAAAACCTGCATATCAGACCTTTCAAAGGTCAGATCATGTCTCCTTCACGGTTTTCAAAAGATTTAAATCAAACATTCCTGTTCATCTGCAGTACTTGTGTTACACAAAGTTTTGTAGTCTAAAAATCATTTTTTCACTTTTGAAACAGAAACACACTTTTTGAGATTTTGGCAATGCATGAATTACAGACATGGCCATAAAAATTTTGGCAGGCAGGCAGGCAGTAAATTGCTCTCATTATTAGAGTCAGGCCAGCAATTTAACAAAATGTAAAATTTATCAATAAAATTTGTTGGGTTTATTCAGAAAAGACCACATTTAAAAAGAAAATTAGTCTTTGTGACAGAGAAGGAAATTTTCTTTTAAGTACTTCTGCGACTGAACAAAATGAATAATGAGTTCTATTTACTCTATCATCAAATTCATTTTCACTCAAATTTTGTTTTTATTCACTAATCGGTTATGCTCTAAATTCCACAATGGCTCTGTTTTAAAAGAAAGTTTAAAAGAACATAAAATTGGTGGAAGAGGGAGGGGACCATTAATCCCCTTCATGAGTTAATTAGGAAGGGACCGAGACAACCAGGCCTGGAATTTGCAAATCACACTTCAAAACAAAGAACCCTTCATAAAGTAACAAGATTATTGTAAATGTCTTAATAAAGTTGAAAAGTCTATTAAGTCAAGGCATTACCACACCCCTTACATATCATTTATCATTGTTGTTTTATTAAGACAGTAAAACCTGTCTGAATAAAAGTTGGCTGTAAATCAAAATAAATCTTTAAGTATACCAGTTGTAGTACATTAGTCTCAGCATTTAGCTTGCTGCCATTCTCCTGAAAATATTTGTATTGTGTCTACAACAAGACGTGTTATAACTTTCTAATTTAGATACTTTGAAAGATACTTCCATCAGTAAATATGAAAGAGCTAGTTTCTTAGTCAACTGATTGGAAATACAAAAATAAATGTTAGTATTTTCAGGGAAAATCATTTGAGCCAAAGCGCATGTGACAGGTGCAGATACAGCCCTAGCCAAACTATTACTAAGCATATCCAACTTTATTGTTCAGAGTCCTCCACTGTGTGTCTGTTGATCACTACACTAAAATTGCACAGTGAGGCTTATTACATGTTTAAAGGCAGTGAGTCATGGTAAACAGGTTTGCTCTATAGGGGGTCATTTGGTTTCGGTGTGATTGCTGCTGTTTCACAGTGAGGCTTATTACATGTTTAAAGGCATTGAGTCATGGTAAATAGGCCTGCTCTATAGGGGGTCATTTGGTTTCCGCCTGATCGATGCTGTTTCATGTCATATTTGCATCCGTTGTTGATAACTTGCTATTGATGAAAATTGCTTTGTCAATCAGTACGAGGTGAGTTCGTGTGACCAGTTCCAGGTCAACCAATAGCATCGCAGTCATGAAAATCGTGACTCAGTGGGTTTTGGCACTTTGGGTAAACCCAACCCATTTTATCAGGACTCAATGCCTTTAATAATACTTCATTGAAGCCAAAATGTTTTGAGGATTGCTGAAGTTTGTCATTATTCAAAGAGATGACATTATTGCTCAGTTAAACTTTATAATCAGTTTGTTTTGCTTAAAATTGTTGGGATGAAGAGAAATATTCACAATAAGGTGATAAAAAACCAGACCACTGATGCATTAAAAATATATTATAGACGAGGTGATCAAAAGAGACAAGTTCAGTGTTTCTGAGATTGGAATTTTTTCACATACAAAACTGTGAGTGAATACAAAGCACTGTATTTTTCTTAGGAAAAGCAATGGCTATGCAGTTGTGTATTTCTGACTTTTTTATCTGTGTAGATAGTTGTAATTCTAAATGCATTTTGACCCATTTCTTTCTCATGCTTAACATTTTGCTTCGACTTTTTAATAGGCTTTATATGAGATGGAGTGATCAACATGATATGGTGTTATGCAAAAAGATGTTGACAAATCAACTGCTCATGACCAGAAACGGTACCAAAGAAAGGGGCCAGCATTGGGAGAAACTTGCATCCCATTTAAATATGCTAGTGAAACCCCAATTTTTTGTTAACAAACGCAGTGTAAGGGATCGTTTTTTGAAGCTGAGAAAAAACTTTGAGAAAAGATTAGCCAAAAATTTTCCTGGTGGGTTATCAGAACAGGACTTAGCATTAAGAGAGATTGTAATAACGGGCACTTCTTACGAAGAGGATGTACGTATAATTGAAAATTCAAGGAAAAGGTCTGCTGATAGCATTTCAGATACAAGTGGCACAGAGCAGGCAGAAAATGAAAATACAGAAACAGGAATGGAGAAGAGTACAAAGAAAATGTCTTTTATTGGTTCAGAATGTGCTTTAGAGATTTCAGAATGTGAAAAGCAGTTAAAAATGGAGGAGTTGGAGCTGAGAAAAAAGGAAATCAAGCTTAAAGAAAAGAAATTGGAGTTGATGGAGAAAGAGTTGGGTTACAAGGAGAATGGACAAGAAACATTGATCAGGGAACAAGAGGAGAGGACTAAGAAATTAAATGATATCATTATCATCTTGAAGCAACAAATTGAACAGCAGCAGACTGTGCTCGTTGAAGTCCAACAGCAAAACCAGCTTCTATTGTCTTTGTACCAGAAATCACTAGAGAAAGAATGAATTTAAAGACTTCTAAACTTCAAAATTCATAAACCCGTAATAACATATTTTTATGATGTTTTTATGATTTACCGACCTTTAATAACATGTTTAATTTGTTTTTATGTATGTCTTTTTAGAGATATTTATTTAAGGGTACTTCTCAACAATGACTGAAGCAGCTAATGGAGAATTTGTTAGGTATCTGCTACCTTCCCATGCTTTTGCTATGACATGCAAAACTTGAAAAACTTCCGGGTCAATGTTGACCCCCCCCCCCTCCTCCAACCCCAAAAACAATTCAGAAGCTCCATTTCTGCTTGGATAGTGGGCATTCTTTATCTTCATTTTTTTCTTTTTGTGCCTCGTGATATTTTAATGTTCTTGTAAATTATTTTCAATGTATGATTCCAATTGTATAAACCTTCTGTATATCTGATCACAATGATATTGTGAAGGGCATTTTTCTACCATTTGTAGAATTAGAGAGTTGACTAATATAAAAATGTGTATTGGAAATTTTTATCTTTTGTAAACCGTGTTTTTAAAGGTTTTAAAAAACGGGCTGGTAGACTAATATAACACTTTTTGACATTTCGAAATAGTCACCAGCACCTAAATGGTTTATTTATTTATCCTGTTTTTCTGCATTGTTAAGAGGTTAATGATGAATATGTCTGATCCTTCTTTATGTAGCAAATAAATTTTCCTCACCTCCATATCTCATTGGTAACAAATTTCTATTGTACTACAGTCTTATTTTATAAGGAAAATTTTATAAGACACTAGCCTCAAAATTGTTCAAAGGTTGAGAACAAATTAAGAACAAGCTCGGGCTGAGCTACTATAAAATGTAGTTTTGAACAATGTTTCATTTCAAAACAAGGAGATGTTTGTAACCTAGGGGTTTTTTCCGGTGAACTTTCAAGGAAGCCTCGTTACTTTGCTGGCCATCAAGGCATGAATACTTCCCTAGAGCGCAAAAGCCAGCAACTACACCGTTTACATCCAATGCCGTCGCTAAACCATTTTACTAAGGGGGGTGCCAGTCATCAATTTGCCGAAAAAATAGGGCGTGGCCTAAAAGGAATCAAGTTTAGGTGTGGCATTTAGGGGGGGGGGATAAAAAGTGTTCTTCAACATTTTTATCACCTTCCCACGTCTGGCTCTATTCTTGCAATCGTTTTCAACATTTTACTTTTTTTAAACATACTTTTTGCTACGTTTCATTATTCCATTATTAATTACTTACTTCATGATGCCCCCTAGACATCAAAGCCCTGGAGCGCTATACCCCTTTACCCTGCCCCACTTTCAGTACCAGGATCAGTGTTCAGACTTGTTCAATAAAATTTGACCATTCCCCAAATTTTAGGTGGGAATATGCCGACAGTTGTCAGCTAGGTTCTAGACTCAGGCTACCGGCATGGAGTCATTTGAAATTTTTAAGGAGACATTAACATCTCCTTGTAGTCGTTGACACCCATAGCACTATCTATCCCTATTTTGAATTGCTGAGGGCTTTGGGTGATACTTTTTCGGTGTCTACTGTTTTCGGTTCCTCATCTCATCTCTACTGTTTACTAAAGCTATATTGCTTTGGAAATTTTGAAAGCAAAACCCGACAAAATTCGAAAACTTTTCGAAAATTTGCCGAAAATCGAAACTGGGCCATTTGATAGCCATTTGGTAAGGCCCATCAAATCGACTGGATCCCCCTTCCAGGCCTTTTTTGGAGTGCCCCCTTGGGTGCTACACCCCTGATCGAACCCCTGATTAGGGTGACGGTCAAGCCATTGGTGCGGTAGATAAGGGAAATCGTTAATCCAATTGAAATAGACCAAGTGCTTGTCCAACCAGCAGCAAATGTTTGCTAAAAACAGGTAGGTAAGTTGCCTGGCCACCCTACCTCATCAAATTGCGGCCCAAGATTAAGGGCCTTCCAAGAGGGAGGGGTCGGGGTAGGTACTTGTTACCGTGCTCCCTTGAGAAAAACAGCCAATGTTCCAATGTTCCTGTTGAAAAGTAAAAAATTCCTTGTTCCCTTAACCTAGTAGTGGTGTTCCCATATTCCAAGTGGAAAATTTAAGTTGTTTCCGTGTTCCTGTACCATTTGTTGTCATATTCCCTTGTCCCGGAAACCCCTAGAAGACCCTCAAAATTACCCCGGGTACCAGAGGGTACCCCCAAGATACATGCCCTGTCTAACAGGCGCTTTTGCTGCTTTCGGATCGCATGCACAAGTCCCCTCACTAATATTTTCTATTGACGTGAAAAAGCCGTTTGGATATGGTTTATCTAAAGCTGATAGACAAACTGACACGTTCACCGTATTCAGACATAAACAATATCCGAGACTGTTGCCAAGGAACAAATTGTAGATGTGTGTGAACAATACACAACCTCGCTTTGAGAAATATCAACAAAAACCCTTGCGAAATGTCAACTCGCTGTCACAGTTGATGACTTCTGCAGTTGTCATTTGTGTGGGAAAACTATCAAGGTTATTCCAAAGGATTCCCACAACATGACTTGCTGACAAGGAAATACACTAGCTTGTCTGCTATTAAAATAGACTTGGGATTACTAGATGTTTACGTAGCAGCAAAAACCTTATCTCGTAGCCACTCGTAACCCATGTTGCATAGATTTAGATTTTTTACTTAGTAATATTTAAATAGATAGCTGGAAAATGCACGCATATATTGGATTTGTGTTGCTGGTTACTAGTGTGCTTGCGACCATCTGTGCCTTCAACCTGGATGCTAGAACGGCCAAAGACTTCAAAAGTACAGAAATAGGAGATTACTTTGGCTATTCAGTCGCGCTGCATCAAGCTGGCAATGACTTTTGGTAAGAGTTTTTAACCATTTTTCTAGTCTTATATCTACCGATCTATATACTTGATAATATCACATATCCATCGCATTAGCACTACGATCTGGGAAATTATGTACAAGGGTGTTTAAAAATGGTTTTGCAAAACTTTCAGCTGCAATGCTGCTTCTCGTAGCTTGGTATTTTAAGTAAGCAATTAGGATAGTCTTCATGGTTCAATCTCTACGCTCTACGCTAGAAAACGCGTACTTTCTCAACGCGCTATTATTACTTCCGTGTTTCTACAACTATGCCAGCTCTGTTTAATGTCTTCTATTCGTATAAACAAGTTTCCTTAAAGACCTGTAATAGTGGTGTACGCTTTCCTTCATAATAGTGTTCGATATTTTTGTTTTTCTTGAATAAGGCTTTCATTTTATCAGCTAAGGTCCCAATATTTTCTTCCAAAGCGTGTAAAGTTTGGAACGTTTTACCTCCTTCTTTCTTCGCAGAATCTTAAAATCTGTCTTCTTTCAAAATTATTCAAAAACGTCTTTCAAAACTTCTTTCAAATCAACAAACTTGATCACACCACCTTCATCGTAGCATCCCCCTTTCCCTTGTTAGGGTTTGCTTTAGGTCCCGGGGTTGCCCCTAGCACTACCAACTATAAATATTTATATATATACCCCACCACACACATCCTCACACCAAACCCCACAAGAAGAATGGGTTTATATCAATAATTTCTGAATTAGAGTCTAGTGGGACCTTTTTTGTTGGAAAATTCCGCAAAATGCATTTCATTAATAATTAAAACTTCAGATAGTGGCTTTTCCTGGACACTGCCAAACCTGCCGAGAGAGTTTTGCTGTTTTGGGGCCTAGTATCAAAGCAGCAGAGGTTGACAGAAACCATACCACCACAATATTTGCTGCATCTGCCAAAATTGTTTGCAAGCTCACAATGACTCATCTGGCTCTGGAATGTACTGAAATTAAAAAAGCTATGTAGCTGTTCCAAAGCCTCGCTCCTCATAATAAAAAAGGCCTGTTTTTAAAATGGGTTAAAAGGGTACATATTTCAGGACAGGATGTTGTTTCAGATGTCGCCTCTTCTGGGACTGCCAAAGCAATGTGTTGCGTAGCTTAAGCCTCTAATAGCTACCAACCTTTCAATTTGAGCATTCTTTTATTTATTTTTGCCCTTACGGTTCGGGAAATGACAATGTTCAAGGAATGAGTAATAGCAATGAGAGAACAAACTCTGTCATTTCATTATTTTATAACCAGGTAGCAGATACAAATGGCGGCACTGATATGACGCAATGACGAATTTTAAACATCCACTGAAACATTTCGCTTTGAGCGCTTAGGCTGAAAACGTTTATCCCACCACTCTTCTTCGATTTGTAAGATTTTCTCTGGCCCCTGCTCTTAGCGTGTTACCCTTGATCTTTCAATTAAGCCCCTTTGGCACCCTTTACCCAGATGTCTTTCTCTTGCAGGCTGGTAAAAGAATTCTTGTTAACGTATCTTGTTTTTAAGGGCCGTGGTTGGAGCTCCGAAGGGGAATGATGGGAAAGCAGACCAAGGTGCTGTATACCGATGCAATGTGAATAGCGGTTCCGTCTGTTCGAAGCTGCAGGTCGACGATAGCGGTGAGTAGCTACATGAAGTTTTAGTATGGCTTGTACTTCTGTTTTTTTTTCGACCTTTTGAAAAGATCTTCACCCAACATGAAAAAACGCAACACCATTTTACGAGATGTTGGTGTGTCGAAAGGCAGTTTGTCTCCTATTGTGGGTAGTGGATTAAATAATCTTTGTTGAAAGTGTGATAATAGAAATTTGGGGGTTATCTTATTCCCGTCCTCTCGTCCGTTAATGTTTAGAGAACTGGGAGTCGGGGAGGGGAATCGAGGATGTCAGATTAAGTCAGTTTGATCTATGGGTAGTCGGATAGACCAGGGAAAGTCGGGAGAGTGTTTAAGTCGGAAGGGGGAGAGTCCAGGGGAATCAGTAGTGTAATGGCGGGTTCGGGAAGTAAAAGGGCTTATCTTCTTAAATCAAATTGTTGAGACTTTTTTCTTTTGTTTTTGAAGTCTTAGCAGGATCTACTGCTTTCAAAAGTATATTTCATTTCATTTCATTTTCAAATTCTCAAGAAGGGTTGCTCTTCGGAAATTCTATTGAAATAGATAAAATATTGACAAAGTATTAATAAAAAGTATAATGTGATAATTACATTTGAATAGCTTACAGTTATACTTTTATATTACAGTAGTCAGTAATTGAGACAGTTTCAAATAATATCCAATGGAATTGTACAGCTTAAAATTTTCTAGATGCAGTTACCGTACAAGGCAGCTACTTTTAAAGACTGTTTCTGTTTCAAACTTTCATATACTTTTTCTCAATCTGCAGCATCTTTCATCTCTATCGTTAACACCCAGGACGTTGTTTCCTTTAGATAGCAGCAGCAAGAACAAATCGCAGCAATGGATGGGAGGATCAGTGCTTTCCTTTGGACCCGATAAGGAAATTGTAGTACGTCCAGTTTTTCTATTGCGTCACTCGCTTATTTGAGATATCAATACATTTAGAGCAATTTATAATTGTAAATGCTATTTGAATATAGTACGTAATAAGGTGTAACAATTTAGATTATTGGTGAAAGAGGGTTTGCTGTGCTTATGAACTTGGGTAGAAAAGCAACGGTTAGCTCATTTCTAGGGTTTGTTTCCCGCGCAGAGAAAAACATTTGAAAACACGATAACGTGATTCGAGTTTTCAAGTAACAGTCTTATGATTATAAATGTAGAAATAGATTGAAAATGTTTTTGTTTTTGTTTTTCTTTCAGAATTAACCAATCTAACTATTGTAAAATCGAAATTGTTATACGCAACCTTCAGTCTTGAGTTTTTAGAGGATAAATTCGGTCGGACACGAGAAAAAAGAACTAATGAATAAGTAAATGAACGAATGGACAAACGAAGGAAAGAATGTTTGAATAAATGAATTATTGAATAAATCAAGAGACCGGTGAATCATTGAATCAATTGAGGAAAGGGAATAGGATGTGAGAGTTTTAATAAGAAGACGGCAAAACAAAAAGAACAAGGTGAAAGAAGGAGAGGAAAGATAAGGTGCTGAAGTCCAGAAAAAGTTAAAGTAAAGAAAAATTTAATGAATTGTTTAACAAATAGGTAGTATGTAAATGAGGTGGAAATAAGAAGATTGAAAAAACCCGGATATCGTGTTAGAACCCGGATTGAAAGATCCCGGACATTTGCCTTTTATGTCTCAGTGAAGCATAGGTTCCACGGTAAAAACAATTCTCATTTCTAATTTACAATTTGTCTCCTTAGGCCTGTGCTCCAAGATTCAAGGACATAGTCAGTGGATTGTGGTTACATGGGCGTTGTGCAGTGTTCAATGGAAAGGATTTCTCGCGCATCAGATTTTGGAATCCTTTTCAATACTCATGTAAGGCTATATATTTTGTTGCTGTTTCAATGGTGTATTCACGATTGCGTTTTAAAGGAAAATAATTGGACCTAACACACAATAAAATATACAAGCTATCTCTGCGTCATTGGTCTGGATTTTGTGATAATTTTAAAAGGGCAGGGAGAGGGGGTTATTCACGTGAGGATTCGTGAGTTCAATGCAGAAAGTTTGCCTTTTGAGAATGAGACTACAATAATCCAGACTGTAGGATTGTTCTTCTTAGAGAGAGGTGCTTGGTCTCACAGATTATAAAATGCAGTAAAGAAGTGTTGTTTGAAACATTCTCCAGTTTCTTCTTTGCTTTGAGGAAGAGGTTAAGCTAAACAATAGATAGTAGTGTCAATCAGTTATTCAATAGGCAAGAAAGACAGGGGTACAATTGATTAAATTTTTTCAAATATCTATGTTACTATAACGGTATTAAGAGCTTAGAGTTTCCAGCTTGCCAAGCTATATTTCTGTACTTCAAGCCTGATTTATGTACAAAGGTTTTTGTCTGTACTGGATCACAAACGATAGAAAAATTTGTTGGTTCTGAAATATGTTCCTAGTGTGGTACATGTGACTCATAATCTGCTTCAATTTTCGTAGATTCGTACCAAAAGTTTGGCTACGCTCTGCAAGGTTTCAGTATCGCGAAAAGTATTTCGACGAGAATGCATCTCATCACTGGGATGCCGGGAGCCTTGAACAGCGCTGGCAAGTTTAATCTGCTATCTTTTTCTTTGTTGGTCTTTTATCTTTTTCTTTGTTGATTATTGCATTGTGCAGCAGGGGTAACCGCCCATAATCTATAATCGTGTGCAAAAGTTTAAGACAACGTGACAAATTTTCCCGTTTTTCTATGTTAACATCAAAGTAGCATTTCTTGTTTAAAAAACCATTCTAATGCATTCTACTGGAATTTAAAAAAATTTTTATTATTGATATCTTTAAAGTATATATATAATGATCATATATAATGTAGTGCGAATATGTCAATATATATGGTGTTTTTGGAAATAATGGCGTTTCTACAAGCTCTTTTCCTGGTCTTAAACTTTTGCACATGACTGCACGCGTAGTGGATTTTAACAATCGATAGCGAGAATGGCATACAACTCTTATAGAGAGCTTGCTTTATTAAGAAATCAAGAAACTTGTTTCTTTTTGCAGGTATGCTGTTAGTTTTCAACCCTATATGCGTAACCATAAAGATTTCTGTACTACTAATTAAAATCTTCATATTTCTACCTTAATGGCATTGAGCACTCTGCAGCTGACAGATTTTTATTAACGCCATTAAAACATAATCATAATATATTTTAAATTGAATGAACATTTTGAAAACGGCTTTGAAAAAGCAAAAATTTTACAAAATACCGTCAGAGTTTCAGACAAAAAGCTTTTAGTATGTTGCAAAATTTTTGCATCTTTCAAAGTCGTTTACAAATTTTGTACCGTCAAAAAGCTGTTCGATTGAAAAATTCACAAGCCTGCAAAATTGTAACCCCAAGGACAGTTATAATACCATTTTCAAAAGTTGATACAAAAATGAATTTGCCACAGCAAACAAAATAACAGACGTTACAAACATTATAACTGGACGATTCACAAAACGATTTGAATTTTCCTTACAAACAAACATTATATTCAACGTAGGTACCATGTGAGAAGTTTCAACTTTTTCCACAGGGGCTGTTGGATCTGAGAAGCTTGACAGTGTTACTGGGAAGTATCCATCTCGTTTTGGGCGATCTGGTGACAACAGACTTACACGAGACGAGTACATGGGTACGTTCTGAAGTGTCTGTAAGGTTTTGTTGTTGTTAAGTGAGCATGTAGTGCTAAGTTCAAGTACTTTTATCTCAAATGCTGGGTAGACGGTACTCTTTGCATCTTCCATTTTAAAGGCAGTGTCATTATCTTTGTCACTGAGCGAGTATAGTGGCGGTTATGGTAGCCAGAAGGGGGCCCCGAATGAAAGAAAAAGTATGAAGTTTAAAGTAAAAGGTCACCGCAATCCCTAAAGCCGCCGTTAAGTAGACTTACTCCATGAGCCTCTGTTTCGCTACTGCCTCACTTGACGGACGCTACAACAGAGACTCATAATCCAAAGTACTCAAAAACTGTTGTAGCGTCCGTCAAGTGAGGCAGTAGCGAAACAGAGGCTCATGGAGTAAGTCTAGCCGTTAAGCGAATTTAGCCTGTGTCCCAGACCCCTAAAATTAGGTGTCTAGAGCACAGGCTAAGCGAAACACGTCCCGTATTTTAACTGCCTTTAGGGATGACTCTTTGGTGTTGCTAATCTTCGTAGATAGATGTACCATTTGGAAGCTATTTTATAATACATTTGAAGCCCATTGTATGTCTGCATTCTTTTGCAGCTAAATTAACCTTTTATAAAACACCAACTGGTTGCTTTATCTTCCTTTATCACATATCTTTGTTCTCATCCTTTACGTCAATGTTATTGTAATTCTTGTAGCTAAAAATTGGGTTTTTATATCTTGAACCGAAAAGTTCATCCCTCTTAGCACTTGTATTAAATCGTTGTTTTAAGTAAAGAGTGACATCCTTTCTTTGGGTTTGATTTTCTTCGTTGATTCAAAACGTCTAATTCAATTTTGTTTGGTTTGGAAGTGTAACTGCTCTTATTCTTCCTTAGTTGCTTCTCACAATGCCTTCCAGTGGTTTCCTAGTTGTTTCTCGTTAAATTTCTCAGCCCTCCTTTTCCTTTTTGCATTTTACACTTTCTCAAAACTTTCCAGATTTGAGCAGAAATTTTTATGTGATTTGATAAACTCGCGCAGTCAGTGTATTCCTTTGTGTTTCGTCGCCCCCGTGTCTGTTTCATCACGTTAAACATTTAACTTTAATATTACACAGGTTACAGTGTTGCATGGGGACAGTTCTCTGATATCAGCCATCGTATATACGGAGGTAATGTGAGCTTTCTCTTCAGTTTTTATTGAACCGTGGCTCTGATTTATGAACAATTGCAGTATTCCCTCAACTGCACACGGCATGTAGTGAAGATAAATGCAGAGCAAAAAGTAGTGTGCAATAATCTAAACGCTCCTGTCAAATAGAGAGAGGGGTTGGTATAACGTTCCTCAAAGGTCACTTGTGTCTTTCATGCTCTTTTCGAACAGATTCTTTCATTAGTATAAGTAGCTTAGTTTTATGATGCAAGGTTTAATCGAAGGAGAGTAATGAAAAGGGGAATATTTGCTCCTGGATTTGGCACCGGAGTTCTCTATCTTGAACCATGTTGAAAGGCGTTTTCTTCAATCGACATCTCTGCATAAAAGTTTTTAAACAAGAAACGTTTAACCCTCTCTTTAATCAGAGAACCTGAACCTGCTATATAATACATTTTGTATCAAAGAAACTTGGTACTCACAAAGTTAACAGTGCTCCTTTGTTCTTTTTCTTGAGGTCTTTTTAGTAGATTGATAATTAACAAATGTTTGTGCCTTCTGCAGCATTCACGGTTCTATAACTACTAACTATTAAGTTTTTAAAGTGGCTTTTACAAATGCAAACATTTTGAAACATTCTGAAACTTTTGAAAAATACTATATTGACGATATGTTTTGGATTAATGGTAGAGCCCGTTCGTCGTTCCATCAAGCAGTTTTCTAATCTATCTACACATCAGTGAAAAAACTGTTATTATAATGACAGATGAAGTTCTTTTTTACCATGGACCTCCATTGTTTCACCAACTCCATTGGTAATATTTTCAATAGGCAAACAGCACTGATTGGGCAACCTCAACAGTCATGTGTTCGCAGGCCCGTCGTAACCGGGGATGCTGTAGCCCCACAATAATTGTCAAACTGTAGTATGTTTCCTTTATAACAGTGTATTGAATGAGAAGGAAAACCCAAGCTAGTATATTTATGGAATCTTCGATACCCATGCTAGTATATTTATGGAATCTTCCTAGTTTAGAGTTTCCTATCGATGTTCTGACGTTTTGTACTCTGAAGAGTGTCACACGAAAAGCTTCAATATGTTTCAGAATTTGGCACATTTTGAAGCCAAGCTTTTTTGAATATTTAATAGAGATTCTATGAATATTAAGTATTAAGTAACTATAAGTATTTATCGCTTTGGAACATACAAAACATGTTTTTGCTATTTTTTGTTCACCTTAATCTATGTGCAGCAATCTTTCTTAGATTTTGACGATCAGCTACTGAATCGATTTTTGTCATTTGGAAGTGATTAGACTTTGCACGATGTTTGATTTCATTGTCTATTTTTATGGGCAGTGTTGACGAATCATTTTACTATTTAAACTTTGGGCCTTTTACCTAGTCCTGTGCTGTATCATCGTTTCCTGCAATATAGTGGAGTCAATCCACGTGCACATTTACATTAACTGGAAAAACTCTTTTCGAAGACATTTTCCTAACATGTATATTACAAGTAAATAGCAACGAACGAACAGACTGAGAAAGTGTACCTCGACACATTTTTTAAGAAGATGGATACAAAAGACATGTCAAAAGAAAATCGATAACATCATTTACCAAAATAAATGAGAATATGGGCATTATATTTTAATGTTTCATTTCCAAACCATTACAGATTATGTTTTAATGTTTCATTTCCAAACCATTACAGATTATGTTTTAATGTTTCATTTCCAAACCATTACAGATTATGTTTTAATGTTTCATTTCCAAACCATTGCAGATTATGTTTTAATTTTTCATTTCCAAACCATTACAGATTATGTTTTAATGTTTCATTTCCAAACCATTACAGATTATGTTTTAATGTTTCATTTCCAAACCATTACAGATTTTGTTTTAATGTTTCATTTCCAAACCATTACAGATTTTGTTTTAATGTTTCATTTCCAAACCATTACAGATATTGTTGGTGGTGCTCCAAAAGGAACATACGGGAAGGGAAAGGTAAAACTTGTCTTTTGTTTACATCAAGAGGTCATTTAATCAAACATAGATCATTTAGAAATGAGTATATTAGGCCGTTATTGCGGTGGGTGGCATGGCGAAATTCAAGCTGATTTTGTTTTATCTTTTAAAGCAAAATGCGTATTTTATACTTCTTTGGATAGCAAATTCCATCACACCTTGAGCGCATCTTTAAATCTGCTGGATTGTAATAAGACGTTACTCTATCATTCTATTTTTACGCCCTTTTTGTGACTAAAAGCCCAAAGAAGGGAAACAAAAAGGAAGGAAAACAACTCAATTATTTAATTGTTTCATACAAAATGCTCAATATAGAACGTTTATTTTCTGATGACTTTTTTTTGAACTTCTTCTAGCTTGAAATACTGGCAATCCGAATCTAACATATAAGGGGAAAATTTCTTTTGAAAGTATCTATCTACAAAGCCTAGTGTGATCTAAACCTCTTATCTATCTTCAAAAGGTCTTTATTTATGAAATGGGTGGATCTATGAATATACACTCAGTGATAGAAAACCCAGACCCAAACGCTCACGTAAGTACAAGCGTTCATCGTCATTCAAGGTTATTGTCGAAAATTCCTAGAAGATGAATATTCTATTTTCAATTTGCATTTATATTGTTGTTCAGAAGGAAGGTTTTAGCAGACTGAGAAGCGAACTATCGGGCAGTGTCCTGGTCTTCCCTCTCTGTGTGCCAACACCTTGTGATTCAAACGCCTGGAATATTAGAGAGCTGGCATATCCCTTCACTGTAAATAGAAGTTTTGTCACGGCAGGGACTCGAACCACAATCTTTTGGATCCGTAGTTTTTTACCCTTACTACTGAGTATTCTTTGCACTAAGAAGCATCAATCAAGCGATCAATCGAAGCAGCTTTAAGAAGATCTTTTTTGCAGATTTGTGTGTGCAGAATAATTTTTGCACATCAGAATAATGTCGCGAATATACAACTTGACACGCTTTAAATCATAAAAACTTGTATTCTTTGTTTTCACCAAATGATTGCTCTGCATTCACAGTAATTTAATTCTTAATTGTCTGTACGAAATTATTCGAGTCCTTTGCACACAATTGAATAATAAGTGAATAATGAATTATGATCTGTCTTTACTGATGTTTGCTTTCTTTGTACAAATCCAACACGGCTCTCCCTTAGCTTCTTTTTTGATAACTTCAAAGGAGGGTTGAAAATATTTCAAAATTGTGCAATGAGTGCCAAGGGCGAAAGATCTTGATATTCTCTTAAGTGAAGCTTTTGGCAACCAAAAGGATTACCTTCTGAAGCAACCAAATTTCATCAGATCGTGCAAAAGCTAATTCACATATATTCTTCCCCTTGTTGCAGTTAAGCCCATTTTTCCTATTTTAAAAATTCAAATGGGTCGATAAAAGTTTCTTAATTGATAAAATTGGACCTTTACTGTTTTCCTATAGAGTGGATCATACTTTGGTGCTGCTGTATGCACAGTAGACTTAAATAAGGATGGGTAAGAATCGTCACCTTTTATCTTTTACATTAAACAGCCATATTTTGAATGTTTGTTTTTTTGCAAGTTTTATTTTCTTTTAAAGATGTAGCGCAAAAGAAATAAATGATTGAGATTAAAAGCCCAAGATATTGGCGTTTTCGACATAGCAAGAGAGTGAAGTTATGTTGCAGTAATATGCAATCATCAGCCCAATGGCTGTAAGCTGTATCTTTCTTTGATACCACGAAAGTTTCCAGAACATAGAAATGAAAATCAGCAATTACAAAGATGTGAAATTCAATATTCCTACCTGAAACCAAAGAGCAATTCTGAAGTCTTTGCTATTAAGGTTTCTTATCATTTAATTTGTTTATTGTTTACTTTCATGACGTATGTAGGTAGAGGTATATATAACATCGTTTTCAAGTACATAATCACGTAAATTTTTAGATACAGGGTGTTTTAACCATAGAATTCAAACGGCCAAATCGTACGAATCGTGTGTGGTCAATAAATTACCTAATTCTTGTAAATGATTAATTAAAAGTCTGAGTTGTTAAGCCCCTATCATTTTGAGAATTTGAAAGCTATCCTTTTGTGTAATTTATCATCATATCATAGAGGTAGCATCGAAATTCTAGCAATAAATCAGCTTTGCGTTATCTTATTTGCTGTTAGCTAAAAATTCACGAGTGATTTTTTGTGTGCCAGAAAACCAGACCTGTTGATCGGTGCGCCATTTTTCACGGTCGCGGATGAGGATGAAGGCAAAGTGTATATCTATCTGAGTGACGCAAAAGTAAGCCGTTTTGTTAACCAATCTTACACTCTTTATGCTATCATACATGATTGAAACAGATTAATAATTTGATTCTTGCATCAATGGTTTTTGATACCCATGTACAATCAGGCAATCTGGAAATCAAAATTTTGGCTGAAAAGGTTACGTCCCAGTTTCCTGTCTAAGCTTTAAAACCAACTTATGCCTCCCCCTCTAGGTCATTCCTTGACTCTAACATTAAGGACATAGCATATATCCTTTGCCAACCTTTGGAACATAAGTTTTTCAAAACCCTCGTTAAGCTTGGTAGCAGCTGCAAGTGAATTAATAATACACTGCATACACTTTTATCTTTTAAGTGGATACTTTTTATCAGCATAATCGTTTAAAGTTATTTCAATTTTCAATGAGTTAAAGGTTTGATTTCAGGAAACATTTTCTTATTGTATCTCTAACAACCTGTTTGGCCTTTTCCTCCAATTACACCACGCAACATTTCTCCTCCTACCAATCACTTTCTTGCCCAAAGTCACGAGTCTGGGATTTTGATCTTAATAGCTGACATTTTCAAATGAAACTCGACAAATTCAATTGTCTGTAATATAGCATACATTTTTCGGCCTCAGTGACCACATTTTATTGTAGGGAATATATAAAAAAATGCTTACAGGATTATTTTTCACAATTTGTACTTGTTTTAGTTTGATGCGCAAAGAAGTTATCACGAGTTAATTAAAAATAAGATTTACATCACAAAAAATTCAATTTCGATATATTTTTTAAAATTTTTACTTGATAAATTTCTTGAAATTTCCAGGGTACTGTAAACAAAGTTGGCGATATATCTGGCGAGTCACGTGGTGGAAGATTTGGAACTACCATCTCATCAGTGGGCGATGTTAACCAAGATGGTTATCCAGGTATGACTGGCAATTCTTCTTAATCTCGTTTTCTATTGGACTTCTTTCTTGGAACAACGTGTAATAGCTTGTTTGCTATCAACTTAAAGACTCATTGCTAACAAGGAGCCATTGCGCTACGTAAGCATCCCATAATGCATTTCAGCGTGTCTAAAATCAATTTTGGTTAATCCATAGAAAATTACTGCCATTGTTTGGACCGTCGCCACGCTCGCAAAGGCCCATTGTTAGCAATGAGTCTTTAAGCATCTCATTAGGAATTTTTTATTTTATTATTCTCTCTTTTTGCTCTCTCCGGGGTCGGGGTGTGGGACTTGTGGCAAGTTCAATTTTTCTCAAAAGCATTTAATCATTTATTTGATTTTATTGAAGAATAGGGGGGGGCTCTCTCCTTGATTAGTTTACCTATTGAGAGAGCTCCTCCTCAAAGTAATTCGTTGCATGCAATTTATCCTGGTCTTATGTATATATTGTATATTGTATTAATTTTCCGTATCAATGTATTAATTTTCTGTAATATTTCTTATAGTTTAGTTACTTGTTAGTATAGCAAATTATATATACATTGTATGCAATGAATTTAAAATATATGAAACTGAAAATGAAACTGAATCTTCTAATCTTACAGGGGAAAGAAAATTTTTTTTCAACTGTGCGTTGTCTTTAGCGCGATGATTGGAAATCACGTATTCAGTCAGCCTTATTCAGATACCCTTCCCTATTCAATTTACGCTTGCTTTGAAGATCCTCAGAATCATTCTCAATTACTCTAAAAAAGATTGCCTACTCTAGAGTTGCAAGTTTTATCTTTAATCTTTCAGACGTGGCAATTGGAGCTCCCTATGGTGGAACAGACGGTAAAGGTGCAGTTTACATTTACCACGGATCCAAAAATGGACTGGAAACCACAGTTGTTCAGGTAAATGAAAGCATATTTTATAACATTGATTGATCGACAGCAACCCTTGTGAAAAGATCTTAGGGCTAGATTCTGAATTTATTGAATTCAGCTCGTCTGATCTCTTTTTCTTACCTATAGTTTTTTAGGCTATGAATCTTGAACGGTTTTTAGGATAGTTTTCCATTATTTTTCTGCTAATTTTACCAATTCAGTGTAATATTCCATCTTCTCACTTAAAAGCGAGTATGAAATTTTCAACAATATAAACTTCATGTCCTTTCATACCCTTGGTACTACAGCCTCGTGAATCCTGGAATAAAGTATTGTAGACAGTATTGTAGACACTTCGGTACTCGATTCCCCTGATTCAGTACCAACCAGCATTTTTGCAAATTTGATGTAACATAGTCCCCATCTAGATACATGTGAATAGGTATCTAGTCTTATCTCTACTTATATGATAAAGTCAAAACTATTATTGAGTTAACTTCTGAAATCTTAAACTCGGTTTCTATCATAGAAAATATACGCATCAGATATGCCAGGGAATCCGGCAGGTTTTGGCCAATCGATATCTGGTGAACTTGATATTGACAAGAATACCTACCCAGGTATGTCAACATTCTTCATTATTCAGCTTTCATAGTCTCATTCATAATCATTTTTGAATAGTAAAGGGACAGTAAATTTTGTCTTGAAGTTTTAGTGAATTTTAGTGATTGAAGCAGTCCTGTTTTTCTGTTATGTAAGTAATTTTTTGAGTTTTTAACTGAGCCTGAAATCATATAATGGCCAAATGGTGAAGGGAAACGCTATATCCACGTGGACGTTATATCCAATGGAGATTGAATGAGGAGTGAAAATGTGATTTTGATCGGTGTACAATGTAAATCAGCATTCGAGTCTAGTTTTTTGCTGTTTAACACTTTAAATACCTCTATCAACATTATTTCAATAACTCTTATTGGATTTTGGTGTTAAGGGACTCGTCCCAAGTTCTTGTCTTTAAAAAAATTAATTATATTTTGCTATTTAACTGTACAGAATTTTGAAAGATCAAGAGAAAAACGAATAGGAGTCGCTCTTTTTCCTGAAATTTGAACTTCAAGCAAAGTTTAGTGTGTTTTCAATTTAAGCATTATACTAATTTATCGTTTGTTCCTGTAAAGCACTGATTTTTTTCTTAGACATCGTCGTTGGAAGTTACGCTTCTGGTCAAATTCATGTGTTAAAGTAAGTTCAGAACGCTGTAGAATAGACTATATTTCATCAATATAAGCACTACATTCTATTGAGCTGACTTTGCAATTTGTACCACCTTTGATAACTACAGCTGCACGTTCTATATTCTATTCTATGACAGATTCCATACATAAGCATTGTTTATGAGATCACCTTGATCTTTTATGATAATAATTGCGTTTGCCCAATCCAGGAGTAGACCGATATTGACGTTTTCAACAAAAAATGAACTGAACACGACGAAGGTGTCCATATCAAAAAGGGACATAACTCCGTGCAGAGAAATCAATCGTGAAAAGTACCAGTGGTATGTTCTTTATATTTAATATCTAACTAAAAAAATTCAGGAATGGTATATCGTCGCTAAAAGATTCTGAATTTATGCGTGACAATGTGTTTCAGGTATATATTGATTATACTGGTAAATTTGCGTCTTGAATTGGCCTCACTCTAAGGAATGACCTTACTGCATAATCGAAGCTTGGATTTTGATTTTGCGGAAAATCTCCATGTGTAGTTTTATCTTTTTGTTACCAAAGAACTTATAACTATGTCGTAATGTTGTTTGGTCTTTTCTCTTTATGTTACGAACTGGTATTTGACTGATATCTATTCCAAATAATTGCAAAACAGTATATATCTTTGAAACAGCCGGCCGATTCATCGTATTTGGAAAACTTTCGTCACTGCGTTGTGATGTAGATGATTTTGCAAAAGGCTGTTTCTTTTCATTTTGTCAAACGTCTGAATGTAGCGATTTTTCATTTCAGCGTCAAGTTAGATTTTTGCTTATCTTACACTGGCTCAAGTGTACCAGCAACATTAGGTGAGCGTTATGTCTTGTCCAGTTTCACTCTTCGATTTTACAACTTTCTTATCGCCGGAAAAAGGACTGGCTGCAAATAAAAAGGTTTATGCGTGCCTCCAATTCTTTTGTAGACGTGCGTACCGAAATTGAAACAGACAAGGGAAAGAAGGGTCAAAGGCGGGCAGTGATGTTGGAGGGTAATGTCGAAAAAAGGATGATTTCCTTCCAGAAACAATACACCAAAGGAATAAGTCAATGTGAAGACCGGATCATCTACGTCACAGTAAGTTAAGAATTTCGCTTTATCACTTAAATTACTATAGTTAATTTTTAGAAAAGTACTCATTGAATGCAATGGAACTATGGAAACTTAGCATCATGTCTTTCACAGTGATTCGAGCCTTGCCAGCATCAGCTTCTCTTTATACTTTTTAAATCTATTTATTGTGTGCAAAAAATAATGAAGAAATGACTGCAAACGCACTCATCTTGCGCCGTGTATCCGTACGTCCTCTAGCCCCGTGCGTCAAGCATAAGCTTCTGCAGTGTTTGTTCTTTGCAGGACGAAAATTTAGGACACGATTTGTGTTTTTAAATTCTGACTATCAACGCTGTACATAAAAACTCGCCCCCTTCTTCCTTCTGTGATAACCTGTATATATTCTCATTTAATATCGGTGACCATGTCTTTTGTTGCAATCTGTTCGTTTAAGCTGAAGTCTCTACAATCAAGAAGCGAAATTCTTGGTACACGACATTAAATTTTCAAAAAAATTTCAGTCACGTCCCTTTCCCCAATCCGATAAATGTTGTTTTATGAAATGAAGTGGATTTTGTGTGGCCAAATAGCTTTTTGTCAAAAAGTTATGACATTAATTTCCATGTTTCGGTGGAGAGAAGGAAGGGTAGTCGGTCTTTTCGATCGTAATAATTCTTTAAAGTAAAAGGGTACTGAAGCAACAAGGATACAAACTGCACATAAAATGTATTAAGAATAATTAATGAGCTACGTTCTCTATTGGCAGCAAAATCCAAAGTCACTGAGCAGTGGCATCACAGTGAATATAAACTACAAGTATATGGAGCCAACAAGTGGTTGCGGAGGCACAGTGTGTCCTATTGGAGACTATGCACGCGATGGAGCTCTGAGTAGAGATCTACAACAGGAGGTATGTGCAAACTGTTTGACGCCTTAGCAAAGTAAACAGTAAAATGCTTCCGAATTTCCTTAAGACTATCCTTTATCAACAACACTGTTTTTTCCTAGTACAGTTTACTTCCATTGATTGTTATTATAGCATTACATTGTACCTCGCGCAATCTAGTATATTTATGGGCTGTTTTGAAAAGCCAGTGATCTTGTGCAAGAAATTACTGATATCTACACCCCTTTCTTTTTTACTATCTTTCATAAAAAACATTTGTTGATGATTTTTTTTCGTAAGCATCCAGTATGGCTAAATTGGTCAAAAACTGGCTCTAGTTGGTTTGAAAAGAAGATTTATAGGTCTTTTTTTAAATATGCAAATTGTGCACATAAATCCTAGGTGATAGGCCATATAACAACATAAGAACTTTTGAAAGTAAAATTTTTTTGTGCATGGGCTTCATGAAAAATTTCATATTAGTATTAACTGTCAAATTGTTCTTTATTGTCTTTTGACATGAATATGTAAAAGAATTTAAGAAAAGACAAATCTCAAAACAAAATGTCTTGAAAGAAAATTTTCAAAACTAAGGTAGTCAAAGTTTACGCCACTTGAACAATTTTTAAATCTAGCATAACATCAAAAGTTTTTCGTTTTATTGCAATCCTATGCTACAGAATCTTAGAAAAATTTGGCATTTCTTTAGTGTATCTTTATTTTATTTTCTTGAATACTTCCTCGATTGATTCTAAAATAAAGATTACTTTTAACAGATAACATATCTTCGAGGATGTAAAAGTGAAACAAAATGTATCGCTGATTTGGTTGTTCTAAGCAAAGCTGAAATACCTGGGTATTCTTTATTTGAGTTTTATGAAACTTTGCTTTTGAGTTCTAAACATTCTATTCAATCTTTCCTCGTAAATATGAAAACACATGCACAAATCTATTGCGCATGAACATAATGAGGCAATCCAAACGACATATCTGAAATATCGACATTTTTCATTTTAGTGGCTTAAAAGAGATTGAGTTTGGGGTGGTTGAACAATTTTCGCTGAAAATCAACCTGGAAAACAAGGGTGAAAATGCCTTCCTATCAAAAATGAATATCCTGTATGAAGATGATTTTGAGCTGATTGGAGTCACCTTCATCAAAGTAAGTAGTTAGCCACAGAACATATATAATCTGTTGTTTTTATCGACAATATCTTACCTACTCAATGATATTTCTGTGTTTAGGTGAATCCCGTTAGTCGTACCCCGGGTAAATAGGACTTCAATTAAGTCCGACTGATTTTCAATCCTCCTCGGATTTTCCTTCATTAGTCAAGTCCGATGTCGTACCATAGATAAGTCGGACATTCGCTGAGTCGGTCCATTCCCTTACTCCCCTTGACAATCCGACAAAACGGGATTTAATTGTATTCCAATTGTGTTTGAATAACATCGATACTACAATTTGCTGTAATGTATCTGGCTGTCTTATTCAAGAAGATAATAACCAGGGGTATAATGGTTTTTTTAAACTAAATGCAAGAAGGGAAACATTTTCATGCAGTAGAGATTCATGTAAACTGTTGTCAACTGTATATCAGAATTATTTAATTGCTTTTTGTACATCGTTATTTCCGTAGTGGCTTGATGAAAGGAAATAGATCCACCGTAGGAGCTAGATCGAAGGAAATAGATCCATTAGTGGATATATTTGTATCATTTTAGTAACGATGCTGGTGTTGATAAGTGCAGATATAATCATATTGACATTTCAGAATGTCAGTTTACTTGTTCGAGCAGCCATCGATAGATGCTAATTGGCAAGAGCTATCTGTCAATCGATTACTAACCAATCAATAAGCAGGCGAGAAACATCACGCTTATTTGTTGGCGAGATAGCAGGAGTATGAGTTCTAAACAGAGAGATGGCTCAAGCCACTTTATTATTGGTCGATCGCCTTTAATAATGTTCATCGATTGAACACATATAATTGAAATGAAACGTCAAGTTCAGCGTTTTCCTCGGTAACATCTTATAGGCCATGGACCAAATTGTTTGCTGTCGGTACTAATGCTTTTATCCCTCAACAGGAGCAGTCACCTCTTCGGGAAATCAAGAGGGAGAATGACAAGAACAAACTCACCTTTTCATTGCCAAGCCCTTTTGCACCAAACAGGAAGGTAGGGATGCTGGCAATTTCTTACTGCTATGCTTAAAACATAGATGTAGGAAACATTTCAAAGACAGGTGGCATATAGGCAAAAATGGAGCACCTCCGTGAGCTGCAAATAGGAAATTTACTACTTATAGGTGACGTGCTTTTGCCAGAGCTGCAGTTTATTGTAGAGAGGCATGCAGACACAGCTTTGATTTCCCTCTCCAAGAGACATACTAGAGCTTGAAGAAAGGCACCAAAGCTTTGCAAAACCACCTTAGCTATTGGTGAACGAATGGTTATTAACTTCAATTTAACAGCATATGTTTTTTTTCATAGCTTGATATAGAGGTGAGATTCAGTGTTAGTAAGCTGCGCCCAAGCAAGCAGAAGCTTTCTTTCGTAATCACAGCAACCAGGTTAGTTACTACAGGTATGATTGTTTAGCCAGGTCTTTGACTTCCTTAAAACTGGTCGAAAGAGCGACGAAAAATTCAGATTAATCGCCTGTTGTACCTTTCTCCAGTGTAAGAAATCTCTTAGTTCGGTTTGTTCCAAAGTTTGAAAATCAAACGAAATCACAAGTCGCATGACAGATCAAAAATCACATGAAATCACAAGTCATATGGACGTTCTACAATCACATGAAATCACAAATCACATGAAAGTTCAAAACTCACATACAAATCACAAATCATATGAAAGTTCGACAATCACATGAAACCACCAATCATATGAAAGTTTGACAACACATGAAAGCAAAGACAGAACGCCGTCTTTGTCCTTTTGCAGTTTTTGATGTCACCTTACTTGTAAAAGATAAACATTGTCTAGTTGGCACAGGTGTGCACTATCGACCCATATGCCTGTCTTGTGTGGTTAGTCTTTTTAATACTTTCAGGACAAGTCTCTAAACTAAAACTACAAGACTTCATCAAAGAAACAATTTTTTTCATATTTTAGTGATGGAAGTGATGAAAAAAACGCCAAAGATAACATAAACGAGATTATTCTAGCGGCTACAGTGCGAGCGGATCTAACTGTTACTGGGTTCGTATAACATACAAAGTTCTTCATACTGCTTATTTTGGGTGCCGAAGCCTAAGGGTAAAGGGAGAGGGAAAGAGAGAAGGGCAGAGACATTCTCTCCTCTGTTTTTCTCTCTCCTGTTCCTAGGCTCTGATGTCCATGGTTCATACTGCTAAAAAGCTAAAATTATCCGAAAAAAGTTTCTCTTGGATTTTTATCTGCATAAGTCAATGATATGCTAAGGCTACTTTCGCTGTAATATCAACATCATTTACACATAATTTAGAAGAAGATTTGTTAATGCTTAATGTTTGATTAGATTTTCGCTAAAAATTTATTTAGATGTCTTGAAATACAATATTTTCAAAGTTAAAAAAATTAGTAAAATAAGATATGCATCTCCCTACACTTATATGTGGATGATCAAGAAAAGTTGACGAAATGCTTGCTTTCAATAAAACATTTGCCGTTTGCATTCGACTATGGAGATTTTTCACAACTTATTCTAGTCTATCTATCAATTTCCTCATAGTTCAGCAACGCCGTATAAGATAACTTATGATCAGAAGCCGATAACAAGTGGCAAGCTCACTAATGAGAGTCAGGTTGGAGCGATTGTCAATTATAAGTTTCTGGTAAGTCATTGAATTGTTTTAGATTGAATTATCTTACAAAATCAAGCAGCTCTCATTATCATTCTTAGAAGTTTTAAACCAATTCATTTCTCTACTTTTAATTTAATTCTATCTTGTGACGTTTCTTTCTTAAAATTCCATTTCTTCCTAAATCCGTTTAGCGATTCTGTTTTTTCTTTTCTGAATCCGTTTGTTTCTTGTGAATCCGCTTGTTTTTGCGAATCTAATTATTTTTTTTTGCGGTACAGAATTTGAATATTTTTCATCGTGTTATTTCGGACCCTTATTCTGACCTTTTACGCTCTGAGGAGTGTCAGACGAAAAAGCTTTTAGTATGTCGTAAAATGTTTGCTTTTTTCAAAGCCATAATCTAATTATTCTTGGTCAACCAAATATTTTGATGTGATCCAGAAGGTACCAAGACGTCCAAGCTCCAAGACTCTGTCATTCTTCTCCATTTTTCTTTGACTTTAAAGCATCTATTGAACCTTTGTATACAATGCGACATTGTCCTTTTTGGGACAATGTCCCTGTGTTAACCGTAGAAAGTTTTAAAGACAATATCCATATATTTTAGTGACAGTCACAAAACGTCCATGCATTTTATGATTTAATCAGGGACAAAATCTTAATTTATGGCTGCTTAATCTATTGAAATTTTAGGAAAAATTTACGGACAATTTAGTGATAATTTGTGGAAAATTTAGGGATGATTTGTGGACAATTTAGGGATAATTTATGGACATTTTAGGGATAATTTATAGATAATTTAGGTTTAATTTTTGGGCATTTTAGGGATAATTAATAGATAATTTAGGTTTAATTTTTGGACATTTAAGGGTTAATTGTCCAAACTTTAGGGATGCAAAAGTGTCCGAACTCAAGGGATAAAAACTGCTGTTTTCCATAATATTTATGGACAATTATTTTACTGTGTAAGCTTTATCAAAGCATTCTGGGATTTCATTTTTCAGCGCTACAGTACCATATGAACTGTTGTTTAGGTATATTATTATGCAGATTTGCTGTTAGTAATTCGAGGACGTGCATTAATACTTGATCGCAAGACTTGTTACTTATGCTTTATTATTTTTTGAATCATAACTTGACGGTCTCATGCTATTTTCAATTGCTTGCCATACAATACCATTTACTGCGAGTTGCTTCTTGACGAAGGTTTCTAGAAAAGTATGGCAATAGTTCGTCTACATACGTAACAATGTAATGTTTTACGTCTCAAAACATTGGATACTAGTTTGTAAGGCTATTGGTTAAGGCTGCTCGGTTAGGCTCATCAGTCTTTTATTGCGAACCTTTGAAAGTGGGTTAGCTGTGGGATTCTGCAGTCCACAAAATGTTTCAAATACGGATCTCTCTTCTTGCGAGCCTGAGTTGAAATAAAAATCTTGTTCAACCGGACCTAAGTTAGAATAGAGTAACATTGCTCCATAATTCTAGATGTTTCAAGGTTAGAACTGTTAGATTATTGCTTATAACGTGTTTTGTTTTTGCAAAAGTACTGCGATGGTACCTGATTCTCATACGTGATTGTGTGATGCATTTGTGTTTTAGGTGCAAAATTTAGGCCCAGCTCCAGTGCAAGGGATCTCTGTGCGCATAGGACTTCTGGCCAAGCATCAGAGTAAATATGTTGCCATGCTGTTTGATGCTCAGGTAATGAACATATCCTAGACACCTGCTTGAAACGCTTTTCAAACTGTAACTGAACTGAATACCTCGGAACAGGGACGCAGGAACAATAACCATCTAAGAGTCTCCCAACTACTGCAATATTTTTCAATTACTGACCTCTTGTTTTTATGTCCTGCATTCAGTCCTTGTCGTAAGCATCAAAACAAGTGTTGATTTCCAAATGGATGCATCTAACCCACCTACTAATTTCAATCGATATCTGTTTTTTGTATTTTTTTTCGAACAACACTTGTACTCTATTCCACACTCGTGTTTAGCTAGGTTATGCTGCGACTAATGGTACAATTTTTTAGAGGTTTGGATCTAAATGTTTTTCAAGCTACTTAAGGGTGTGGGTAGAACGATGCCAAGACTTCATGACAATTGTCTGTTGCATCTTTCTATGACAAGAATCATGTTCCCTTACTGAATTCTAATTAAATTACCCTCAACTGAACTGTAGGAAAATGTCCGTTCTTTGTAGTATTACTTATTATATTAAAGATACTTAGCGTTACTTGTTCCTTCCTTCTGTTTTTTGCACCTGCTTTGTGCCTATATTTTCACAGTAAGCTTTTATAAAGTATCTGTCTCTCTTTAGGTGTATCATGGCTGTAGTGTAAAAGTCATTCTTAATGTATAAAGCTTATCAATACGGAGTCGAGCACTATGCATCGACCTGGATAACAGTGATTGTCACTTGTTATCATAATTTATTGTACTGTATTGTAATATTTAATTTTGTATCAAAAAATGTTATTCATGTTATTTCTATATTAGATTGGCAAATCTTCTGGATGTAACACGACAGGCAAAATAAATCCTGAAAAAATGGTAATCACTTCACATTTTCTATTAATAAGCTAAGTTTGAAATTTTTTCATGCTGATATTCGATTTAATTGATGATCTTGTTTTCAAAACTAACTCAAATCTCTTTTTATCAAATTTTGACTTTAGATTTTAATAGAGGACAAGCGTTTCAGCTTACATGTAAAAATTCGTGGTGCTGTTGCTTGCCATATTGATTTTATGATAAGATAAAGTTAACAATTCTGTAAGGAATTTAACAGGTTGAAAAGTTTTACCTGGATCAATTCTTGTGCACAAAACACGTTTTGTAGATTTTTATCTTCATAAATCTACAATACAACAACAAAATAATATCACATTTGAAATGAGATAAACTACTTACTGAGAATTACGAGCTTCCAAACAATCCTGCTCATTTGTTTTGTTTAGCGTTCTTTGTTCTTCGTTTGGTACACCTGGGTTGGTATATCTAAAAAAGTTCTACATTCTACTTACCCGGTGTACTGAAGCTTGAGGGTGAAGGGAGAGGGAGATGCTGCAGAGATATTCTCTGTTTTCTTTTTCTGGCCCCTGTTTCTAGGCTCTAATGCCCATGGTTCATACTGCTAAATCAAGCCACAAAGCCACAAATGGGCCTTATCAAGCCACAAAAACATCTAACGTCGATCAATTAGTTATTTGCAATCTTTTCACAACCTATTTACAACCTGATCGCAATCTTTTCACAATATGAATATCATCTTTTCACAATTTGATCACAGCATTTTTCTAATCTGACCATTTCCTATTTACAGTCTGATCACAACCTACTCACAATCTGACCACAACCTGTACAGAATCTGACTGTGCCTCTTTGCAATCTCATCACAATCTATTCACAATATGATCACAACTTACTCACAATCTGATCACAACTCATTCATTAAATCTTTTCATTGCTTATTCACAATCTGATCACAACCTATTCACAATCTGATCATAGCCTGTACCGAATCTGACCGTTGCTTCTTTGCAATCTCATCACAATCTATTCACAATATGATCACAACTTACTCACAATCTGATCACAACTCATTCATTAAATCTTTTCATTGCCTATTCACAATCTGATCTCAACCTATTCACAATTTGATCACAACCTATTCACAATGTGATCATTACCTATTCAAAATAATGCGGTGTATCTTCGATCAATTCGGAGTACTTGTTGTTTTTTAGGTGCTAGAAACTTTCGATCTGACCAACAATCGCAGCAAAGCAACTACCAATGAAGTCAAGGATTTGACAGACATTGTAAGTCTGTTAGTATCTATAGCTACCGCCTCCTTTGCTCAATAAAGCTTACTTTTAAGGCAATCAACCGATACTAAAGTGGCTGAAGCCATTTGTCAATCAAAATAGGCCAATCAATAAGGGTAATGCCACTGACGCGTTTATTGATTGGCCATTCGTTGATTGACAGTTGGCTGAACCCACCTTAATATCTCTCAATTACCTTGGAACAAGAGTGTCCCCGAAAAGCTGAATAAAATGATGAGCAGGACTAGGTGGTTAGAGGCTGAATTATATCCTAATGTATTGGGGAAAACCACATGGCCCTACTGAATATTTTAGAGTTAAGATGCAAAGATCCTAATTTTTCTCCGCTAATATTTTTATAAATGTTTCTTGAGTTTTAGGTACTTTGACATTACTTTCTTTCCACGCTAGTGCAATTTTGATTCAGAATAAATTACGTTTTCCCACATGTTATGAAATGATTCTGTGAATAACTTCTTATAGAATTGTCGAACTGGATATTGCATCCCTGTCGATTGCTACATCGGTTTCTTGGGAAGTGGAAAGGAGAAGGAGGTGACACTTAGAACCAGAATATATCAAAATACATTCATTGAGGTATTTAACAATATATGTTTATTGTTTCTGTTTTGTTAGAGAATATATTGCGTAATCATAAAGTTATTATTAAGTTATTAACATTGAATATTTGCATTTCACTACAAACTTCCATTCAGTCATTGTTGATACTACTATTTCTTGGTCCTTGGCTCTGACAGACAACTTCATACTTTTCTTTCAAAGAAAACTAGGCTTATCATTGGCTCTCCTTTGTTACAATACAATGTCGACCCTCTTCTCCAGTCCCCGACTCAATTTTTGGGTCCATCTCAGCATTATACTACTCATACCTGTACCAACTAAGAAGCTCGAGCAATTTAAACCTACCAAAAGTGAGAACCACATACTATGGTACAGATACTGTAAGGTTCATGGGTCAAAAAATATGAGCAAAATTACCTATAGAAGTGAAAACTTCAGTCTCTTTGACTGTTTTAAAAAAACATCTTAAGAAAACAGTTAGCTTTTATTTTTAGCTATTTCGAACAGCCAATTTTAAATCAAAGTATTAATAATAATAATAATAATAATACCTTGAAACACACTGCTTTTTACTCCCGTAAAGATTTCCATGCATCCTGATTTGGCTTTTCCCTTATTTCTTTTTTTAATTTTTTTATTATCTCTAATCTTAAACTTAAATATTTTTATTAATTTTAATCTTAAGTAATCTTTTGTTTACTTCTTTCAAGGAAAAAAGAGGATTATCAAAGATAACTTCTAAAGTAAGTGTCATTATAGACGATAACGAGAAGGCTTTTCTGCGTCAACCTGTAAACCAGAAGCCGGACTTGGCAAAGGTAAATCCGTGCAAATCACGTTGAGCATTAGTTTATTGTCTCAATACATTACTTGATATCATCAGGAATATTGCGAAATAATTTTGTGATAACGTCACAAAAGTCTGTTATTAAGATTTTGAATTTGGATCACAGAACCTGAGAGAGTAACCCATTTAATTAAAAAAACAATGGTCTATTAGCAATCTTTCATTGGCTTAATCATTCCTTGTTGGTTAGGTTTTGAAAATATTTCGATTGGTAATATACAATTCCTACCTACCCCAATACATTGCCCCACACCCCTTTTTAACATTACCACCAGGCATATATTACTGTGTACAGTACAACAGGACTAGATGATATCCACAGCTAGAAACAGGGATCTGAGGAGGCTTTCTGTTACTATCAATCAAAACCTAGACAGGCACTCATTGCAAGAGAATTAACATAGATTAAGAAAAAACACTCTTCATGATAATTTCTTGAGATATAAGCTCTGTTTGAATATATTTAGGTGAGCGTGTTTGTTGGACCTTATGTTGAAAGCAAGAAAGGAAAGACAGAAGAAATCGCCTGGTGGATAATTCTGCTGGCAGTTCTTGGAGGTGTACTTCTGATTGCCGTCACTGTCTATGTTTTCTACAAGGTCAGTTCACAGTACATTTTTTTAGGTAAAAGCGTTTACTGTTTTTATTGTCATTTTATCAACATTTGTGGAGAAATTGTGTTTGACATCAAGTTAATGAAATAGAAGGACGAGGCTATTATGAACTAGAGCAATGATTGGCTTATCTTGTTCTCTTGTCCAATAAACACAAGGTAAAATGCAAACAATCTTTTGGTGGTACAAAACTTGGCAATGGCTTTGAAAAAAGCAAACTTTTGAGTAAACTAAAGCTTTACGTCTGACACTCATCAGAGTTTAAAACTTCAGAACATAGATCGAAAACGCTAAAAATATTTCCTAGCGTAGAGTTTTCGATCTATGATCTGAAGTTTTAAACTCTGATGAGTGTCAGACGTAAAGCTTTAGTTTACTCAAATGTTTACTTTTTCAAATCCATTTATAAGGAAAAATGTTGATGTGGATTTACAGTAAGGGTAGTGAAGTGTGAGATACTGGTGTAGTTGAGGAATAAATGGTCACCACTATGAAAACATCATTACAGAATCACACGAGATAATCGAAAAATAACACTTTCTCAAACACACTTTCTCATTATCATATAGGCTGCAAGGCTACAGGAAAAAACCGAAATATCACGATCACACTCTTCAATTCCAGGCATTTTTGAAACAGGAACAACCCCGCCCTTTTCACCCTTTATTGTTACTTTTTACTTTTGATTTAATATCCATTCAATGATTATGCATCCATATCATTTCAGGTTGGTTTCTTCAAACGCAAAAGAGTCAATGATATCAGTGGACCAACTCAAGATGAATAAAGCAAAAATTGTTAAAGATAAGAATATTTGCTATTCAAAAACGTAGTTTTAAAGTCTGATTCGAAATGTTAATTCTATTAACTAATGCACATCTAGATTTTGTTTTCATTTATTGTAAAAACTGTGAATAGGGCAGTTTAGGTGAGTATACAAATGTTACAAAAGGGCTCCTTACCTGGGTAAAGAAAAAACTTTTTGTACTTGCACCAAAAAAGGGCTGAATAATCAACTCAGGGGCGTCAGCAAAGGGAGTACAGGGGGAAGGTGCGGTTAGGGTTTAACCATTTTGCAACAGTTGTAACTTATTAACATTTCTGTGTAGTTGAACTTTCAAACTATGGCACTAGAGTATAAATTTTGAAACAGAAACGCATAAAAGTAGCATGTAAGAGTATTTGTCTTTTGACAATACCCTTGATGAGTGAGATACGCCCTTTTTGTCGGCAAAAATCACCTCTTCACCCCTCCAAACAACTTTCTTGGCTCCGCCCCTGAATCAACTGCATATCGCTGGCTTGTTTTACATGCTCAGCTAGGATGCAGCCGTAGCTAAGATACACAGAGTGATGCTTCGATGATTATTTACCTTGGCAGTGGCATCTCCTATTCATTCAGTTTTAATCAACAATCCATCTAAGGGTCAACTTTGGACCAAAGGATTTTTGATGTACAATCACTGCCAAAATTACTTGGAACACCCAACACTTTGCGCTATGTTTTCTTTTCTCGTTTATTTTCCCGAATACTGCTACTTCCGTCCCCCTTTTCCCCAAAAACAATGTTGAAAGTATAGAAAAATATCAAACAAGCCACCAGAAAAAACATACTCCATAACCACTTTCTTTTTCTAAAGTAAATCAACATTGTTCCTAGGGGTAAAGGGAGTGGCTGAATTTGCCCTTGAAAACGTACATTGGTGTTTCAAGACTCTTTGCAGTGATTGTACGGTAGCCAAAGAAGGAAGTTTTGGTTCCCAACAACGTCAAACAAAATGATGACGTCACTCACGACTTTTTGGAAAATATTATCGTACAGACAAGTCGTGTAAGAGGTTTTTCAAACGTCCCGTTGTATTGATGGTCTGGGGCTCTCAAATGTAGTCAATCTGTTTATATTCATATGTAATTGTAATATAGAAAATTCAAATTTAAAGCTGCCGTTTAATACGTGTATATCAAAACTGAGAGATAAAGACATTGTTATTGACTTTTTGGAAACAGATGTTTTGTTCAATATCTAAGGTGATCATGTAAGGTTATAATATCTTCCTCTGTACCCTTCGTTCGGCGAACACTTGACTTTTCGATTGTTTGTAATTGGAACAAATTTTCTTTTCTTTGATTCTTCTTGCTGATTTTTATCTAAGCAGGTCTAAAATGTGAAATCACCATCAATAGGGCATGTAAATTTTTGAATGAGCCATGTAACTATTTAATATTTTCCTTATGAGATAAAACTACCCATATATTTTTGAAGGCATTATGTCCCGACTGTTTTGTACAGCAAAAGGACGTTAGGGCCCAGACCCTATATATATTGTTATGTTAATAGAGTTATAGAGAGTTATGTTGAAAGCACGCCGTTGTTTGAATTATCTACAATCTGCCTATTATGCCAGCGTAAACATAAACATAACACCGACAGTCATCCGCTTAGTGTTAGTTACAGGTTCTGAAGGGCGTTTATGGTTTAGAAAACGTTGAAAATTAGTCTTATGTGATCACCCTTATACGTTACAAAAGGTCTACTGTATAATCCAGCCAATTGGAAATCACATGGTCATCGAGAAGCACTGAGACCATAGAATTATGGTCGGGAGATAGTGCCATTAAGTAAAGAAAGAAATAAAAAACTTAAGAATCTCATTTAATGTTAATCAAACTCATAGAAGTCGTCTAGTTACAGAAGCTAGAATTCGTGTTTTTTCTTTACTCCTGAAACGGTGTCATTTCCTAAAAAGCTGGTGCCTTTAGTGTGGGGATGCCTACCCAACAATCAATGTCGTTCAGCTTTTTTTACGTTCGTTGAATGAAAAAAACAAATCGAAAATATCAAAATACTACTTTTTACATGAACGTTGAATGTTGTTATGATGTTTTCAGCAAAACTCTCCTTGAGGTAAAGAGAATAGGAACAAGAGTAGAATCGTAAGATTGGTTACATAGAAGATTGGCTCTGTTAGTTTAGATTGGTCTAATATTGTAACTCAAACATAAACAAAGTCGTATTTTGATTATATTGATTTTTGTTTGTTATGTGCCTTTCAAGTACACATATCCCAAAGTAAAATTATTCCATGCCATCAGAAGAATCGATTCTCGTTTCAGGGAAGCGAGAATCGTCATGTTTTGAACTCGGGAATCGGGAATTGACAAATTTTTGTGAGAGGGATTCGGAAATTGGTGACACTTGGATTCGGGAATTGATGGTTGGAATCGGGAATGGCTAGAAACGTAGCGGGTATTCAAGAAATGGGTACCCCCAAGAATTAATCCAGCTGTAACAGACTTTAAATTAATCCAGACAACCATGAACGAAATTTAACTTTATCCACAAGTAAGACATCGATGTCTAGACTGAAAATTCAATTGTTCAGAAGGATCAAAACATTAAACAAGATTCTTGAAAGGTGGGATGTTTTGAATTATTTCCTTGACTCATTAACCCGCAAATCCACCACAAACTCTAAAATTTTGAGCTGGTTTCAAGATTTCATAAATTCTTTTTAAGCTAGATTTTAATATTTGATATCCTTTTTTATTCTGACTAGTCTCCTAGCAAAGTACTGGAGATTCTTATAATTTTTCTCTACCAAGATTGTTATAATATTTTTATGAACCTTAGATCTTGATGGGAGTTTAAGTCTTGGAGTTTTTTCTTAAAGTATAGACAATAATTAATTAATTCAATAAAATATTAAGAATCTTTCAGTTCTAAAAATTCTCAACGCTTCTTATAAAAACGAGTTTATGCTAAACTCCCTCTGTTATTTGTTAAAATCCTTATCATAAATTTCTATGACAAAACTGCTGTGAAGCAAGAACACATTGCAAAAACTGCAGTAGAAGTATTTGATCAAAAAAGAGTGTTTCATCTTTCGAATCAGGCATATGCACAAGTTTGTTCTCCGATCATCATTTCAATTGTAAAGAATGAAAAGGCATTTGGCCCTCTGAAAATTGTTAGTAGTTTTCTTCGATCAAGAACAAAAATTAAAGGCTCAAATTCTTGGTGCTTCTATATCGTGAAAAAAATGTATTCTAGATAAAATTGATCAATTGATCTGAAAGAATACCACTAATCATTAAGTATATCTAATACTGGCTTTGCTTGAATGTTGCTTTACTTCTTACAGTAAGTTTAAATGTTTGTTTCATGTTGTTAATCAAAATTTAGAGATTTAGGCTTTTATGCTTCAGGCTAATTATTGAGTAAAGTTTTGGTAATTATAAAGAAAATAGAACTATGGTGTTCGGGCTATTTACAAATATCAATTTGGTAGATACAGTAGATTTACTGGTCGAATGAAAAATTTCTCACTTAAAGTTGGAATTTTCATCCTTCCACGCCCCTCCAAAATTAGCAACTTGTTTTCGTCCCTGGGTGTCTGTCCTTATTGATTTTAACAATCTTTGTAGAAAGGCTGTGCACGCAGTTGCCCAAGGGATTCATAATAAGCGATCGTTTGTTTTTCTATATTTGCGGAACCCAAAGGCAGTCCTAATACGACACAAGTGACCTCAGTTTTCTAAGGTGTGAAAAGCATGCATTTCCAATGATGCATTGCGATCTCTATGCACGCTGAAATCATATGGTCAGCTTTTAGATGAAAAAATGTTTGGAATTAGAGGTTGAAAATGTTTGGAAATACAGGTTGAGAATGTATGGAATACAGTTTGAAAATATATGGAAATATAGAAAACAATTCACGCTTAGCATTACGTTTTACAACACTTTGATTTTGTCTCTGGATATCTGTGAAATATGCCGAGGCGAGAAACAGTGTACCCCAAAAGTTCTGTTTCATTTACTGGATATACACGTTATTCCATGCAACGACTTTTCGTCAAGCCTGGTTTGCTAGTTTCAAGCTTGGAATCAGAAGCTGACAGAAATGGCCTACTTTCGCATGCAGTGCTTCGTAGAAGTCAAAGCCCCGACACAAGCAGCTTTGGCAGAATGCTATTAAATTAGATGTTAGAACGTTCTACATAACTTGGTGAGTTCTGTTTCTGGTGTATGTTGTTGTTTTACAAATAACGATGAAATATATCGTTTCCAAGATAATTAATAGCTCAATTTGATAAAGTCATTCGAAATAATACAGACACGTTTAAAGGTGAATATTGTGTCTTTAACCTCGTGTATCAAAGCAACATAAATCTGAATGCATAAATGACAGATAGGGGCAGGGAAGTTGAGGCCCCTCCTACCTTTCTTCTCCGTGCTCCAGCTTTTGTTGCTCTGCTACTCAAACTTGTTGCTCGGTAGCCTGCTTCTTAAGTAGTGAAGTGGCTTTTGGGCATAATCAACTATGGCAAAGCAATTTTAAACTTGAAGGCTTCTGTGAAGATGCTGTTGAGTTATCCTAGAACTTTGTGAAAAATACTTTGGAACCTAGACTTTTCATCTTCTTCGCAGAACCAAAATAGCTACAGTATATTGTGCATTGCACAGCATAATCGCAATTTTCAACGGCGTCTCCCCCCCCCCCCTATAGACAATGCTTTTTACATAATTGATATAACGAAGCGATCCTGAATGCAACCAGAAAGATGGGCCTTGGAGGTTATCGCAGCTTATTACCAGTTGGCATTTCCGTTAAGTAAACCAGGAACTCAAAAAAGACGCATATAAATAACACCACAAGCAACACGAAAAAAAAGGAATATTTTTAAGTAGGAATAACTAGAGACAGCAGAAGTTAAGGGGGTTTGGAAACTAGTAACGACACTAGAAAATTACTCCGTTATGAAATTCAGAAGAAGAACAATTTTTTCACTCGTTTATAAGACTAGCAACGTTACACTCACTATTGATACAATAATCAGCTTACATAGGATTTTCCCAGATTGGGAGGCCGCAGAACAACTTTGGGTGTGCATAGTCAAGATTTTGTTGTTACTATCAATTGCAAAAGAAATTTCCTAATAGATCCTTAATGACCAATTATCTTGTAGATAAATGTTCACAATAATCTATGTTACACATTTCTAAATATGAATGTTCATAATACAGGCACTGCGGACCAGGAAGGCTGGTGGCCCCAATTTTTTGAAAAAAAATGCCAAATATTAAGTAATAACCTACCAGTAAAGCCTCTTTAAATACGGTTTTAGTCCCCCCCCCCCACTTTTTTAGACCCCCCACTTTCCTCAATGTTCCGCGGTGCCTGTAATAACAATATCATACAAGTCATGCAAGTGAAGCGAATTAAAACAGTACTGCCTAAAACATTAAAACAATCTTTGTTGAAGTTTATATTACAGTAGCTCAGCCTTACCATTTTTCTTAATTTGTTCGTATATTTTGTCTAGTTTTGAAGCCCATATTCTGTTTCAAAGTGATCTATCTCCCAAGCAAAAACAGTGTTAACTTGAAAATTAAAGTTGAAATCATTTTGTTCCATCTAGGCAATATTTTATTTCTTCAAAAGATTGAATTTTAATACCAGTGCGTTTCTCTATTAACTTGAATTGAATTTTAACTTGATAACGGGCTATGCTCGAAACGTCGTTAATTATTTTAAAAAAATTTTCCTGGTACAATTTACTTACATTGATCGTTATTTAAATTCATCATATTGTACCGCACGCATTTTAATATATTTATGGCGTTTCTCTATTGTTTGTCTATGTATAAAGTTTTCGATTCTGCTATCGGGCAGCATTTACTAGAAAACCCAGATTGTTTAAAAACTATAATGGCGACGTGTTTCGGATTATTGGTAAAGCCCGATCGTCGTTCCACCTAGCAGTTTTAGAATCTATCTACATAAGCACGAAAAAACCGCTACTGTGTAGACAAAAGGAGTTCGTTTTCACCTTAGGACTCCACTGGTAACATTCTAATAGGCAAGCGGCACTGATTGGTCAACCTTTACAGTCATGTGCTCGTGTTTCTGATTGGCCTATTTCGATCCACAACTGGGTATATATATTTCTTAGCGTAGAGTTTTCGATCTATGTTCTGACGTTTTAAATTCTGAAGAGTGTCAGACGAAAAGCTTTAGTTTACTAAATGTTTGCTTTTTTCAAAGACAATTGAATTGTTGCATATGCGCAGAAAATCCAGTCCTGAAATCTGCAATGACCTTTATATTGGCA